ACGTGTTTAATTAGAGATAGCTAAAAATCTTATTTTTTGATTATGGTGTTATAAAAATTAAGACCGAAGACTAGTAATAATTCAAGTATGAAAACATGACATGGTCTGCGAAGTAGGTTCAAATTCTCAATTTCAAGATTTTCAAATGGAAACTTTTAAAATGTATACACCTTAATCATTAAGATTAATGTTAAATAAACAAAATTAAAAAAAAAACCTACGATAAATAATAAATTTCGGAATATGAAAGCCATTAAACTCCACTAACAACTAACCTGTATTTTTCCTCTCCAGATGTAAGCCCGGCTTCTTCACCTTGGACCAGAACAATCGGTTTGGCTGCACGCCGTGCTTCTGTTATGGCCACACCTCCGAGTGCCAGACTGCGCCGGGCTACTCGATCGTCTCGGTGACCTCCAACTTCAATAAGTTCAAAGAGCGCTGGACGGCCGCTGATCTGAACCAGCGCGAGGTGGACATCAAGTACAACCAGTACAGCCGGAGCATCGGAACCACGGCGCAGGGCAACGAGCACGTGTACTTCCAGGCGCCGGATCGGTTCCTCGGCGACCAGCGAGCCTCCTACAACAGGGATCTGAAATTCAAGCTGCAACTGGTGGGCCAGGTGGCCAACACCGGAGTGAGCGATGTGATCCTGGAGGGAGCCGGCAGCCGCATCTCGCTGCCCATTTTCGCCCAGGGCAATGGCATACCCGACCAGGGTGTGAAGGAGTACACGTTCCGGCTGCACGAGCACCACGACTACCAGTGGCAGCCCAGTCAGTCGGCCCGCGGATTCCTCTCGATTCTGTCCAATTTGACGGCCATCAAGATCCGGGCCACGTACTCGGTGCAGGGCGAGGCCATCCTGGACGACGTGGAGCTGCAGACGGCGCACCGGGGAGCGGCCGGCCATCCGGCCACCTGGATCGAGCAGTGCACCTGTCCGGAGGGCTATCTGGGCCAGTTCTGCGAGTCCTGTGCGCCCGGCTACCGGCACAGTCCGGCCCGCGGCGGCCCCTTCATGCCCTGCATCCCCTGCGACTGCCACGGCCATGCGGACATCTGTGACTCGGAGACGGGGCGGTGCATCTGCCACCACAACACCCACGGTGACAACTGTGACCAGTGCGCCAAGGGATTCTACGGCAACGCACTGGGCGGCACTCCCAACGACTGCAAGCGGTGTCCCTGTCCCAACGACGGTGCCTGCCTGCAGATCAACGAGGACACGGTCATTTGCACGGAGTGTCCCAAGGGCTACTTCGGCTCCCGGTGCGAGCAGTGCAGCGATGGCTTCTTCGGCGATCCCACGGGACTGCTGGGCGCGGTGCAGACCTGCAAGAGTTGCGACTGCAACGGCAACGTGGACCCCAATGCCGTGGGCAATTGCAACCGGACGACGGGCGAGTGTTTGAAGTGCATCCACAATACGGCCGGGGAGCACTGCGACCAGTGCCTGTCCGGCCACTTTGGCGATCCCCTGGCCCTGCCCCATGGACACTGCGATCGCTGCAGTTGCTACGAGGCGGGTACGGAGCAGGATGCGCAGAGCATCACGCGATGCGACCAGGTCACCGGCCAGTGTCAGTGCAAGCCGAATGTCATTGGACGGGACTGTGGCGAATGCCAGCCCGGCTACTACAACATCCGGTCGGGCAATGGGTGCGAGAACTGTCTGTGCGATCCGGTGGGCAGCTACAATGCCACCTGCGATCGCTACACCGGCCAGTGCCACTGCCGACCCGGCGTTGTGGGTGAGCGCTGTGACCAGTGCGCCAACTACTACTATGGATTCTCCGGCGAGGGATGCAAGCAATGCGAGTGCGACGAGAGCGGCTCCAAGGGCTTCCAGTGCGACCAGAGTGGCCAGTGCCCGTGCAATGATAATGTGGAGGGACGGCGCTGCGACCGCTGTAAGGAGAACAAGTACGACAGGCATCGTGGATGCATCGATTGCCCGGATTGCTATAATCTCGTCCAGGATGCGGCCGATCTGCATCGCGCCAAGCTGGCCAATCTCAGTCAGACGCTGGACGAGATTGCCCGCACGCCGGTCACCAATGACGAGGAGTTCGAGGCCAAGTTGCGGGCAGTTCAGGAGAAGGTGGCTGTACTGGCCCAGGATGCCAGCGATAATTCCGGAGAGGGTGGCCAGACCCATGCCGAGGTGATCGACGATCTGCACAAGCATCTGGACACCGTGAGGGAGCACCTGCAGAGTGCGGACAAGTACCAGGCGGAGGCCAATGCCGAGATCGAGAAGGCTCGCCACAACTACACCATCCTCGACCAGATCACCGAGAATGCCAAGAAGGAACTGCAGCAGGCACTGGATCTGCTCAACGACCAAGGAGCCGCTGCCTTGGCCCGGGCCAAGGAAAAGTCCGTGGAGTTTGGCACGCAGTCGGAGCAGATCTCGGACATATCGCGCGAGGCACGTGCCCTGGCCGACAGGCTGGAGTCGGAGGCACAGTTCGATCTGAAGAACGCCAAGGACGCTATGGATGCGGTGGAGAAGGCCCACCAGCTGGCCAAGAGCGCCATCGATCTGCAGCAGAAGATCGGCACGGAGCTGCGTTCCGAGGTGGGTCTGGAGCTGGCCAGTGTGAGGCAATCGCTGGGCACCGTGGTCCAGACCTCCAAGGAGGCGCTGCGCAAGGCCAACGAGGTGTACGAAACCGCACTGACCCTCTTGAACGAGGTTAACCGTCAGACGCAGCCGGTCATCGACATCAATCAGCTTAAGAAGGATGCAGTGGCGGCCAACGAAAGGGCAGATAAACTACTCAGTGCCATCAATGAGCTGTCGAACAGCAATGGCGAACTGTTTGCCAATTTCGAAATGGAGCATGAGCTTACGGAAACGCTTCTCAAGAGGTGGGTTTGACTAAGCTTACCCTTATAACTCTAACAAAATAAGAATATTAATATTTTAATTAAATATTAGATCATAATATTATACACAATGCATAGAAAATTGCTTGATTAAATAATCAAATACTTTAGTCCTTGTGGAAAATATTACATTCCAAATAGTTATTATTTTGAATTAAATGCTTTTTATTTAAGTTAAATTTTCAGATATTAAAATAGCCACATTAAATATTTAAAAATTTTTATTTATTTTATTATTTATTTTATGATTTATAATATTAATTTTATTTCCTTCCAAACAGAGCCGATCAGCAGCAGCAGGAGGACATTGAGTTGCTGGAGCGGGCCAAGGCCGCCCACGACAAGGCCACCAAGGCGGTAGAGCAGGGCGACAACACCCTCAAGGAGGCCAACAACACCTACAAAAAGCTGGCCGGATTCCAGTCCGATGTGCAGCGCTCTTCGGAGAGTGCAGCCCAAGCCCTGCAGACAGTGCCCAATATCGAGAAGGAGATCCAGAATGCGGAGAGCCTGATCAGCCAGGCGGAGGAGGCTCTGGACGGAGCCAACAAGAACGCCAACGAGGCCAAGAAGAATGCCCAGGAGGCGCAGTTGAAGTACGCCGAGCAGGCCTCGAAGGTAGGTCAAAAGTAAAGGGGGGAGTGGTTTTTTAATTTTTTTTTGGTTTACGATGGTCACCACAATTTACAGTAATTTCTGCCATAGCCGTTTAACTTAATATTTCTTTATAAAAATTTAAAATGTTAACAGAATATTCTTAAAATGTTATACTATAATGTACCATGGGTTTTTAAGAATAGATTTGAACTGTTCTGTTAAACAACATTTAAACAAAGTGCATTGGTATACACAAGGTTACCCTTCTGCCCCTTCATGGCCTCTCCGGATTAAATAATACCAATTGTTTCTTAATTTACCAACAGGATGCCGAGCTGATCCGTCGCAAGGCCAATGAGACCAAGGTGGCTGCCCGAAATCTGCGAGATGAGGCCGACCAGCTGAATCACCGCGTGAAGGTCACCGAGGTGGAAATCTTCAAGCTGGTGGACAGCTCCACCAAAGACGACAACCTGGTGGACGATGCCAAGCGAAAGGTGGGCCAGGCCAAAGCCGATACCCAGGAGGCCCAAAAACAGATTGAGAAGGCCAATGCCGAACTGACGGCCATCAAGGATGAGCTGGAGAATCTGAAGGACATCAACACAGGCGATTTGGATAAGTTGGGTAGGTCTAATCATATTTATTTACGTAATTGCCAACCTTAATCATTCGATGTTCAACCAAAAATCACAGAAAATCGTTTGGCCACTGTGGAGGGTGAGATCAATCGTGTGAATCTGACGGGTCGCATTGAAAAGTACCGGGAGCAGCGCAACATTCAGAAGAATCTGATCGACAAGTACGATGCCGAGCTGAAGGAACTGGCTGAGGAGGTGGAAAACATTGGCCTTATATCCAAAGTTCTGCCCGACAATTGCTTCAGTCGCAATCGCCTGGAACCGTAGAGCTGCGTAGAGCAACGCCCACTCCCAATAACAACTACTTCAATTAACACTAAGTACGAGAACGAGGATCAGAACGAGAGACGAACAAATCAGATTTACGATATATTGTAGAACGTAGCCGTTGAATGAAATTATGTAATTTTAGTGTCTTAGCCGAAATATTCTGTTTGGTGACCAGCCAAGTGTCCACAAAAGAGATCAGCCGAGCAAAGTTAAGCTTTAACGCATCATCGTTCGCATACTGTATGCCATATCCTGTAATGATACAAAGGGGATGCCGATGCCCCTTTGCCGACATCGAGAATCAACTGCCAACTGTGCTTCACCAGTTACAAGCCAGCCACGGACTGTATTATATGTTAAAGACCACTAAACCACTAAAAGCAAACCTTGTACTCCAATAATCCGATAATCCAATCGCATTTCTCTATCTCTGCCGTAGCTCCCACGTAAAATCTATTCTAAACACCTATATATTAACATATTTGTCATCTACGTTTAATGTGCCAATACAATTACCACGTATCTTTGTGTATAAGTCGCTTAAAGAGTTTTCCTTCGAAATAAAACTTTTCCAACGTTGTAATTTTATATAATCTATTTGTTGTTCATGTTTCGCAGTAGCAGAAAGAAATTTGCGCTCAACCGAAAGACCTAAAAATGAATTGAAGAATATTTTGAGGACAAAATTTTATATTTTTCTCATTTCAAATGAATCACCTGCACCAGAAATTTGTGAGAGAGACTTGTAAATCCGCCCACGCTTAGCACAAAAGTTCGTCGTGAGAAAAGTAGCATCATTTTGATCATGAATCTAAATTCCTTTGACTCATTATACCATTTGCAGTTGTACCAATCAAGGAAAAGTAGCTCACTCTAAAATAAGATATTTTCTTACAAGGAAAACATGATAAGCATCCTAAGCACTTACCTGCGTCTCCACTTTTTGTGCGCTCACGTTGTACAATGTGATCTCCAGAGCTATGGTCACAAAGTATACCATAATCATGCCCATCCACACCCAGCCAACTTCCTAAGAAAATAACTAGGACTTAGCAAGTCGGAATTTTATAATTATTTAAATATGCCTACCAACACCGTGCTGATTTTGTACAGCAACATGCAGATCAAAATACTGCTTACAGAGCACTGAACAAGGATGATGTATTTGAACAGGTTTTCGATTTGAAAATGATGGCTAAGACAATAGCGGCTAATAATAGTTTATAACTTTATTAAAAATAACCATTTACCTGGATATGCGAGCAAAGAGTCTCACGCAACATTGCAGATATTTATCTCTTTGGTCCTTGGGAACCAGCACATCCGAGGTTGAATTCTGAACCAGGAACCGTAAAACTTCTATAAGTCCAGACTCATATCTAGTGAGCACCACAAAAAGGCTGTTGAAACCAAATACAGCTGTAAAAATATATAATTAAATTAGTTTCAGGACAATGAGTAGCAGGACATACCAAAAAAGCACCAAAGAGGACCAGATTGCAGTAGAAAAAAGCGTATAACATAGGAGGGAAACTCATAATTTCCCAACTGCGCATAAGGAACGATGGCTGGGTAGGCTAAAATAAGGATTTACTTGACTAAAAAGGAAAATCAAGAAATACACAGTCAGAAATACTTACTCAGGGTCATTTCACAGGTATCCTTAACGAAATAGCAATCGTAGATGTATTGAAAGTAGGGTCGCATTGTGTAGTACAGCACTGGCATGCAAACGATCTTGAAGAAGAACATGACCTGTCGATCAATGATCTGCCAATTGTTGAGCAATATGGAGCTTAGTGATTCCAGTAGCTCCTTCTTTTCTGGTAAATCTGCAATAATTTGGTGAAAAGACTTAAATCAAAGAGTTTACTAAATGTCTTACCCAAATCAAACAGTCCCAAAGATTTAAGGACATGTCCTGCCTCCGTTGAAAACACCAACTGGGCGCAGGATTCAACTTTACTCTGAAAGTGAAACATTTTGACCACACCAACGCTTAATTGAAAGGTAAGTAAAACAGCCTGAAAATATATAAAAAGGTAAAATATATTCACTTAACTGATACCCCAAGCAAACCTCAACGTAGGTCTCAAAGGAGATCATATAGTGTTCCATTATAAAAGCCACGAGACTGTAGATGATACTCAAATTGACTATTAAGACCGCAATGCGTGTTCTAGATCAGGATGGGATAAATTCATAAATATATCGGAATATCGCAGAGTATTGCTTACAATCGGCAGTATTTGGAGCTGCGCTTCCTGGGGGCAATATTTACTCCCAGAGCAAAGGCACTGTACTCCACCCAAAAAAGCCCCAATTTAGGCAGCTTGTCGATGCGTTCGAGTTCCTGATCCAGTAGGTCCTGCATTCCTTATAGTTTATTCCAATACTGTTTAAAATCAACCATTATCCTATGCTTTTATGGCATTCGCAATGGCTTTCGGGTCTCAACTAGGGGCCCCAAATTATATGGTTCCTTTACAATCATTTGCTATATGTTCTGGTTATTGTGCAACTCGATAGTAGACACAAATAATTATCAAAATTGGTTGGGCGTGTCTCAAAAGCATTAAAAATTTAGAACTCATCGAAGGTATATTGCTACAAGAACCATAAGGAGCCTAATAATGAAATTAAAGTCAGACTTTGTAGGGTTGAGTGCTACTTTGACCATTACATATAACTAAATATTGTAATTAATAATTATTTGATGTGAATTCTAAAAGTTTAAAAATCAATACTTCAGCTTTTTATTATTAAAATGTATTCAAACAACAATTTTAAGCTGTGGATGTCAATCGATTGAATATTTCTTGTCAAATATGACCTTAGATCATTTCATTGTAACCGAAAAACTAAAAACTCTATTTTACTAAAAAAAAAAAGTGGATTTTTGAATCATTTGAGCGTTACCTTAGTTTTCTACATTTATGTATAAACAATGAAATTTACATTTACCTTACATTTAGCGGATGACACGATAGCGAAGACATGAACCTGTCATCTGTAGGTGTTTTGGTATTTCCAAACCACAGCCACACCGCAAAAATAAGGTAAACAATTTTACTTGCCCGAAATCGGGTGACAATTTGGACTGACCTGCTCTAGTTGGCGGGCAGGGATAAGTCACATAACTGAAAGCCCGCCCGGAAGGGGCTAAAATGGAGGAACGCAAGCTGCTCAAACCCGTGAAGGCGACGAATCCGCTAGTTTTTCTGGACATTTCCATTGGCAAGGAGGATGGTAGGGCAATTTGGACCACTGCTATTGAGGCCATTGTCATGCCAACCAGTTATATCTTCCATATAATCTCACACAGCGGGCCGCATGATAATTGAACTGCGCAAGGATGTTGTGCCGAAGACAGCGGAAAATTTCCGTGCCCTCTGCACGGGCGAGTGTGGAGTGGGCACGTTGGGCAAACCACTTCACTACAAGGGCACCCGGTTCCACAAAGTCAAGCGGGTCTTCGCCGTCCAAAGCGGGGATGTGGTCAAGAACGATGGATCCAGCGGCGAGAGCATCTACGGTCCAGTCTTCGAGGACGAGAACTTTGAACTAACAGTAGGTTCTAGGACTAGTGGTAAAGGATTTTTTAAAAAAGTCCTTTGATTCTGAAAGACCTGTGTATAAATACCCTGTACTTTGTGCATCATACTTCTAAACACCTTTATAAGAAATTTCTTGGCACCACCTGTTTTGGTCAGATTTCAATACCGATTATAAAGATAAATTAAGGTTTAAGATAATTTATAAAGGTATCTCTCGATACGATATACATATTTTAAACCCAGAAGTCCCGTAAACAATCCTTCCAAGTGATTTTACAATGATGGTATATTTTTTATAAGAATCTTCTTCATTATATTCTTGAACACCTGCTTAGGTCCCATTTGGAGATATCTAAATTCTTATAGATTTTCTAGTTTTTATAAAAGTTATCTTCTTCAATGTTCAAAGTACATGTTTTATTTTTAGATGTCCGGTGATTATATTCTGTGGAAATATCCCGGTTAATTTGTATACCCATAACAATCTTTTGCATCAGTTTTTATCACCGCATAGATTCCAGTACCGGTTATAGAGATATCTTTTGGCTTAAGATCATTTATAAAGATAACCCTGGCTACGGTCTAATTATTTTAAGGCCATCAGTCCGGTGTTAAACTATAAACGATGTAATAATTTGTTTTAATTCATTTAAATCTGTAGAAATTACACCGTATATTTTAATATAACCATGATATTAATAAATAAATCTCCCCCAGCACAACGACGAGGGCGTGGTCAGCATGGCCAATTACGGCAAGCCGAACTCCACCAACTCACAGTTTTTTATCTCGGCCGTGGGCTGCGAGAATCTAAATGGAATAAACGTTGTCGTAGGTCGTGTTCTACGCGGCTTGGGCATAGTGGCCGAAATGGAACAAAACTGCAATGACGAGGGCGATCCCACGGCGGAGATAGTGATACGGGACTGCGGGGAGCTGGCCCCTGGCGAGGATTGGGGCATGGAGTGCAATGACGAGACGGCTGACAAGCTGCCAGCATATCCGCAAGACTGGACGCGCAAGTTCGACAAGTTTACGGTGAGTCAAAATAACCACTTGCAGTTTGAAATCATTGGTGACCCAATATTTGCTACCCCTTCTACAGGCTGATGCGGCGGTGGAGCTGCTTACGGGCATTCGTCAGTCGGGCAATCACTTTTATCAGCTAGGCCGCTATTATGCGGCCCGAGCAAAGTATCGCAAGGCCAATCGCTACTATCATTACCTGAGCAAACAGTTCGGCTGGCAGCAGTTGAACCCCTTTAAAAAGCACCTCGTCGATACGGATCTGCTCAAGATCGATGGCTTCTCGGTGGTGAACAACATAAACTTAGCCGCCGTGGACCTAAAATTGGGAAACTATGCGAGTGCCAGAAGCGATTGCACCGAGGCCATTCGTCTGGATCCCAGGTGCAGCAAGGCATTCTATCGACGCGGTCAGGCTCAGCGCGGTTTGCGCAACTACGAGGAGGCCATAAACGATCTGAAGAGGGCCCACAGTCTCCTGCCGGAGAACAAACAGATCCTAAACGAACTGAACAGCACCAAGCAGCTCCTGGCCCAGTACAACAGACAGCAACGAAATGCACTTAAAAATCTTTTTGCCTAACTGGCAGCAAGTCACCATTTTACTGGATCGTTTTGAATCGTTTTAAGTTTAACGCGGACCTGAATGGCTTCTTTAAATGTAAATACTATTAATAAATGTTGTTGTTTTACCGGCAGTCAGTGGTTTACCACAAGAATGGTAATATAAAGTATGTTTAAATTGAAGGCTTTTTGTGCTGTAATTGATAAATATATTTGGATCGTACCTAACTCAATAATAATGATCCCTTAGGTACACCGCAGTGTCTAGTATGCAGCTTAGATACTAGTAGATTAATTATAAAAGGTAGCTTACATCTGCGATAAACTTAGTCTACAGATTACTTTAAAGATTTGTCACAATGTCCTGTTCGCTGCGATGCAAATTGCCCGATGTGCTGCCCGCCGTGTAGCTCTTCATGCTGATCTCCATGTTAGTCAGGGCGCTGGATACGTGATACAAGTTCTCCGAGAGAATGGCATAGATCTCGAACAGCTCCGAGTCGGATTTGGACACAATGAAGGATTCTGCTGAAGAAGTAGAAGTGTTTTCTTTGGTTAACTACATTTTTGGAAGAATATCCATAATAAACCAACCTGTTCGATCCTTCATAATACCATGCGCATAAGCATTTAGTATGACGGACATCTCATCGCACTTCTGCCGATTGTCCAGGCCGCTGTAGCCAAATATGGTCAGGCTTTGGTCACCGCTGGCGTTAAGCGTCGAAATTCGTCGATACTGGCGCACATGGGCTACGGCGCTGGGCCATCGCTCCAGTTCGATGTGCTCGGTGAGGGCGGCCTCGAACTCCTCGTGGGTCATGGGCAGGCCAGGAGAAGGCGTGGGCGTGTGCTCGCCCTCCGTTGAGGTGGAGGACTCCAAGCAGTCCAGTTCGGCCTCGCTGGTGTAGCGCTCCAGTGCATCGCGAACCAGGGCATAGAGATCGGATATGTCATGCATCTTTAAAGTGTCCCCGACCCCCAGAATTAGTAATTAAAATGATTTCAAATTATATCGTCAACTCACGTCTTCGTTGATACGGAAATGATTCACCACATTCGAGGATATCTTGTGATTGGATTCGATAAGCAGCAGCAGTTGGAACATCAGCTTGTAGAGAGAGCGTCCCAAGTCGAGCACCACCTCAGTGGAGGCTGGGTCAAAGGGCATGTAGGCTATACTGGAAGAAGTGGGCAACTCCAGGCCGGAAGCAGCCACATCCGCCTCGTTGAAGAGCGACAGTTTGCAACTGGTCTTCACTGCATCCAGGCACTGAAATTACAACAAAAAATGTATTAAGAAAATGCATTATAACTAGTTGATAATTAACTATACCTCCAAGACCTGATCCTTGCGATCGAAAAAGGTCTCCAGATGCTCCTGCACCTCCAGAACATTGAAGCGTAGCGTCTCAAAGAGCTTGGGAGTGGTGGCCTGCAGCTCGCTGCACCAAACCTGCGGAGGATCTGCCCGAGAACCCAGCAGATCCGTGAAGAGGGAGATCCTATTGCCCAGCTGTGAGCCAATGCCGGTAAAGAACTTCTTCGCCTCCTTGGAAATGCTGATGGTCTTGAAGGTGAGCTCCTTGATCAGCCGGTACAACTGCTGCAGTAGTTCCGAGGTGTGTGCCGAGGGCTGGTTGACCAACATGGCCTGCAGCTGACGGCGCCAGTTCTCCTCCGCCTCGTCGCGAATGGCGGCAAAGCGAATGATGCCGGGTAAATGGGGCGAGGCATTGCAGGGTGTGAGATCACCCAAGTCGCCAGCACTGGAGCCACTGGTATCGCTTCGCGACACCGAGTTGCGACGCCTTCGCTCACGCAGACTCAACGATGTGGGAGGCACAGCACTGTAGCCCGACTTCAAGAACGACTGGCGGTGATCCTCATCCAAAGGCGACTCGGATTCAGCCTCCTCATCTGACGAATCGTCCGCAATCTGTCGCTTTCTCTTGCTCAAAATGGGAGTCTTGTCGCTGAAGCTGTCCTCCAGGGCGGATGAGTGACCTCCCTTGGTGGAGCCACCGATGCCACTGCCGCAATTCAAGCGGTCCTCATCGCCCTCGAAGAGCTGATGACGACGAACGCCCCAATTGAAGTTGTCCGTGGACTCGCCGGCAATACTGTCCTCGTACTCCAGGAAATCAAAGTCCTTGAAGACGGTGAAATCGGGCTGGCCATCGTCGCGTCTCGAGCCGCTGCTCAGGTCTCCCTGAGGACCCGAGGTCTCTTCCGTGGAAGATGCGGCCGAGGATTGGCGCTCCATCAGATCCGAAGATTGACTGAAGATCACCTACAGGTACAGGTTTGGGCGATTAGTAACATTCTCAAATTAAAAGTAAAAACATTCAGATGATTAATATAGAAGAGTAGTAGAGATAAAGCTTACGCTTTGTCTGGTCGCAATCGATCCGTTTAGTAGTGACGTGCTCAACGACTAAATTGTGTTCAGATAAAGAGTATAAACGAAAAGTACAGTTTGAAACAAAACATGCAACATGCCAACGGAACAACGGAATAGGAAAGCAAATGGCGGTATTTCTGTGTGACTGGAATGTGTGGAGTGAAACACAGGCCAACGAAAAGCAATGTTCAATGATCAATTTACATTTTTTATATCGAAATGAACTTGATATTAACTTATCATACAACTTACTAATTACTAACTATATAGAAATGAATAAAATTTATATATCAGTAAATATTAAGTTCAAAATGATATATATAATATAATATTCATATCAAAAAGAACTTGACCTTAACAAATCACTTTTTTGAATTTTTATAACAAAACATTATACATATATAATAATTGTGAACGTGGAAATATCAAATTCATTTTTCTTTGTAAAGCTACTACATGCTAGAACCTAAATCACACAAAAGCAAAACTAAACGCGGCACATAGAAACGTGTCCTTTACCTTTGAGCAAATTGAGTTTATGAAATCATCCTAGACATGTTTCGATTTTGGTATCGGATTGATTGGTTAATGATGATAATGCGTGTTAGTTTTTGGTTTGATATTGGTATTGGATTTGGTATTGGTATTGATTTTGGTATTTTTGGTATTGTTTACATGAAAGAAAAAGAGTTAGAGGTAAATAATTGCAGAAATGCATGAGAAGAGGGGAGCTCTAGGGGAGCCTAAGGCATGCACCTGGCTATGTACAAGCGGCCGCCCGGTTGGGGGATCTTGGACCCTGCGACTTACCGATGGCGACTTGGGCAGTCCGACCCGCTGCCCGCAGGTGGTCAGCAGATTGACCAGGCACTCACGCACTCGACACTGCGACATCCAGGGCCGCTTCCATCCGCTCAGTGGCACGGTGTCCGCCGGCGAGAGGCTGGCACTGCGCCGCGGTGAATTGGGTGTGCCCACCACGCTGCTCCCTGCCCCAATGGCATGCTGTTGCTGCTGATGCTGGGCAGCTGCTGCGGCCGCCATGGCCGCCACATTGGTGTGGGCCCGCTGCTGCTGCTGCTGCTGCTGGTGCAACTGCAGCTGGGCATTGGTCTGCTGCTGGACAGCACCAATGGGCGCCACCGTCACTGTGGTGGCATTCGTGAGCGTGGAGTTTAGCGAGGAGCTGCCCGTGGTGGAGACGGCACCGGTGGCCACCGGCTCCTCCGTCTTTAACAGGATACGACGACCGATCAGCGGCGTTTGCGACACGTCGAACGTGAACTCCATGGTGCGACCGGCCAGTTCCTTTTTACAGAACATATCCGAGTCCGGATATGCGCCATAGAAAGAGAACGATAAGCCGGCGCTGCTGCCGTCACTGGGTGGCACCACCTGCAGGGACGAGCTCCGGGTCACGATCAGCTTCAGGATCTTCAGCGAGTCCTTCCAGTTCACCGTCTACAAAGAGCGAAAATAAATGAATTAAATAAATATAAAAATAAACTTAAGGGGTTACCCCCAGTTGCAGCGCATAAATAGGCTTTTATTTCGAAGAAAACTACAAAACTGAGTTAAATTATCAATATCTATAAATAAATATTAAAAAAAAGGTTTCTATATTAACAACAAATAAATAATAATATTTTAAAAAATATGCTTTCTCTGATTATATTTTGCGTCAAACTGAACTACTGCCTCTCCAATTATTCTTTATTAATTTTTCAATTAAATACATATACAAAAGGAAATTGATTGTAACATATTTTTTCCAACTATTTATTTTATGGCTTATACCAACAATAAATTAAAATTGCCACACGGACGATTATTCAGATTAGATTTTAAGCAATAAAAACAGAATGACTAAGGTAATAAAATAATTTTAATAAACAACGAAATTATCGTTATCGTGTGTTTGGAAGAAATATGACATAATAATCGTAAAAGACTTTAAATATCAATCATCTAAATATGTGGGTTTATTTGTCTAGACGAACGTTTTTTTTCGATTTTTCAAAGGGGAAATTCTTCTTTTAAACTTATAATTTCAACTTACATCCAAGTACTTCCCAATGGCCCTCAACAGATCCGCATTGATGGTCTGAGCCTGCGGTGCCGACAAGTCCACGTAGTGCAGCATGCAGTGGATCACATTCAACACTGGCACCTGAACCTGCTGCGGTCCCTTCTCCAAAACCTCGATAAGGAACGCCACCATGTGAAGGCCCATGTGCGCATAGGTGTCGTGGAGATATTTGACCACACACTTGGTCCACTGGAAGGACTCCTTGCAGAAGGTCTTCCGGCTGTAGAGGGTCATCACGGTGCCCAGGTTCTCCAGCTTCGCGCCCAGCTCCGTGGACACTTGGGCAATGTTCTCCGCACTGCGGATGCAAATCTCGTTGGCATCCTCATAGTGCAACAGCATGTAGGGCAGCAGGGCGATCACATTCATGGGAAAGGCGCAGCTCTGGGTGGGATCACAGACGGGCAGGGTCAGCAAAGGCGCAAACTGGGAGAGAAGGGTTATAGTTGGTTCATAGGTGGCACTATGAGTGCAGCCCTAAAAAGAAAAGGAAAAAACATTAATAATAACCAATTTTGAGGACAGAAATTAATGTTTCTCAGACGAGCTAGAATGATTGTTTCAGAAGCACCAAAAATCAATGAAATTATGTTTTAAACTCCTTTGGAAGCCTATGTAATTATACATATTATAAATAAAATAGCATTGCCCAACTAACTTGACTTGTGAACTCTACTTACATAATTTTTTTTATCACTCTCACTCTATAACTCTTTTGTTTCAAGCAAGTTATAATTTTTAAGCACTTATTAGTTTGCCATTTAAAAGCGAAACTTTGGCTCTAAAACTATATATATATTCGAATAATGACTTGTTTGTTAATGCAAGTGCATTCATGCACTCAATTGTGGTACCAGAGATTTATCTAAGCATATCTTTTAAAAACTCCTGATATCGCGGTTCGAAATAATTAACATTTAACGTTTTGAGAGGGTACTCCATTTCATTCTGTCGCATAATATTAAAACGCTTAGATGCCATGAATTTGCATCAAATATGTCATCGAATTTTAAGTAAAACTAATCATATTGATTTTTAAGTAGACCTGAGGTGCTTGATAATGTAGTCAGGCTTTCAAAAGTTTAAAAATAGAAAGACGAACGTATGCATTTAAATAATTTGCATTCGTGTAGAGGCCCCTGTTTGCAATCTTTCAAGCCATCATCCATCATTGTGGGTTTAAGCAAGGTAAGTATTTAAATTACAGTCTCTTACCTTCAGTAGCAATGCATGCACACCCGGATAGGCGGTCCACTTGAGCTGCTGCTGCAACTTCTCCACCTTGTCGCGGGCATCGGGACGATCCAGGGGCAGGCGGTGCAGAACCCTGGTCAGCAGTCGCAGCGCCAGCATGAACTCGTGCTCGTAGTCAGACTCCAGCAGGGAGACGGAGAGCCAGAAGAGCTGTGCCAGTATGGTCATCTTGTCGTCCTGCGTGGCCGTGTCGCCCAGCATCTTGAGGCTCTGGGCGCTGCGGGATCGAGACAGAGCCGAGCCAGCTCCCACACCACCACCGCCCACGCCAAATTTGCAGACCACGCTGCGCTCCAAATCGATGCCCGACGATCGGTTTCTCAGCTCCACCTGCTTGTCACAGGGCGAGTTGTTGGCCTTCCGACCACAATAGGACACCGAGTAACTGGTGCTCCGGCCGTGACTGGGTATCGAGTAGTTCGAGGACTGTGGCGTGGTGCCGGATGGTGACTTCTTGCCGGGAAGGATGGAATTGGGCCCGCCGTCCTTGTTGTTCAGATTGGGCGTGCTCTTGAATATGTCCTTCATCACGTCCAGGGGTCGGAAGTCCGAGTCCAAGCTATCCACAGCCGCCTCCAGGGTGAGCAGCAGTTCCGTGACATAGCCCTGCATGTCCTCGCCCTGCTCCGCCACCGTTTCCACCAGTCTAGAGAGTATATCCGACAGCATCCGCGAGTTGATGGGCACATTTAAGGCCCGGAAGATCTGCAGACAGCGTCCTGCGTAATGACGCGATGAGCAGGACAGGCCCAACTGGAGGGCAGTCTGGGCCCAGCGCTCAGCGATGCGAGCCTGCGGATAACTATCCGCAAACACCTTGACCATGTGCTTGAGGAAACAACTCAACTGCTCGGCCGACTTGACGGCCCACACCTTGGCCGTGATGTCCTCGTAGTTCCACAGCGGCTGACACGTGTCCTGGGCGAGGAACTTTAGCAGGCTCTTGATCACATGGGCAATGGGCATACTGGGACCCGGCTGCGGTGGAGCATGCTCATCGGGATGGATCAGCGGCACCTCCGAGTTCTCCGAGTTGTTCGGGTTTATTTGCAGGGCAGCCGGAAGAGTGGCGTTCAGCCCAGGTGGCGTGGTACTCGTGTTGCCCACCGGCAGCTGATTCTGCTGCGTTTGTGACAAACTCTGCTGGTGCGCCGCTATGATCGTGGAGCTGGAGAGATTGTGCTGCAGCGCATAGGCCGCCGCCTGGGGACTCACGTGCAGCAGATAGCTATCGAACTGCTGGTGCAGCTCCGTGAAGTTGTTGTCAATCACCGGCAGGGCAGGCACCGTCAGACCCAGATCGAGTTTACTGGTCTCGCTGTTTAGCAGGATGCGGGCCACCGTCAGGTGGTCGTTGTGCTCCGCCAGCACAATCAGCAGGTTGACGCACAGCTGCTTGCAGTGCTCGCGCACAATGATGCGCGTGTGGTCCAGGCCCAGGAACAGGATGTGCAGCATCAGCGGCAGGTGCAGGGTCCAGTCCATGCCCGGAATCCCGTCCACCACAATGTCCGTGAGCAGCATCACGGCCACGTTGCATCTGCAAAAGCAAGCAAAATTGCATTCTAAATTTAAAAAAAAACATTCTACAAAATGCATTTTAATTTTTGAAAATATACTTTTCGCGCGGCAAGTTTAAAAACGTATAACTATAGCGCTAGTCACAACAGGTGATTCATAAAATATTAATATAAATTCTGTTAACTGGTACCTCATTTCATTACATAACTACAAGTTTATACTGTGGATTAAGTTACTTAATACATTATTAATTAATAAAAAAGAATCAGAAACACTAATGGAAAATTAAATTTTAGTTCAAAGTGCATTGAGTAAAACAAAAAAAATGGAACCTAGATTTTTGGAATTTGCTGTACCTTTCCTAGGTATTTACTTTCGCAAATACTATGTACCTTACCTAAGTGGGGATATACTAGTACCTGAGACAACACTGCATACAAAGGGGCGAGTGCCCTGATGACCAACCACAGTAACCTCTTTCTTAATTGATTGCCCGACAGACTTCCCGGAATATCTATGATCAGTTATAAACCAAGGGGTTAAAGCCCTGATAAGAACCTTCTGCATTGGTAAACTGATCACCCCAGGCTATCATCCATCCACTTCTTCTATAAAAAGTGCAAGCCAAAGCGATATACAGGTATATTCAATTTCAGTAACCATGAAGCTTGTGCTGTTTATAATGTTTGTGGCCACAGCCTGTGCTCGCACGAGTTCCAATCGCACGGCGCCGATAACTGATGGTCCCCAAGAGAGGATTGTGAACGGATATAATGCGTACGAGGGAAAAGCACCCTACGCCGTGGGTCTGCGGATGAACAATGGAGCCGTGGGCGCAGGCTCCGTCATTGGCAACACCTGGGTCCTGACCGCCGCCCACTGCCTAACCACCGAGTCTTTGACTATCCACTACGGCTCGAATCGGGCCTGGAACGGTCAAATTCAGCATACTGTGAGTAAGGAGAACTTCTTTCGGCACCCCGGATTTGGAAATAGCGCTGGCCATGACATCGGACTGATCCGCACTCCCCACGTGGACTTCACCAACCTGATCAACAAGGTCGCGTTGCCAACGTTTAGCCAGCAGGGCGAGCGCTTCGAGAACTGGTGGACTGTGGCCTGTGGCTGGGGAGGATTGGGCGATGGCAACCTGGCAAACTGGCTGCAGTGCATGGACGTGCAGATCATTAGTAACAACGAATGCGCCAGGTTCTACGGATCTGTGGCCTCCACCGACATGTGCACCCGCGCCACCGATGGAAAATCCACGTGCGGCGGCGACTCCGGCGGAGCACTGGTCACACACGACAATCCCATCCAGGTGGGTGTGATTGCCTTCGGCTCCGTCGGTTGCAAGAGCGCCCCTTCAGGCTACACCCGTGTCTCCGACCACTTGGACTGGATCCGGGAGAAGTCAGGAATCGCCTACTAATACTCTTGGACAATATAAACCATGGCCAAATTGTAATCGAATCTATTTTTCAAATATTTGTGCCGATAAATCTATTAAAACTATATTATTATTTTAAAAATATATTAAACTATACTCGCAATAAGCAAATTAATATTATATTTTGTATTAAAACTAAGCGGTCTTGCACATTTATGAACGATAACAGAAATTGCGACAACAATTTCTTTAGCATGCATACATATTATATTTTGTAAATTTGTAAATTTAACACAAATAAGAAGCGGTCAATGGTAAATTTTCAAAGATTGTTCCTTTAACAATTTTAACATATGGAAAGGACCACAAAGTTGACAACATTAAAAACAAAAATAAAAAAAAATTGAATAACAAATCAAAACAAAACAGTTGTTTTGATCTGTAATCAATAACCAAAATCTGCCCGTGTTTGATCTTTTCATTATTTATTTTAATTATTGCACTCCAATTATATATATTATTATATAGAAGCCAGGTAGACGAGGAAAGAAAAAAACCAAGTATAAACCAATGCAAAGAACTATTGAAATTCTGGAAATACGGAACTTGTCGAAATCATGCACAGAACTGACCAAAATCACAATACCCTTTCTTCGATTTTTTAATGACCTAAGAAAACCCCGCAACAATATCTGAGTTAATGACAGCGCGCATTACGTTTTGGAAGCACAAGCACTGATAAGTCTTTAAGGTTGGGAAAGTAATTACCCAATCATTATATCCGCTGCATACCTTTGTTCTATAAAGACTGGGAGCCAACGCGATTTACATTCAATTTCCAACCCGAAAATGAAGTTTGTGCTGCTGGTCCTGTTTGTGGCCACAGCATGTGCCCACCGCAGGCATCCCAACCGCACTGCTCTCGAGCACATCATTGTAAACGGATATAATGCGTACGAGGGAAAGGCGCCCTACGCCGTGGGTCTGCGGATGAACAACGGAGCCGTGGGTGGAGGCTCCATAATCGGCAACACCTGGGTCCTGACCGCCGCCCACTGCCTAACCACCGACTCCGTGACCATCCACTACGGCTCCAACAGGGCCTGGAACGGTCAAATACAACACACTGTAGGCAAGGACAACTTCTTCCGGCACCCCGGGTTTGGAAACAGCGCTGGCCACGACATTGGACTAATTCGCACCCCGCACGTGGGCTTCACCAATCTGATCAACAAGATCTCGCTGCCCAAGTTCAGTCAGCAGGGCGAACGCTTCGAGAACTGGTGGTGCGTGGCCTGTGGCTGGGGCGGAATGGCCAGCGGCAATCTGGCCAACTGGCTGCAGTGCATGGACGTACAGATTATAAGTAACAACGAATGTGCCCGGTCCTACGGGTCAGTGGCCTCCACCGACATGTGCACCCGCGCCACCGATGGAAAGTCCGTGTGCGGCGGCGACTCCGGCGGAGCACTGGTCACACACGACAATCCCATCCAGGTGGGCGTGATTGTCTTTGCCTCCGGCGGCTGCAAGAGCGGCCCTTCTGGCTACACCCGTGTCACCGACCACTTGGACTGGATTCGGGAGAAGTCAGGAATCGCTTACTACTAACTGAAAAAATGGACCTTGGCTATTGCATTATCATTGCACTTATGTAAATTTATATACCAACAATATGATTCAGAATAAATAGTTTAATAGTTTATATTTTGACAAAATCAATTTTAGACTTAAAATAGTGGTTTTTAATTGCTTTTTCTTTAGCAATCTTAGAAGCTCTTAGGAATCTAAATGAAATTGAATACTTTGGATATCTCGGTATAATTTATACATTGCTTTGCTAACTTCCCGAACGAATGCCTAAGTTAATGACAACACACAATTAGTCTCCAGAACACTGATATATGCAGGCCAAAATTTGAGGTAAAATTATACTTTTAAAACCAGTTACTCATTTAACAAAACGTTAAAATAAGTATCTTGGTAGCAAGGTATATTTTTAAATTACAAATTTGATTAATAAATAAACAAATTATTTATGATTGCTGTTGACGAGAAGAGCACTGATATATTATTTTGTACTTTTGTACACTTTTGAGGGATTCCTTATCGAATGGCTTCAGATTGGTATAAAAGCAAGTTGCTATGGACAGGGGCTAAGTTTCTTCCCAGCCATGAAACTGTTTTTGGCAACTCTCTCCGTGGCATTGGCCTTGGCCGCCGCCTCCCCGACGGGTCTCAACCGGACCGCCCTGCTGCCCAGGGTGACCGTTTCCGAGGGTCCCGAGGGTCGCATCGTCAACGGCTACCCAGCTCCCGAGGGCAAGGCTCCCTACATTGTGGGCCTGCTCATCCGTACCGATGGAAGCAATGGTGCTGCTGTCGGTGCTGGCACCATCATCGCCAACAACTGGATCCTGACCGCCGCCCATTGCCTGACCACCGACTACGTGGAGATCCACTACGGCTCCAACTGGGCCTGGAACGGCGCCTTTAGACAGTCCGTGCGCCGCGACAACTTCATCAGCCACCCGAATTGGCCATCGCAGGGTGGTCGGGACATCGGTCTGATCCGCACTCCCACCGTGAGCTTCACTACTTTGATCAACAAGGTGGCACTGCCCAGTTTCAGCGAGCAGAGCAACCGCTTTGTGGACACCTGGTGTGTGGCCTGCGGCTGGGGCGGCATGGACAATGGCAACCTGGCCGATTGGCTGCAGTGCATGGACGTCCAGATAATCAGCAACAGCGAGTGCGAGCAGTCCTACGGCTCTGTGGCCGCCACCGACATGTGCACCCGCCGCACCGATGGCAAATCCGGTTGCGGAGGCGACTCCGGTGGTCCGCTGGTTACACATGACAATGCCCGTCTCGTGGGCGTGATTGCCTTCGGATCTGTCGACTGCCACAGCGGTCCGTCGGGCTACACCCGCGTCACAGACCACCTGGACTGGATCCGCGACAACACCGGCATCTCCTACTAAACCCTAAAGGATTCTTCTGAATTACTTTATAAATTCTTTTTAAAAATGTAATAAATTTAAAGGAAGCTTTAAACTTTTAGTTTAAATATACTATTACTGGCTAAAAGGAAAAAAAAGCTCTATGAACAGACCTGTTAACATCTTTATGAGAATTGAGATCTGTAAAATATATATGGGCTAGAGTAATTGGATCATACATTTATACATTTTGTTTGAACTCACAGATAAAATTACTTTTAAAGTTTTCCCACGCCATTTTCGATATATCAAAATAAATTAAAAGATGGAGAATTGAAAAACTAGGAAGAACGGGTCGAGTTCCAGTCGAGTTTTACGACTATTAGATTACTCAGTTTACAAACTCCAAATTAAATTTTCCCCCACAAAACCGTCGGATTTCAGGTGGCGCCACCTGTCGACCTACATTGCCAACACTAGGAGGTAAGGAAGTGCTATCAATTGAGCATAGGATAGTGTTCTGGCGGCACTGCAGCGGCCAAGCACCGACATATCGACGGAAGACGACCTGTCAATAACTTTTAAAGTAAAATAAAAAGTAAACACAAACAAAAAAAAAATATTATTTTTGTCTACCTATCTATATGATATACTAAGGTCTTACATGTCTCAGAATGAAATGACAGTTTTTAGATTTGTAGGCCTTAGAAGGACTTCGTCAGAATATCTTTTATCTGCATGGCAAATCGCATGTCTCTAGCTTTAAAAGCTTCTGAGGGGAAGAAAAAATGGCGCGATAGCGGTCACCATTGACGGTTACGGCGTCTTCTGACGGAAGCCCCCTTACCACATACCGCACCATATAGTCACTGACTCTTCCAGGATAGCGTAAATAATTAAATACAAGCATTTTTATCTCGATCGCATTTTGTTGACTTTTTAGTTGTTTCTACTGTTTTTAAAGTTTCTTCACGCTTTCTCAGAAACAATTCAGTTTTTCATTGTTTTAAAGTACTTTGTTAATAAAATAAATTAATAAATACATGAGTACTTCTAAGAGTGGGTGATAATAAAAGCCGTGATAGTTTTAGCTAAGAGAGGCGCTAAAGTACATTCGGATGTTCGCGAAGTTAAACTGATGGAAAATATAGAAAATATTATATTATATATGGCTTGTTTTCATATGTTGTTGGTGGCATCTTGGCCAGTATAAGTTGACCACATAATTTCAGTGAGCTAACAGTTGTTCTATCAGGGACTAATTTATTGATCAGTTACCGGCTTCTTATCTTAACCTGGCTCTTAAGGGGTACAATAGATTTATGAGGTCCCATGGCCCACAGTATATTTTGCATTTCCGAAACTGATAACAGACATGTGAAGTGGCCCGATCCCCCCTGAGATGCTAATTCCAAACTAAGTGGCTGGAAAGGGACTTGCGATTTTGAGTGCAAAACATGAATGGTTTCTGTTAGTATGGGTGCGATACGACCATTCATTGTTGATGGTGGGCATGATAAAGCCTTATCAGGCACTATCGTCTGGGGAGTGGTATAAAAGCAGGTCGTCTCGGCCAGAAGACTAAGTTTCTTCCCAGCCATGAAACTGTTTTTGGCAACTCTCTCCGTGGCATTGGCCTTGGCCGCCGCCTCCCCGACGGGTCTCAACCGGACCGCCCTGCTACCCAGGGTGACCGTTTCCGAGGGTCCCGAGGGTCGCATCGTCAACGGCTACCCAGCTCCCGAGGGCAAGGCTCCCTACATTGTGGGTCTGCTCATCCGTACCGATGGAAGCAATGGTGCTGCTGTCGGTGCTGGCACCATCATCGCCAACAACTGGATCCTGACCGCCGCCCATTGCCTGACCACCGACTACGTGGAGATCCACTACGGCTCCAACTGGGGCTGGAACGGCGCCTACAGGCAGACCGTCCGCCGCGACAACTTCATCAGCCACCCGAATTGGCCATCGCAGGGTGGTCGGGACATCGGTCTGATCCGTACTCCCCATGTGGACTTCAATGGCCTGATCAACAAGATCCCCCTGCCCAGCTTCAACGAGCAGAACGATCGTTTCCAGGACACATGGTGCGTGGCCTGCGGATGGGGCGGCATGGACAACGGAAACCTGGCCGACTGGCTGCAGTGCGTCGACGTGCAGATCATCAGCAACAGCGAGTGCGAGCAGGCCTACGGCTCTGTGGCCGGTACTGACATGTGCACCCGCCACTCCGACGGCAGGTCGGTGTGCGGCGGCGACTCCGGTGGCCCTCTGGTCACACACGACAACCCTCGTCTCGTGGGCGTGATCACCTTCGCCTCCGTCAGCTGCCACAACGGTCCGTCTGGCTACACTCGCGTCTCCGACTATCTGGGATGGATCCGCGACCACACCGGCATTTCTTACTAAATGCACGGGGCATAGCAAATGACAATGCGGAGGTTTGCTTAGCAAAGTCATTGCTTTTTAATAAATTCATTCAATAACTGCAATATTTCGACTTATTTATCAAGACGGGTTGGGTAGTTGGGTACCAAATGGTGTGGCAAAAAAGCGATAGATGCTTAGACTATCTAGCAATATAGACTCAAATCAAATTGCTACTAAACTTGTAAAACTAAATTATTTAACTATTCTAAAATAAAGACTCATTAAAACTTATAACATAGAATTTAAGTCTGTTTAGAATATATTACGAGGAGCGTTAAATGCGGTAAATTATCGCTTCAAATAATTGTTCCATATTAATTGAAAACTCACCTGTGGAAACCGCTGATAGGCAAACTGACATCGGGTAGAAACTCGGTGAGCGGTGCAAAGTAGCCACCGTATTCCGGCATAGGTAGTGGATGCGGATGGGCATTGGGTGGGGCATCCGAGGCACCTCGCAACTCAACGTTCTCCTCCTGGCGCAGCTCCGGATCGTTGATCAGTATATCCTCTGGCCGGGGCAGTATAGAGGGTCCTGAAGCAGCACGGATTTTATCAGCCCCTCGCGGTGGTCGACTACCACTGGATCCTGGAGTAACTGCAGCGGCGGCAGCAGCCGCTGCTGCTTGTGTATAGGCGCGAATACCGCTGTCCGATTTGCAGGTTCTAAAGAAAAACCATACATAATAATATAAAATTTATTCAATGCCAATTCTTAGTATAAACTTGCCCAATTTTAATGGGATCCTCGCCGCTGTGCCGCTTGGTGTGAATAGTGCCCTTTTCGACGGCCAAGTCCTGAATCCTGGAGTCGTTAATGCCACCTACAGCTTGTCCTGTCACAAAAGGATTCATTAATTTATGAAATTATTTAAATTATTAAATAAATATTATAAAAAACTAGTTCTAAAAGATATTAATGAAAGCTAAAATGTTTAATCCATGCACTTACCATCTGCACTGTGGCTGGAGGCCTTTCGCATGCTGGTCAATCGATAGAAAGGTGGCGTTTCCGTGCGCTCAATTAAACAGTTGAGCGTCTCCACGGTCTGCAGCTCAGCCATGAGCTCATCTAGTAACCGATCCGGACAGCTACGCACCAGATAAAGAGCAACCCGCTTGGCCTGATTAAAGGGGATTAAAGAATGTAAGGTTACGGTTGTGGTAAGACTGTAAAGATTTCACGTTCCATCCTTACATAGGGAAGCAGTTCAGTGGGAGCCATGCCACTCATGATGACCAGGTAGCGAAGGATAACCTTCAGGTTGTTCGGCCAAAACTGGCAGAGAGTGCCCCACAACTCCTCAATGTCGCGTGGATGGGCGTCCGAGAACTGCAGTTGGGGCAAAATAAAAGATTAATGTCCATCCGCTGTGCAACGATGAGCCAGAGCAGATCCCTTTACCTTCGCCGTGATGTAGAAGAGATTGTTCAGAATCATTTCCGTGGCCTCTGTCGACCCGGTGCCCTCGCGTCGCCCGCGAGTCCCGGAATCCGGAAAATACTGCGCATGGAAAAAAAAACGTGCAAAGGTTCAATCCGTCTCCGGAATAAAACGGAAGGCTATTTCATGCACCGCTTACCATAATGTAGGACAGTGGAGTGGCGGGCGGCACACTGGTGGCCACCAGCTCCATATTCTGCAGCCAAGGAAGGAGGCACTGCAGCAGCAGGGCGCGCACATCCTCACGTGCGCTCTGAAAGCGATGGGTTATTTCTGCAAAATAAAATTCCTATATTAGTACAAATTCCTTGCATAGACTATTTACAAACACGGAATAGTAAAAAGAAATATCTGTCTATTGAATTCAAAATTTTAATTTTAATTCTAATTAAAATCATTATATTAAATACAATGCATATTAAATTGCATGATTTAATTTTAACATATTATAATTAATATTCAAAATTTAAAATATAATATAATAAGATTTAATATATAAATATAATAAGGACTGAAATAAGTTTTAGTTACTCACCGGAAAAGATGGACATGGTAAGCTCGGGACGGAGCTGGGCCAACTGTTTGGATAGGAAGCGCTGGGAACGGCAGTAGGCACTGCTTAGCAAAACATCCAGGGTGCCCACCTTGTCGTCCTCTGAAAATAAAAAAAAATTGCGAATAGTTTAATAAAAAATTCTCGTAAAAGTTTTTGGCAATCCTTAATCCGAACCAGAATGTTGTGCCCCAATCTGCATGGCCATTTTGAAGCTCCGAACTCGGGCAAGCCCGAAAGGCGACTGTGAATAAAGTTTAACCTTCGTTGGCCTTTCCAATGCCAAGGAAAAGAGCTTTTCCGGCGTCTGGAAAAGCACGTTGGTTTGTTATTGTTTTCATTGCCGCCCAATGACAATGAGACCGCAACAATTTCGTGGCACAATGGTTCTTTAACGGCCCATTGCCAACGACCCAGTGGCGTCGTTCTCCTGCTACAAATCCTGCTGGGCTAATCCCTCGACGGGACAAACTACCACTTGTTGCTCTTCCTGCCAGCCCTGACCTTGTCACCTGTTGAATCTATGAATGAACCGACGCCGGCGCAGTGGCGGGAAAAAGCTTTCACTTTCACGCCTTCCAAGAATCAATAGAAAGTGGTTTAAAAGGCTGCCACGTCCATTGTCTCGGCTTAGTTGCGCGCTCATTGTCCTGCTGGTTGGACGGAACAGCAGAAAAAACCAACTCACAGACGGACAAGTTCACACCGTGTATTTAAAAAACCGGCGGGATAATACAAACAAATATTTTTCTTTATCAATTACACCAGCACCAGCTCTCAGAGTAAACAAACAAAAATTCTATTCCTAGAATTACTAATTAATCCAAAAAATATTGCCTCCAATTAGAACGGAATCAGAAAAGTTTTTGGCTTTCGAGAAAAAAAAATTAAAAATACAACTAGACGAAATATATATTCTGCTTTGTGAAAACAAGAACCTCAGAAGTTTTGAGAACAAATAAACTTTTTATGTGTGGCAAAAGTTTTTAAATTTACCTGGCAATTCCTCTTTGTTTACATCATTACGAATTGCGGGGAAAAAATTGTTGGCCGATAATGAACTCAAAACACCTAGGTGAGCAGCAATCGGGAGTTTTAGTAAGTTTTCCGCAAGAAAAGTTTTTATAAAAGTCCGAACAAAAATTGTTTAATTTAGATTAAGTTGAGCGGAAACAGAGATGTGTGAAAAACGTGTGAAAAATTGAGCAACCAGTCCAAACTTTGAATTGTTGACACGTGCCGAATGAAATAGTTTGATTGGCCAAAAACATTTCACCTTTCCATTTAAATTAAAATGCAATTCTTTTTGTCTTTGACCTAGATCAATTAATAACAAAAAATATGTGTCGAGAAAAAATCAAAAAACAGTGACTGCGTGAAATTGAAATATAAAGTGTGCTACAAATTTAATAAAAAACGTATATGACCTTAGCAACTACAGACATGGATATGGATTATATGTCCAACACGAGTGGCAATATATCAGCCACCACAGTAGCGGCATTCACCACAACTCTAGGTGATTCTAATTCCACGGATAGTAATTCAAGTGGTTATTCAACTGAGATGGACACGGAGGAAGTATCTGGAGAGGATGAGGAGATGCTGAGAATAGCGTTCTTTATAGGGGATTTTGTACATCAGTACTATATCCCGGTACTCTGCTGCACGGGCAGCATTGGGAATATCCTGTCGGTGGTTGTTTTCTTCAAGACCAAGTTGCGGAAACTATCCTCCAGCTTCTACCTGGCTGCATTGGCCGTCAGCGACACCTGCTTTCTGGCCGGACTCTTCGCCCAGTGGCTGAACTTCCTCAACGTGAACATCTACAACAGGAACTACTTCTGCCAGTTTTTCACCTTCTTCAGCTACTTGGCCAGCTTCTGCTCCGTTTGGTTTGTGGTCGCCTTCACCGTGGAGCGCTTCATCGCCGTAATCTATCCGCTGAAGCGCCAGACCATGTGCACCGTTCGCCGGGCAAAGATCGTGCTCTCTTGCCTCACCTTCGTGGGATGCCTGCACTGTCTGCCCTATATAGTGATTGCCAAGCCGGTATTTGTGCATAAACTGAACGCCACCATCTGCGATCTCAACTCGGAATATAAAGTGAGTATGCTCAGAAAAAAAAAGAATTCTAAAAGTTATTTACAATATGCAAAAATTCGTTTTCAAACAAATAAGAAAAATTCATATTTATTAGAATGGTTTGGTTTTGCTAAACAAAAACTAGTAAAGACCACCTATTGGTTGGAAAACATGTTCTCTTAAGCAAGCGCCATTGCCACATTGTGAATTGAGTAAATAAAATATGTTGATTAATAACAAACATTCCAATCGCCAAATTCTGTATAATTCCGTTGAAAAACAGCCAAACATTCAAACGAGCTTTATACTACAAATCATGTTTATAGAGTGTAAATAATTGGACTGTTTGCCAGTTTCAAATAAGCAAAAATCGGAACTTTTATTATTACCAACATCATTTTGCTACCGGCAAATAAAAAAATTAATTTACAATTGCTCTTCATAAAATGTACCTAAACGATTTTATCTAAAAGTTATAAATTCTCTTGTAGTAATAAAGAACAATCAGCAAATGAAAATAGTTGGAAAATGACTTCAACAACGAAAAAGTAATAAACAAATGAAGAGCTAAGGCAAAATAAAGCATTTGTTTGCCAGCAGACATTTGTAAAATATTTTTCACTTTTGGCTAATATGAAAGAAATGAAATTTCTTTTTTTTTTGCTCAAAGAAAGACATTTGAATGTTTTTTTGTTTCTTCTTCAGAGCTTGCATACAACGCAAAAACGTTTGTGTACTTGCTTTTGTAGTATTTGTCAGTTGCAGCTGTCGCTTTCCTCACACCAAAATATAACTTCATCAAACACATTCTTGTAGTGCCTCGAATTTTTCATTTCGGTTGCCAGTGGTAACTAGGGACACAACAGAAATTTATTTGCCATTTCCCGCACCTTTGGTTCGACTTTTTAAAAAGTAAACCATACGTGGGTGTTTCTGGTATTTATGAATTTTTTATGCCATTAGTATTACTGTTGAAATCTGAATGGCATTGTAAGTTTGCCTTGTTAAATGGCCAGCAACATTTATGTTAAATATTTAAAAAATATGATTTCGGTGCGAAAAAAAAAGATTTCAAGGAGGGCCGCGTCGACTTTAATCAGAGGATGAGGGATTATCTGAAGAATATGCCAGCTGCATTTACAGCTGTTTCGGGTAAACTTTAACTTGACAACTCTTGAGTTGCCGAATCCCTCGTCACTTTTGCTCAACTTGGCATTGACACGCTGTCAATTGAGCCCAATAAATACCGCCAGGATAAGCGGATCTTGCGCCAGGCCGCAGAACGAAGGAGCCACTAATTTGGCCAAAACTAGAGCAATTAGTCAATTAATTGGATCCCGAAAGGCGGAAGCCAACCGCTGTGTGGGTTAAGCGAGCAAATTAAGCGTTTATTGGTTAAGAAAAAAGGGCCTCCGAAAATTGCTTAGTGAATGGGCTAAGCGGCTACAAAAAATAACAGCAAAAAGTCAAAAATGGCTAAAAGGTTAACCGGGATACAAAAAGGAAAAATAGTAGGAAAGACGAATATTTTAATTCCCTAATTTGGAAAAGATTTAGAAAAAGTCAACCACCACAAAGTTTATTTTCAATTTTCCATTATATGGAAAAACTAAACATAAATTTAAAATTTTTTACCATTGCTGGGTAAGACAACTATTTGAAACATAGGTGTTCAGTTTTTTATTTAAAAGTAGCTGCTAAGATTAACAAATATAATTTGTTGGTAACTAACTAGTAAGCTATGATCGAAATTATATTGTATTGTATTATATTGGAAATTCATTGTGCTAACTGCGTTGCAAAATTCAAGTCAAAACTATTGTACTTTCTGCAAACATTGGGTAAACAACGATGACTAAAAAACAAAAAGGCATTGCTGACTACCAAGCCAAGACAAATATTATTTCTGGGCCCGCAGCACAAACAGGACGCAACTGTAAGGACAAGGCAGTAAAATAATAGAACCAAACCCACCGGCAGGCACGTGTGCCGACTGGGTGTGTCCTGTGCGTCTTAAGGATGACAATTCCAGTTCTTAGGACCCAATAAATCTCATATTTCACTGGGCTTTCAACTGTTTACCTTTGCTTTAGCCGTAGTCGCTTTTCGGGTTTGAAATTCAATGCTAATTTTTCACTCTATGTGGGCGGTCGCATTGCAATGCAAACAGAAGGGCAGGTGAAATAATCTCAAACTAGTGAAACTCAGCATTGCTAGTCATCCAGTAGACCGCCAGCCAGCCTATTAGCCAAATTGGCCTCAATGGAGCGTTAAGTGTCGCTCCTACGTGTGTTTCTCGATTCAATTGGTAAAATGATGGATGAGTTGAGCTGGTGAAGCTCTCGAAAATGAAACGAAAAAATTTTGTAAAGATTACACTTAGAAAAATAATGACAAAATATTTATTTTTAGTGAGAAAAAATTTAAAAAAGGTCTTATAAACGTACTCTTTACCAATGATGATTAAAGTGGCTTAAAAAACATGTAGCCTATCAATTATCTTAGAAACACAATCAACTCCTATTTTTATAGATTTTAAAGAATATTTTTCTGTGCTCAGCTGCGAATTGTCAGCAATTTCGTATGACAAAAAATTCGTTTGAGCGATGGGAGCCACAACGCCTATGCCAGTTACCAGATGGCACAAGACAAGTGGACAGGAAATTATGCACAAATTCCGCGCCGGAAAGGCAAATAATTAAAAGGGGAGGAAAGTTGGTGGAACAGAAGCTGCAACGTGCGGTAGACAATATATATTGCAAAATGGCAACAGGGGGGAAGGTACCACATAAATTTTGAAACAGACATCGGCTCGAAGCTGTAAATAGACTTTTTGCACTTGGCGGTTGGCATATTGAAAGAAACAAATCATTGGGTAATAGCCCTCTGGCTGAGAGGAAGTAGCAAACCGCCCACTAAAAACGCGACCAGATGCTTCATGGCAAGCTGCGAAAGCTGCGACTTTTAGGGTATCTGGCATTCTAATGAATAGACAACGACGTATTACCTTAAATTAAGCATTCATTGACAATGAGACCCAACGAGAGCTATGAAAATGTAACGCATATTCACCAAATGGCTTTTTATTTAAAGCTCTTGATGATAATTAATTGATTTCGGTATTATGACCGGCAGTCATCAATAAAGGAGGGGCCCTTTGATGTGACTAGGCAGCAGATGTGAAGCCAAATTAAAATCTACTGAGTTCATGAAAATCTCCATTTGACAGTCTGAGGACACAGGAAGTGTCCAAGAAATAGTAGAGTGCAAATACCATATGCATGGAACAATTTCCATGTCAACCAAAGAATGCCAAGGGGCGTGGGTAAAACTTACAAAAGCTCTGGATTTAACTTCCTCGACTTTGCGTTGGAGTTGCGAATGTATTAAATTGTAAAATGTTCTTTGCATTGAATTTGAATTTGAATTAGATCTGTGCAAGTTTACATATTAATGAAAAGACGAGCCATTTGTCGTGCAGAAAACTTTTTCTCAAATATACGCACATTTAAAATGAACAATTCCGCTTTTAAAAATTTCCATGTGCCAGTTCAATTCAGCACATCGGATTTATAAATAGTCCATCTCTTTGGTGCTTTTTAAAGGATAACAGCCAAGAACTAATAATACTTTCATAACAATTTCGTGTATTAGAAGCATCAAAGTGCCAGGCATTATCATCGTCAGTTGATTGAAAATTTACGAGCTATTACACTTTGATCCACTTGACACACATAGGCGGCAAAAGCCATACTAATCATTGGGAGGGGCATTAAGAGTAAATAGCAAATAAATTGAATGGATTGGTCAAGCCAGGACAGCCTTTATGGTTATTACAGCGGTTTGGGGGATTTTCCACAGCGCTTCCTAAGGACGTTTACTGACTAAAATCGCAACTCGACAAATAAAATGCCTGGTCAATAGATTTTAGTTTTGCGTTGCATTTCAAACTGGGAAAACATATGTATAGTAATAAAATATTAACCAAAAAGCTCGAAATGGGTAAAACAAAAACCTCCCACGATGACAGAATATTTAGGCCATTTTTGAAAATACTTTAAGGCACAGAATTATAAGTATGGCTTTAACAATTGAACAATTTTGATTTTCTCGGTCGATGATTAACATAATTACAGTAATTGTGTAATACATTTTGATGAATGCCAACACTTCAAATTATGCAAATTGAAAGCAACCGCCAGAAATCATGGCAGAACCCACTGATGATGATTGCATATCTAGAGTGGAAAGTAGAAGTAGATTTAAATTCCTGCTTGGCCAGTTGGTTTGGCTATAGATATACGGGTGAACAGTTGGATGGTCCTTAATGAATGATAATGCCCTTATGTTTTGGTTAATTGTGATTGAAGTAAATGAGATTGCTTTGCCCAAATTGAGCCAGGCGAAATGGCCATCCATATCTGTTCGGTGAGATTAATGCGAGTGTGCTGGAAAATTTCAGATTGAAGTTTTCGGACATGAAAATATTCAGGCTACCAGGAATTTATCTGCTCGAAAGTTCTTACCCCAAATGAAAGTGGAAAAAATGCAAAGGGCGAAGCGAAAATAGTTTGCTGGGGAAAAAGGGTTCAGCCGAGCAGTAAATGCCGAGAAGTATGCCGAGATTAAGGAAACAGGCCAGAAGGTCAGCTCTTGTTGTTAAGAGCGTAAACTTATCGGTTCAGCATAATATAATTCCATTAAACTTCTCGCCAAAGTGGATTATGCAAATTAAAACAGCTTTTTCTGTCGGGATCGGGATAGTTGAGGTTTTAAGTTGCGCTGGCGTATCGCAAAAATTAATTTAACTCAAACTTTAATTTGTTTAACTATTCTTTCAACCACTTTGTTTAGCAGTTTAATTACATTTAGAAAAGAAATTTCCTAGCACTTGGTTAGAAGCCAACCAAATTGAATTCGGGCCAAACAAGATTAAAGGTAGTTGGTGGTGCAGAACCAAATTACGTTTACGTGGCGTATACTCAATTTAGTTTACTGTTTCGTATACGCCACGGTGTCTGAACCACAAAACCAATCGAATTGCAGTCAGCGTAGTAATAATAATAAAAAAAAACGTGTCCTTTCATTCGCAGGAACAACTGGCCCTCTTCAACTACTGGGACACCATTATTGTCTATGCGGTGCCGTTCACCACCATTGCTGTGCTGAACACCTGTACAGGTTGCACGGTGTGGAAATTCGCAACCGTTCGCCGAACACTAACCATGCACAAGATGTGAGTATTGGCCTCAGGTTAATCGCAGTTCGATTTCTAAAGCCGTTATGGGATTTCATTGCGATTCAAAATTAAGTATCCGTAAAACTCGATACACTTAAAGCTTGCTCGCTGAGCCACAAAACCAATCGACTTGCAAATAAATATAATAATAAATATGTATTTATGTTTTATAAATCATAAGTAATTTGCACTGAACAAGAACATTTCTAAAGTAAATTAAATATACATTTTGAAAACCTTAAAAGCAGTTAAAATATGTAACTGACCTGAAAAATAGATTAGTTTGTGTGTTAATTTATTAGAATGATTTTAAATTTAAAGTAAAATAAGATTTATTTTAAACGCAATACATCAAAAGTACTTTTTTACTATGATTAAGGTAGTTGCTGAATAAAAAAATCTTTAATAGCTTAGAACTTATTTCTGTTCGGGAAACCATCAATAGGTTATAAATACTCTGCGGTTTTGTTTGCTACACAGGAAACCACAAACGAACAGCTTGCCATCGAACTCGTCAAACTCATCCGGAGCAGCATCTGCAGTGGCGTCGTACCGCATTTCGACTTCGCTGAAGCGTCAGAAGTCGACGGGAGCGCAACCAGGCGGACAAAACAATGTTGCCTTGGGGCAAACGGATGAGCAGGAACAACAGCAGCCACAACAACATCAAATAAACAATTGCCAGCACCACTGTGAGATTACACAGAAACCAGGTGAGAGTCCTACACATTTGGGATGGCTGTCTGTTTGGAAAATGCCAGTGTTTCGCACAACTGGAACTCACTAAGGAACTCGTTATGGTGACATTTTCTAGAAAGTTGGAACAAGCAAAGACTACAAGTTTTTCTTAAGCCGTTTAAGTTCGCAGCGCCGTCTGACATTAAAAATGACAAAACAAACAATGACGAAAGCAGGAGGCAAATTTTATAAAAAACTTTCTGACAGCTGCAATCTTAGCCAAGTTTCCGACACTGACAAATTGTCAAACAATTTGCCAACTATTAAATATAATTTCTAACTAATTATGAGGACTGCGGGAGTGTGAAAGTCTGAGAATTGTCTCAGAGTTAACTCCTCGCCTGTTTTTAATTACATATTATATATATATATTATTCCTCAGCTCGTCGCAAGGTACAAAACTCATCACAGATCAAGGTAACCAAAATGCTGCTCATTGTCTCAACGGTTTTTGTCTGCTTGAACTTACCCAGCTGCCTGCTGCGCATCGAGGCCTATTGGGAGGTAAGTGATGGAAACTTAATTGCTGCCCAAGGCAATTTTGAGCTCATCTCAGCCAATCGGTCGGGTTGAAACCCCTTCTATTATATCGGGGCACAAAGCCGATGCATTGTTATCCCAGGCCCAATGATGGGACTTTACATAGGTTTTGACCCAAATAATTGAGTCAGCAACCCTTGACCGCAGCTTGTAAATTAAGTGTGGTAGATAATATACACAGACAAGAGTTACACCGAGAAAATATAAATAAATATCTACAATTTATGGAAATTTAGAATGGTTAAATATTTCTTCCAGGCGCCATTTACTTTTTTAAAATATTTGATTACAAATAAACCGGAATCTTGATACGAATAATTTTGTAATTTTAATCGTTAATGTCGTATTAAAATATTGAAAGCCTTTTTTGGTTCATAAATATTTAAGATTTTAGAATATATTTTTAATTTTTTGTGTGTACAAATAATTCCTAATATGTTCCCAAAACAATGGGGTGTTAAGTACCATTAAAGCTATGTTAAATATGGCTTGAAAAAAATTATAAAATTGTCATGACAACATTTAACTATTGCGGATGCTTCGGCTTTTGTGGGCCACCACTTTCCCCACGGCTTTTCGCCTAGTTAGCTCAACTGTCGCGTTAATTCCAGGAATAACATACATCAAAGGGGGTAACATTTTAATATCATCGCCAAGTGAGCAAGTGGTTGGTATGGTGAATGTCATATGGGTGACAATTAGGCTTTAATTAGTTTGTGCACTTTGGAAGCAAATCGTAAAAATAAAATCAGTTTCATGTTAAATTTATGCCCATGGTACTAGAGGACTAAAAAAGGATTACCCCAAATGTAAACAGTAAACACAGGAGTTTATTTGGTTAATGACTTTGAACATGACTCTTACAAAGGGAAACTATATAAATAAGTACAACTTTTATATATTTAAATGAGAGTTAATTAAGCTTGTATCTAAACATTACACGTGCGTTTCAAAGAGCAAACAGAAATTCAATAAACACAATTTAATTAAACTGTGAGTGTCAGTTCACTGCTCTTTCTTTTTTCCAATTTGGTTCTAAATTTTGGAGAATTTAATATATGCCATAAGCCGTCAAAGCTCTGACAGATTTTTCTATGTGAACGCATGTCAAAGTTGACACATGAAAAGTATTTTAAAGATAGCAAAGAATACACCGAAAATATTGTATCCCAAAAAGTAACTGTTGTCTATTTTCAATTGTTTTATAAAAAAAGTATATATTGTATGTAAGCAAGTATATATTGTATGTCCATTTGGTTAGGGTATAAAAGTTCATTTCAAGCAAGTTCATATGTCAACTTAAAAATGCGGCATACTTTGACATTGATTGCAACACAAAATTAATTGAGTGGAAAACGATGGAAAACAGACATGAGCTAAATTATTTTCCGGCCTTTTTCCCCGGAGTTCACAGGGCAACAGGACAACAGGGAAGGCACGTGTCTATTACACATGAATTTTGTAGAAAACGATAAGTTTTGACTGTGACTTATAGTTAAAATGTGTAATACCAGAAATCATTAAGCCATTAGAAAAGTTATGTAAAACTTTGCATCAGAAGGATATCGATTCCTTATTAAAAGCGCAAAGGTCGATGGGAAACTGTCGATGCCAGAAATAACCATGACAACGTATCCTAATTGGCACACACAATTCATATTAAAGTTATTACTTTTCTTGTCATTTGTGAATCTTACCCACAGACGGAGTCCGCCAGAAACGAGAATTCAACAATTGCCCTGCAATATATTTTTCACGCTTTTTTCATCACCAATTTCGGGATAAACTTCGTGCTTTATTGCGTCAGCGGACAGAATTTCCGGTAAGTAATGCGACACAAATTACCCCGATAACGCATGCTTATTCCACTGGCTTAAATAATCATTTAAATACATTATTCGCATTCTTTGCAACGTTTCTGATGAATTTACAGCAAAGCCGTATTGAGCATTTTCCGGAGGGTTTCATCCGCTCAACGGGAGGCGGGAAACACCCAAGTGACAGGTGAGTGGATGAATTTCCGCGAATAATATAAGGCCATAATGCATTCAATGCAGAATGGGGAAATTAAATATGACAAATGCGATTTTATGTGTTCAAAAAACTTGAAAATGTAATCATAAACTTTGAGGGTAAAGAGATGTTAAGGAATTTAATCTCCAGAAAGTCTATTAATGTTCTGGGAAAATACATGTACATCTAACTAATTCTATACTCAAACCTTTAAGCCTTATTGAAACTATTTATTCAAAGTTGCATAATAAAATGTAGTTGAGTTTGTGTGCAATTATTTCTGACTTAACAAAGAAATAAATTTCATACAATTCCAACTAGAACTGTTTAATCTCTAAAGTAATATATAATAATGCACTTTAATGGACAAAGGCAAAATATTCGTTGTCTTTCCTTTGGGGTAAGAATAAATTAGCAAACGAAAAGCCCTCAAGTCAAGCGACTTTGCAGCCGGATGGAATAAGACTAAAACTTGGTAATTGCAATGAAGAGCTTCTCTATTTCTTACTAGACTTGAACGCATAGTTAAGAGTGCTTAAATCATTTACAAAATGCCAACAGGGTTGCGGTTCCTAAATTTTGCTGTTCTTGGCAGCTGGGAAACTACATTACCCAGGGCGGTTTAATAATTATTTGGGAATTTGTGTTGAATTAATTAAGCATAAGATATTGTTAATTGTTATAAATTCTAAGCACAAGCTCCTGGGCTACAGAATAGTTTGTTTTCATGGGTTCCAATTATTTTGGACGCGTTGCTGATTACAGAAGCTTTGACATTTGGCCATGCAGCTGCAGAATAAACATTTTTTACGCTTGAAATCTCTGGCTGACTCCCCAGACTTCACAAAAAAACCCAGATAAACTCAGCTCAACCCGCCACAAACAGATGTCAATAGCAGAGATTCGAAAGGATTAAAGCGACCACTCAACTTCCTTCTTGGGAATTAAATCCCAGCCGGCATTACATTTGTCCTCTGCTAGAGAAGTCGGAACATAAATTCCTGTTTAGTTGCTGTTGCGCCGGATGCGGGGAAAACTTTTCCTATAAACGCTCGGACAGTGGAGGCAAACAAATCGGCATCCGACGGCATGCTTTCTGTTAATGAAAAGCGGTAAGCATTTTCACCGGGAAACATCAACATGAAGAAGAAAAGGAGCGTGTGGGAGTGGAACATGATAATTAGGTTCATCGGAAAAAAAACTTTCGTAAAATATTAAACAATAACTATAATAATCACAACTTAAAATTTTGATGCTTCAATATTTAGTTATAAACTTATTAAAAATTTGAGTCTTGAATAAAAAAATGTAAAAAATAACTTAATTAAACAAGTTGGGATTTCATAAAAACCAAATGTTTTTATTAAAAGCAAGTACTATATTTCTTATTAATACAAGCAAATTACTTTCCCATCACTTCCTAACATAATGGAAAAGAAAGTCCGACTTCTTCCTTTGTCAATTTCAGTCTTTAAGGTTTCAACAAAAATACGTGCTTTTTTACTGGATAAGACTCGTTCTGAATCGATCCAAATCTGAAACCATTCGAGCATGCAATTCTATAGACAAGGACAAGCTAACGCAAATGGTAGCCAAGACTTAATACATTTATTTATGAATTAAGATAAGTTAAGTAATTAAAATCGGTTTAAGAATATTATATCCAGAGGCATTTGACTTAATCAAATCATTAGTAACTTTTTTTTTCAATTATTCATGAATATTATTGTTCAACAGACTTTAATTTTGAATGATATCAACTCAGCCGACTATGTAGTTTGTGGCTTAATATGGATTGAATATAAATTCAAATTCATTGTTTTACGGCTTTAAGTTGTGTTTTCCACTGGGTCCCTAAGCATACAACAAGATTTCCTCTCATTTCCCGCAACCATCGTTCTCCAGCCGTAAAATTTAGTTTTACGATTTTCCGGCTTACCTTTGGGGATCATCAATTTTTAATTTCTTACTAAAACCAAGAAAATTTTTGAACAGCCATTTCTCTTCGGCTCTCTAGTGGCATATTGAAAGCCATAAAAATGTCAAGGTGCATATTTATTTTACAGTATGGTTTTCCACTTGTTAATTAAAAGTGTTTGCCAATTCGTTAAGTGTGGAAAATTCAGGAACTGTGCCACACAAACATCTCAGAGAAAAATGTCAGGGTAAAACAAAAATTTGAATGTAAATGAAAATGAAAAAAGGGGAAAGTGAAAGGAACAGCGAAGGCTTCAGATGGCAGCAAGAATTCCTAGGTAAAAGCTCAGGGCCGAAAAGGATCAAACAGGATAAAGAAGTGTGCTTCATGCAAATATTGACACTATGCAAATACATGAGGTGTCCTTGTTTTGTTTATCTACCTCGTTTGGAAAAGAGGCACAATTGTAGAATTTAAAATTACATTTAACAACATAAAGCAACTTATAAAAATGATTACTATTTGGAGTTTGTGCTTGTTTGTTCCCTTATATTCTGATTTTTTAAAGGCTATTTTTTAAATTTATATTGTAATAATATTTTGCCGGCTTAAATCAGTTGAGACTTTAATCAAGTGGCATTTAAAGAACACCTACTAAAAACACTATCCATCCAATTGTTGTGTTAAATTTTCAACGTAGCATACTAATCGATTTTTGCTCATTCCAATTCCAAAATGCTTTCGTTGAATGACTACATACACCGGTCCGGATAATCCGAAAATCAAACATTGGCAGTTAATGAGAAAAGCGTTGCGTTCGAACATTAGATTCCCCACCAATCCGCTTTTAATCATGGCTTGCGGCCAGTTCCGCAAATACATTTTCACTTTTTCGCGCGGCATTACTCATACGCAGCGTAGTACGTGTGTTGAATGCAATAGCAATTGACGCGACTCTTGGGATCCGCCCGCTACCTCATTACGGTGCTTCTTACTAGCCATAAATTACCAACACATCCAGTCACGCTTCTCCAGGCTGCCACTTAGAAGGAGACCATCCCTGAGCTCCTCAGGCTTCTCCATGGCAAGTCAATCAGTGCTTGTCTCTGGAGAAGACAGTGCCACTCGCTTCATTTCTCCATGCAATCATAGAAAAGCAACTAGAAATGTTTCTGCTAAGGCTCACTGGCTAGCTGTTACTTTAGTTAGGTTTAAGGTGAATGAAATTTGAGTTCTGGATTTTAATTTCAATATATATTATTTATATTTATATAATTTGTCATAAGCAAACGATAGTCGTTGGTCATTCTAGCTAAAACACAAGGGGTTTGCCAAGTTGGTTTGAATATAATACTTTTAAAATAATCAACTGTTTTTCAAATTTAAAATGCTGTTTAAATTGACTTGTTTATAATGATTTATCTCACATGAAGCTTGATTTTTGCCAGGAAATAATGGCGCTGGCTCAGAATATCAAGTAGCAAAGTGCAGCAGCTTTGTAGTTTTGAAAGCCTCAAGATATGAGCATATGTACCTACAAATTAAGGTATGACTATTATTTGAAAAAACAAATCAACACAGCAATTCACTTAAGATTTCGATGGCTTCCATTTGAAAGAGCGGTAGGAAGACTTGTGCTGACGCGAGAAGTTGATTGTATAATTTATTTAATAACTTGCTGGAGAAGGAATGAAAACGTGTCACACAAAAGCCGAGTAAACATCAAGCATGCGTCAAGGACAGTCGAAGAACGTCATCATTAATCTTGCCAGGATACAAATATCCACACATGATAATCAACAAAAAGTTTAAGGAAAAAGCCAAAGAGGGTGGAATTTTACTCAACAACGCTGAAGTAGCCAAATTTTATTTTTAGATTTCCACTGTTGACATCCCGAAATGATAAAATGTGTCGAAAATAAAGCTGAGGAATAAATGTTTAATTTGCGGTGAGTTTAAAGCAATTCCGAGAATACAATTGCTTTTGAAGGATAACCATAATAACCCAGTGCAAAGACCATAAAGATATAAATGCAAACAAGGCAGACAATGTGTTTATTGGAAAATGCCGTTGGTCTGAATTTATTGACACTTTTTTCGAGCTTTGTGTGCTTTTCGACACGGATGATTGATTAGCTCAGATTGCCATGAACCACAATATTTCGATGAAACGATGAAACCAAACCAAATGAATATGTGTTCCAGCTGTCTGTTAAATTAGCCAACAAAAACGCAATGATTCGATGCGTTTTGCAGGGGCCTTAAATCCGATTTGTTCAGCATTTGGATCCGGACATTTGGTTCTATCGGAAGGCTAATAAATTGGCGCACAAATAAGCCAAAAAGCCCGTTGAGCAGCCCATTGAAAACCCCAAAGTACCGAATTTATAGTCTACTCTTGTGCTCCCTGCTGGGATTCAGATTCGACTGACGACGTAAATTACAGCTCTGTCATTTCCAGGTACACATTAAAGGATTGAAACGGACACCCAAATAAGAACGGAAAAAACATAAACAATTGCGGATTAAGTATAAATAATAGATATTTGATTCGGAAAAAAGGCCAATGGACAATTATTTCTGTTTTTCGCTTTTCAAAGGCGAATAATCTGTAAAACCAAATATGCAAAAAGTATATTATTTATCATAAAAAAAATGTGTTGTGAACAGAATTAAAAAAAACTATTTTAGGAATTCTATTAATTTTAAAAAGCAAAAACAATATAATAAAAAAGTCCTAGTAATATTCATAAATATTTTTTAAAGACACAAGTTATTTTTAGAGTATTTTTAGAGTACCCAAGAGCTACCTGCAACCAGAAATTTCATAAATGTAGAACCTTGAAATTTATAATTACATTTACATACACTAAATGGATTCTTTGCTTTGGCAATTGAAATTCAAAGAAATATTCCACTTATCAAAGTGTTCCCCGCACTCAATTTACTACATTTTCACATGCTTACCAAGCTATTTGGCTTTTCTTTCCCTTTTTTTCTTTTCAGTTTCAGAATATTGTCGTAATACTGGCACCTCCACACGCCGTCGTATGATGACGCAGCATTGTTGGAACGAAATGCACGAGTTGCATCCACTCAAATAAATAGCAGAGCTTACACAGAAATTAACTTAGAGGCTTCAAAGGCCACCGGAAGATTGCGAAATACGCAGCGGGATAAGCAGGAATTTCGTTTTTAATTAGATATCAGAAAACGTTAAAAAATAAGAGGACGAAGAAAGTAAAAATTACAAAATTAAGTATACAAAGTGAAGAAACAAAAGCGAAAGATTTGTTTGTGATGTTTGTCAAGGCCAAGCAAAATGAAAATAAAAACAGAAATCAAAATTAAGAATGTATACACCGCATTACATGAATTTAAGTGTTTAAATAATCATGTAGTAATAAAATTATTAGTTGCTGTTTTGCTTCACGTCTATTAATAAAGCCTAGTCCAATTTATATCCGCACGCTAATTTAATTAAATGCTAACCACAAATACAAATTGAAAACGTCAAACGTAAAACCCAATAGATTAGATTAATTCAAATGTACTCTTGTCTAACCAACCAACGCTAAAATGTACGTACACAAGTAATAAATGTTAATTTCGTTCAATGAAAAGCCAGCAGGAATGAGTTTTGATTGGATTTCGCACTTCGCCACAGCAAACACTTAAATCATTTTCCAATTGACTAATCCTAAATAGGGCAATTGCGTTTAATCAACTTTAAATGGCATCCTAAAGCCATTTCAATTTGGCAATGACGGCTAAATTCCGAATTAAGCCAATTTTATTTACCGCTGCTGACCCAATGTAAAGGATTTATTATTATCTTTTTAACTTATCTGAATGCAGCATTCTCGACAGGAAAATAAAGGTAAACTTCATCAGCTTAGTGCGAAGGCAGAAAAAAGGTCAGGGTCTGCTTTTAGGTGGGTGGCTAACACTTTTGGGTAAAAAGCAAAAGGTGAGTAAAAGTGTTAAAGTGCAAAAATCGAAAGTTTTGCTAATTATAAACATAGTAGCCCTTCAAATGCATATAAGCAATATTCAATTTTGTAAATAAATACATTGGAAGATTAAAAAGATACACCCAAAATCTAAATCCAACACCATCAGACAACATCGAATGTGGGAGCGCATACACAGCTTGTTCAAGCTTCATATGTTATGCAATAAAATGTGTACATCCACAGCCAAGTAATACAATAAAACGATGGTACTTACATTTATGAAGTTAAAATGCATAATTGAATTTTCAAAAAACAAGGAGAATAAACAACATTTGCCGCATTGGGAAATTTATCAAATGAGGATGGGCTTTCCTCGAAAGTGAAAAACACATTTTTACTCGTCTGAGAGTTTGAGTGTCATGTCAGCTTGTTTTTGTATTTTTTTATGTAGCTCAACCTCGGACGTATTGTGAATACACTGGGAATTAGAAAATTCTCAGAACTAGTATAAATTCTGATGAATTTTCCTTTCTAGTCTTTGAAGTAGATTATGGTACAACGGTTATGTATTGAGCCCAATCAATAAATATTACAAAGCAATAATATCAATTCCTAAACCTTTAACATTTGAAATGTAAAGCTATTCGTAATATGAATTTTCATGTACATCGAATTAAATATTTCTATAATTTACTATGTTTTTGGCTTTTTATGCAAATAAACAACAACTTTGGGCTTTTCTCAATTTAAAAAACATTTGATTTTTTATATCTTAGCTATTTAAAGAATTAAACTGGTAAATAAAATATTATATTTTAAAAATTGAAAAACCACTAAGACATATATGTTACCTATTTAAATTTGTTTTGTTTGTTTATCGATCAAGCAAAATAAGCTTTGTCAGAATAAAAGGTTTCAAACACTATAAAATCGCCGCCTGTAGATTCCCCATTCCACAGCAATGGTCTACTCGAGATTTTCGCTTAATTTTAATTTTATTGCCATCAGCCCGCGTTAGTTGCCATGTCAGAGGGGAAAACTCATACCTTTCTCGTTGTCGCTGTGCAGAGTGCCCACCACGCTGCCGAAAAAGCGCTTGTCCAGGATCTGCAGCAGTTGCAACGCCGTTGCATGCACCTCCACACGGGGACAGCCTGTCATCAGGAGCGTCACTGTTATCACAGATGTGTAATGGTCGCACGGATATTCCCTGTAATTAAAATGGAAGGAAAGCCAAAAGCTTTAGTAAGTGGGTTTGGTCCTACAGGACAAGTTACAAAGTTGGCCTGCGGTTCTGCGGTTGTGTGCTTAATGTTTAGCGGCTAATGTTTAACACGGCACACGCCCAACGTGACCACAGACAACAGTTGCTGCTCAAACTGCCACCTGGTGCAACCAGAAAAACCATCAACCCAACCAATGGCCACCAGATCCATTAAAATGTCGTAGCCCACTTCCAACTATTTGTTTGCAGCCACACAAATTTGTTGCCCTGGGTGCGGAATAACACTTTCGGACTTGAACCACCCACTTTACCTTGCGTTCACGCTTGCAGTAAACTGAATAATTTACAGAAATCGATTTTCGCTTTGCATCCCCACAAACACATGCCATCAACGCTACAATGTATGCTGTGGTTTACTTTTTGTTTTTTCTTTCTTTTTTTCTTGAAGAGTTTAAAAGAAAACAGAAAGTGCAGAGCTTATATGTCCAATGTATACTTTAAAGCTTAATGGTCGTTAAGATTAAAGTTCAGGGACAGTCTGTTCAAATAGTCGACGTTTTTTGGGCACAAGTTGCCTGCGATAAGCAACCGAGACCCAAAACTGTTTAGATATAATCAATCAATTCTTGGCAAAATTGCTTTCAACGTCTTTAAATCTGGTCAAAAAGTTAAAAAATGTGTCACAATACCGATGGAAATTAAAATGGTATACTCAACGATGTGCAAACGGCATGCAAACGCCACCTGCCACAAAAAATCAAGCGAAAAAAAATTTTGGAAATGTCACGCGCTGGCCAAATGCTGCATTTAATTCAGCCAAACAAAAACAAGGGTAAGCATTGAGTGCATATAGTTCGCATGTTATATACCCTGTAGCCAACTTCATGTTTCTAAATATGTTGAATAATTCATTAAAATTTAGTTATTATATGACGTAATCAAATACTTTTGTATTCTTAGACAAGTTAATGCAGAACCAAGAACCACAGCACGCGCACTGCAGTAAGACGTTAGCCAGCCGACAAAGACCACACATGGTCGGCTCAGGTGTGGTTTAGATGTGTTTATGTTGTGGCTATGGCTTTCGGTTATAGGCAAAACCACAAAGACGGATACCCACCTAGGACAAACCGCAAACTAGTGACTCTGGTTGCTATAACAGCGAACTAAAATCCTTCGACATTCAGAAATGTAAACTTTAAGATGTGGTGAGACGGACGATTTGGTTATTAGAATAGGTAATTAATTTTCATTAAAATCGTACAAACAAACAAAGATTTTTAAGCAACATATAAGCTTCACATATATCTACAATATTTATTTGAATTACGCCACTTTAATACAAAATGAATGGAAATTTGTAAATGTTTAGTAAAACAAATTGAACTCTGCTTTCGGTCTGTATCCTAAAGACTCACACCTAAAAAAAGCCATCGCTTGTGAAACATTTGTTTGCCGATTTCAGTTGCATTAAATGCAATGAGCCGTGCATGCCATGCTTCATATACTCAGCTGTTTATATTGCATACGCATTCAAAAAAAAAACACAATCCCGCTCGCTGCCATAATGGCCATAATGACCAGGTCAGAACAAAAAAATAACAGAAAGCGGAAGGAAATAAAAAACGTGCTTGGCCTGAACAAATAGGCTGTCATCCGCTCATGTGTGTGTGTACGTAAATTTAAAAAGAGTTTCCATTGCTCGCAGACACGTGAAATGCTACTTAAGTGGGCCAGAGACACTGGGATTTTGGCTCTCCATCCCCCTCAATCCCAATCCCTGGATATACGGGCAGTGTGATTACCGCCGCAAGTGGAGGGCGAAGTAAAGGGCAACGCGTAAGGCGATTACGTATTAAGCGGCAACCGTGTTCAAGTTTAATGTGTCGTTTCCATGCACTTACTTGGCACTGAAGATCGAGGCCAGGGCAAGGAAGCAGGCATCCGCTTCGCGCGGTGTCGACGTATAGCACCGATCTATGACCCACTCCAGGAGCTGTCCCATATCCGGATTTGATTCCAGCAGCAGCACAACTGTGTCCCGGGCCAGTTGGTAAATCTGTGAAAGTGACTTCCGCTTTAATTGCAGTTCAAGTGGAGGAACAAGTGGTTGGCGGTTTACCTTTTCGTCCTTGGAGGTCAGCAGCAGATCCAGCCACTTGTATATGATGCCGTCATCTTGTAGATGAGGCGCATAGAAGATGTGACCGCAACAGAGCAGGGCGGACATGGCCTAAAGAGCATACGGAGAAGAAAAGTACACAGAAATGTAATAGTGGTAATAGGTCTTAAGGACATGATATCTTTTCCAAGCTTTAAAAATCCGTAGAGAATAAAGTATCCGTATTCTTGCCTAGCATCAATATTGGGGAACCTATCCTTATAACAAGTATAAGAAAGTTGAAGAACGTTCTAATTGTAGTAAAATAAGATATCGATAACCCAAATTGGCTTAGCATAACTAATATAAATAAAAATAATAGTAATAATAAAAAAATAGAACGTTCTTTATCTTAAAATAAGAGTCAAACTCAAGGTATGATCTCGGAGAATTTCGTCGTTTTAAATTTGTAAACCAGTGTAATTATATTATAAATATTAGAAATAAATATTAAAACAGCATAGAAGCATTTAATATGTTTAGTATTTAACAACTAGAAACTATTTTCTAGATATTAAATACTGCAAATGTAATATCCTTATAGATTCTATGATATAAAATCATAACATGAACAGAAAACACAAAATTTGGCCATAATTTTAAGTACAATTTTGAACGGTGGACAAAACTTGGGGAAGAAATAATCGTACTGCGCCCTTGTTCTGGTATAATACTTGCCTGCAGGGCGCTGAACTGCAACTTCTCCTCCTCGAGGGTCTGGCCAATCTGCATGGTAATGCCCAGCGGCTTGGAAAAATTGCCGCACCATGCGGCAAACAAATTGAACAGATTACGCTTGAGAACCCGAGAAAGCAGCGTGGCACAGGATTCGACTAAGGGGAATGAACAGGCAATCAGTTGTAGCAGATGGATACGCCGCCAAAGTTGTGGGGACGACAGCCCGTCAGGACTTTGAGCACTTACGTGAGAAGTTCTTAATCATCTTGCGTATGAAATTGCAAAAGTGAGCCTTCACTTCGCGAATGCTCAGATTATCCTTGTCCGTCTCAGCCATTAGATAGGCCATGGCCCCCTCGATATACTCCACGAAGGTGGGATGCAGCGACATCGTGTCGCGTTCCAGCACACAGGTGCTGCAAATGGGTGAAGTAAAGTTCTCGGTATATTAGCAACATATACAAACAGAAAAACTTCTGGTAAACAAACTATGAAATACGTTTGCACTTTAATTACATAAAATATAGCCGAGTTTCCACAGTTCAAAGCATCATCTCCCACCAAATCAAGTTAGAGTTATACTTTAATTTATGCAATACATTTCACTGGCTTTCTTTTGCCTTAAAAACTTTGAAAAGTTTGAGTCATGGAAATTCAACTTTAATTTGTACTTTGGTTTGGCTAATTTATTTGATTTCTTTCATCTAGTTGACAACTTTTAATCTTGTAGTTTTAATTGCATCATTATTATTTACAGTAGATAAATAAAATCAAATAAATTGTGGTTTTTATTTTTGTTTGCATCATTATTATTTAAATTTGATTAAGAAAACCATATAAATTGTGGCTTGACTTTGTGTATCCTTGTAGTACTTCTTACCTTACACCAAAGGTTCCGTTCTCGGCAATCTTCTCCAGCACTCGCACCACCTGCAGGCGCAAGGCATCGCGTCTCCGCCTCCTTCGCATGTTTTCCTGCTTGCGATCCACCGCCTCCCGGATGTACACCACCAGCTCCTCCATTAAATCCCTGCCAGAAGACACACACACGAACACACCTTGTCAAAAGGGAAACATCCAGTTAGATGTGGCTTAGGGACTTACTTGAGCGCATCATGGTTTATCAGGCCCAGGGCGTTCACTGCCGCATCCCGGACATCCACGACTTCGCAGCGGAGCAGCGGAACCACTAGTTTGTAAAGGGCGTGTGGGGAGGCGCTACCCATCGCTGACTTGTCACTGCGATCGGCGTTCAGGGAGTCCGGCGATGAGCTGTAAAACAAATTTACGTGCATGGATTTTAGTGTCAAAGAGCCAGTGCTCCAGTCTCCGTGGCAGTAAGTTCTGTTAATGTTGCTTGCTGGCTGTGGGTGCTTGGTGCTGCCTTGGCAAGGTCATCGTTTGGCGAGAGTCCATAAAGTTTACTGCGATTTAAACTGGTCTCTTAAATCCGCTCACTTGACAAACTCAAACTCAAATTTCAGGCTGTAATTTACATTTACTACGTACAGGTTACGGTCCCTGCACTTTCGCAATTTCGTTTTTTCTGCCGTGCAATAATAAACATTATGAATATTAAATTCGAAATCTTCTTTCAATTAAAACCCATTTTATTATTTTTTTTTTTCTTTGACGTGGATTTTCCCTGTCTGTTTGCGAGGGTCGGTCAGGACGAATAATAATAAATGACAGAAAGCAAATAACAATTTCATATACATGTACAATTTTTTGCTGCTGAGAAGCGAACATGAAGCCAAATCAAGCTTTTTTGGGTTTTTTGGTCAGAGGGTTTTTGGGAATTGCGGGGAAACTGGCTGACATGCGCTATATGAAAAATAAACAAACTTGTTATTTATCAGTTCACTGCAAACAAGGGGCGTAAATTTTTCGAAGGCGTGTTGCATAGAAAAATGATGAAGGGGAAAGAGCAATGTTTGCCAAATTATACGGCAAGAACTCAATGAAAGCCAAGCCAATGAAAACGGGAAAAATATCTTTGATCAAAGTCAAATATATTCAAACTCAAAGAGAAATATATGAAAATATGCAATTACTTTGACTTGACTGAGCAAAAAATACTCTGGTTTATTGGTTGTTTTTTTTTTAAATCAATTAAGCAATTTTAAAATAAAGAGAATCAAAGTTACATATTCTCAAAAACCAAACAAAATTCCAAATAAAATACAAATTTTAAGAAATATTTACAAATACTCATAGGTATTTAAGAGTCAAATTTCAAAAGTAAAAAACAAAATTCTAGCTAAATTAAATATGCAAATTAAAATCCAATTAACGTTTGGTAAAATGTTTAACAACATGCCAAAGCTACACACATAAAAACACAAACCACGCAACAAAAACATACTCATTTTGCATTCATATTCATAGTTAGAAAAATATGTTAAATAAGTTTACGGTTTAGCAGGTATTTTGTTGCACTACTAGTTGTTTTGTTTTAATTTGGTTTTGATTTTGGTTTCGGTTTTATTTGCTTTACCCAAGTCGTTTTTGGCGCGCCTCTTTGCGTCCATAGGAGAGTGGCAGCGTGAAACGCGTGACGATTCCCTCGGGCCCAAACACATTGGATGGTATATTGTCCAGGGAATCGGACAGCGAACGCGAGTCCGACTGATCTTGTAAACTATAAATTACAATCCACATATAGATAGATATTGATAAACAGCAGGGTTAATGGCTTTTGAAGGACTTGTGATGAGTTGGAATTCGATTTATATGATCAATATTTAATGTACGCATTTCCACAGAATTTTCATCATGGCAAATTGATAGATAGCCAATATGAATGTCCGGCTCCCATGGGATGTTCTGTTGATGTGGACATGGACTTTAACCTTCACGGGTACATGTGGTGGTTGGTCGTGGAGGTGTTTTTTTTTTTTTTGTGAAATTCACCCTTTTTATCGACATTTTCCACCGGGCAACACTTGCAAACTGATGTGATGAATGTGTTTTGTGTGGGATTTTGGATTGGTGTTGTGGGTTGCAATAGTTCACATTATTATTGAGTTAAGTCTTTAATGAACAACCCACTAAAATACATTAACGATGATTTACTACAGCAATAAACTGGTTGCGAGATGAAAGTTAAAATATCTAAAATATTAAGTGTTGAAAAAAAATGGGTGAGTTCTTGAATTTATTAAAAATGTGGTTGAAAGAAATCCGCGATTCCTATGTTACTAAATACTTAGTCTACAGTCCCCAATTCACTGTGCTAATAACGACATTTATTTAATTTACACTCCCCCAATAAATTTTACAAAGCTAATAAAATTTGAATAAAATTTATTGCTATAATTTCCTGAAAATTTGATGTTATCAATTTTTGTGCCATGCACTGACTTAGTTAAACATATTTTGTTTTTCTTTGAACCTATTTATTTTTTTAATTTGGTGATCTTAGTATTTATTCCGTTAGCAATGGCACATTTAAAATCCCAATTTTATAATTTGCTGAAAATTTTATTTAATTAAAGTGTGTGCAATGTACTAACTTATTTGTTACTTGTTCATTAAACTATCGTTTTATTTCGTTAGTATTAGTTTTAATATTATAAGTTTCACTTAACTTCCCTTTCTTTGGCTATGTTAATAACACCACCACTTCCCTCAAATAATAAACCAACTTTAAATTCCAACGATGAATATAATTTATGCTAATTTACTTGCATTAAACATGTAATTAGCTTAACTGCAGTTTGATTTATATATTTAGCTCACACCTTTCTACAGCATGAATCGCAAAGCTTTCATTTTCAACCATGCCTTTTTAACATTTTTCACTTAAATAGTAAACAGCCTAATAAACTAATAAACGATGGGGTAAACAAATGTTGACAATGGTGTCCCAATGTTTGTGATTGTGCAGCCTGATGTGCGGCATTATATATATGCAAAATTATACACAAATTTCTGCAAAGTCAAGTCGAGTGCATGCAGGCAAAACAATTCAGCTAAACACACAACGTGACTTATGCGTAACGCAGACGGCAATCACAGATAATGACATATTAAAGCTGATGCGGATTAAAATGCAAATGATGTAAGACAAAAACCCATTATTAAAGGACAAACTATACATATGAATGTATGTGACTGCGGACTGCATGTTTCGGTATCTGTAATTATGCCTGTCACACAAACAAAAACCCTTCTCGTATTTCGACCAAATGCAATGAAAAGTTGGTTGGACAGAAAACATAACATATAATGGATTTGCATGTGGTGCTAGGTTTTTCTATTTGACACCCACTCATAATAACAAAGTACATCAAGAGTATACAAATACTACATGCAAATTCGTGCCGAAAGTAATTGAATTCGTAGTGTTAGTCAAACAGAAGTAATGACGTGTCTTGTTTGATTTGAAATTGGAATGCAGTAAGTGAAAGGACACAATAAAATGCACAGAGAAAAATAGCACAACAACTGATCATCGATTTCGTAGAGTTTAAATCAATTTACTTAAACTGATAGTAGTTAATCGAGTTTACATTTAAAGTCCAGAAACTATGTCACATTTTGAAAAACACATTTGATGACAGTTTGGAAGTTGTATTTTTTTTCTCTGTTTGAAAATGATTAACAAATGCATTGTTGAAGGTTCACTACTCACTCATCACTACTCACTACTCACCTCAAACTCAAATCAGGTGACGCACAACGAACGGCAACACTGGGGATTTGAGGCACCAATCGCATGGCACATGCCACTTGGTTCCTCCAAAGACGCAGATACGAATCCTTTTGGCTCTCGGTGGGCACTTTCTTGGTGGGCGCCGAGCTTCGCAGCAATGAAGCCCGATTGTCGCTCACGGGGCTGCCCAGCAGGAAGTTCAAACAATCAATTTGATGTCAAGACAGGTTTAAGCTAATTGAAACTTACGTGGGATCTATGACACTGTACAACGCATTCAGGCGCGTGAAACAAATTGGCCAGGCCTGAGCCACCGCCGATGGACATTGCTGCAGGATGCGCTGCCTTTCCAGCAGTCCAAACAAGCAGGTGGCCCACGGATCGAAGGGGGGTTGCGGAGAGCTGGCCACCGTAGCCGAGGCATTCGCCGTTGAGCTAGACTGCGACAGGTTGAGCGTAGACGTGGAGGACTTTGAGTTGTCTGCAAGGAATACAAATACAGGTTATTTCCTTATAAAATTATTCGATTAAATGCCACTGCCTACCATCTGTTAGGCCCGCCAGCCACACTCCACTCGACCGCTCCGCTATCCACTGCAGGTCAATGCAATTGGCATTCAGAATGGCCGTCTTCTCCGTCTGCGGCAGCAGTGGCAGACACTTCTCGACGATGGCCGGCACACAGCGATCCATGACATCGATGAGAGGCGGTTCCGTTTCCGGAATGCCCAGTGCACGCATCAGATTCTTCACCTCCTTGAGAATCATGGCGGCCAGTTTGCGCAGATAGGGTCGATAGTTGCAGAGCAAGACCAAGGCAAAACCCTCAACGAAATGCAGAGTGGTGGCCAGCGGAATCTCATTCTTTTTGGCCACATCGCTGGCCATGTTCAGCACTGTGTGCTGTGTGATGCTCGACATGCCGCTCGAGGTGGTGATGCTGGAGGCGGCACTGCTGGCCGTATTCAAATGCTGTTGCTTAGACAACTGACTGTTGGCAGTGTCCTTGGCCGGAGCTGCCGCTGTGCCCTGCACCTGCACCTGCACCTGCACCACAGGGCCCTGCACCACTGGTCCCACTGTGGCAGTGGCGGTGGCTGCGGCCACTTTGGGCTGTGTGGCTGTGTTTGCCGCACTCGCAGACGCACTCGGAGCACTGGCTGTGCTATTGCCGTTCACAATTATGGCACACCGCCAGATGTTGAGGAAGTTGAACAGGATGCGTGTGCAGTTCTCCAGCAGCTGCGGATAGGTGTCGGTGACGTCGCGCACCAGAAACTGTGTGTAACCGTGCACGACATCCTGACGCCAATCCGGAAAGTCGATGACCAGAGTCGTGAGCGACTGGTGCGTCAGAATACGCAGCTCCTCGTCCATGTGAACACTCAGTCGGGAGAGCAGGTCCACCAGTTCGTGAGCCGTCATCGTATCGGGTATCAAACGCGGCACGGCAGCCACACACGTCCGGAAGAGATCGATGCGCGGCTTCCGCTCACCGGACAGCATCTCGTCGGGCTCCTTGTTCTGGTTCTGCGTGTTAGTCATCATCAATGGACGTCCGTAGTGCACATCCAGAGCCCTCAAAATGTCCACAAACACGCGACGTACATGCGGGAAATACGTCGACATGCCAATGCTCCGCGCGGTGTCGTCCGTCAGCATCTTGTTGATATACGTCTTCTTCACACGTAGTGTGTTTCCAGATGGCAGGGCTGGAACCGTCCTGGGCATCGGCGGCTCACCCGCCTTCTGCTGCAGTGAGTCGGCGACGACTAGGAAGGCTCGCAGTCCAATGCTCATGCGCTCTGGATTGAGGATCAGCTTGATGGAGCGACCCACGCACAGCAGATCGTATACGATTTCGCGCATCGCAAAATCCAGACGCTCCTGGGCGATGAACTGGATGATCTTAACGAAGATATTCAGCGGGGTGTCACGCGGCACTACTCCTTTGGAACCCCTGTAAGATTAACAGATTAATTGCATTTAAATTTGCCTTTAAAATAGTTACGATTATATGAATAAACCATGATATACCCTTGCAGATATCATAATCAATTTTGTGTCAGTTAGTTTGGTTTTAAAAAAGAAATGTACCTATACTGACTTTAGTTAAAAAATAATTTACAAATGAATTATTTAAATGAGTTATAACTAACTATAATTAACTCATTCGAATAATCAATTTATAATAAATAGTTTTTTATACATCTGATTATTTGGGAATTTAATAAAATTAAATCAAAATTTTAAGTAATGTAATAAATTTAGTAAAATAATAAAACCTTTTCTTATTCAATGAAATTATTTTAACACAAATGTTTGTTTGTTTAGGGCTTCCTAAAGCAAGTAAAATGAAAAAAAAATCAAATGTTAAATAAGTAATCTGACCTGAAACATTTAGCATACATTTAAAGAGATATCTGGTAGCTGTTTATCATTCAAAATAGTTTAAAAATGTTCCTTAATCTGCAGGGGTTTCGAATGCTTGCCAAAACTCACTTGGGAAACAGGGAGTTCACGATGCTCTGCAGGCGGGAATGGGTGGCTGAGTTGGACTCGCACTTGATGCGGATCATGTAGACCCAGAGCAGACGGTACAAAGACTCCAGAGCCACGCGACTCATTTTGGCATCGCGATTCTTTAGGTTGCTCAGGCACATGGCCAGGAAGTAGTGCCAGTTGGTCAGGAAGAAGGTCTTCTGTGAGACGCACAGCAGGCAGGTGACCAGCGGAAAGAGGGCCAAGCGATGTTTGGACTTCGTGGAGGCATCCAAGGTCTGCACATAAAGGAGTTCCACAAAGTTCTTTACGCAGGGCACATTCACCTCGTTCTTGACGGCCTGTAAGATATTTAGATAATTTAATAGCTTATTATCAATAGTATAAAATACAAAATGCTTTTGAACTCACCGCCGCTACAGGAACCAGAATCTCCACAAACAGTCCCGCCAATGCGTGCTTAATGTCTTTGTCCTTGACCTCCATGAAGTACTGGCCGCACTCGTGCATAAACTGAAACGAGGCCTCGAACTCCTCGATGGGCACCATTTTCACACGGAAGAACTTCATGCCCATCAGCAGACTTATGATACTCTGGGTGGTCGTGGGCGACACCTCCTTGCCGCGCAGCTCCTTCAGTTCGCTCATAAAACGCTTGCGCACCGACGCAAACCGACTTTGGGCCAGCACTCCAATTACCTCTGCATACAGATCGGCGATCATGTGGATGTTAATCGCATTCGGATTGTTCTGCAGCCCATCCTTATACTTAAAGTGTTTAAAGGCCAGATTCTCGATGCTGCGCACCAGATCCTCGTGACCCGGATGATAGGGCAACTGTTTGAGGATCTCGATGAGAGCCAGACAGAAAATGAATTCAACAGCCGCTTCCCTACGCTGCAGCTGGAAATCCAAATCCACTGTCGGTTTGTTGCTCGCCGCCTGCGAGTTGCTACCACTCGGCGGTGGTTTCTTCAGGTCGTTTTTAATCTCCATGTCGGACAACTGTCGGCGATGCCACGCTAACAGAGTATGCAGCAACGAGGGCAGACAGTGCTCAGCCACAGAACCCAGGGCAGACAGGAGCTGATCAAACTGCTGATCCTCACCGCGTTGCAGCAGCTTCGATAGATTCTTGTCGGCACTCTCCAGCATCACCAGCTCGATCTTCTTCTCCGCCTGGACAGTAAAATCACTGAACAGGTTACGCATCACAATCTCACCAGGCCGTGGAGCGGAGATCTCCACGCTGGCCACGCTGGCGGCCAGGGCATGCATCTCGGCCTGAGTGTAACTGGGCAGGACGTTGATGATCGAGCTCCTTGAGTGGGCGCCCCACGGAAGCAGTGACTGCCGCTGGGGAATCACCAGAGCTGGCGGTGAAGCGTAACTTTGGCGACTGGCCGGCAAATTTTGGTAGGTAATCGCTGGCGATTGCTCCACTCCGCTAACTGGCAAAAGTTGCTGCTGTTGTTGCTGTTGCGGCTGTTGTTGTTGCTGCTGCTGCTGCTGCTGATGTTGCTGTTGCTGGTATTGCAGTTGCTGTGACTCATACTCTATGCCATACGGATAGTCATCGCCGGGCAGCTGGTAATTAATTGGCGAAGTTGTCCCGCTGGCGGTCGTGCTACTCGGACCATTCCGACTGGTCTTCGGTGTGGATGTGTATTCCGCCGAGTTTATCGAGTGACGCTGGCCGGGCGATCCACCGCTCGGATTGCCTTCCGATTGAGCTGATTCAACGTTATCGACGCTATCGCCGCCAGCCGCGTTTGCCTGATAAGCATCTTCCTGGAAAGCGTTACGCTGGGGGCTCTTTGTTGGTGTCGCCACGCCCCCTGCGCCTCCTCCGCCCGCTCCTCCCGCCGCAGCGTTCCCAGTTGCTATTGTTGTTGATGTTGTTGTAGCTGCTGCAGCTGTCGCAGTGTTGCTATTATTGGGACTGGCGGTGGAGGGCGAGCCAGCCGGATCGCTCAGGTGCTGCTCATTTGGGTTTTGATTTGTGCCTGGTTAAAAAAAGAACAAAACATTATCATTATCATTATCATTATCGGTTTTATGATTGAACGGATTACACTTATCAGTTATTTATATTACATGTTCAGATAGAGTCCCAAAAATGAATCATTCTATAGGCATAAATCATAAAATAGCCTAGCTCACGTGATGTCTGCTAAAATGCCAATGAGTTTGAGTTTAAGACACCTATTTGAGTGCCTATCTTTCTTTTAAATTTATTTTTTAAAGGTAAAAATATAAAGAAAAATTTTAAACTAAATTAATGATTTGACATAGAAATGTTTGTTTTAAATCTTATAAACATAAACATCTCCTAGATATTTCTGTGATATATATGTGTTTCTACCAAATTAAAAACGTTGTGACACTTATTAAATATTTTGGCATTCTAAATATATTTGCTTATAAGCGATATATACTGTATGAATTTTTGATTTGTGATCTGTTTTTTTTTTTTTTTGTTTACCCAACCTTGGTTCTAGGACACACCTATAAAGCGAAATCTGTAAATAGAAATTATCATCAGCAACCATCAACAATTTAATCATCATCAAGTGTGGGGGTGTGGCAAGAACACGCCCCAAAAACTCAAATTAGGTAGAGAAACCGAAACGAACTCCCTTTATGGGCCCAATTCGGAATTTCGGGACTGAATCGTGTCGTGTTATCACTCAATAAGTTGTTTTCTATATCTTAATTGCCAAGAAATAACTGTAAAATTATTATTGCCATATGGTCATATATAATATCATCAAAACATCTGTCTGCAGAATATGCAAAGTAATAATTACAATTGATGATTTTGTTTTCCATCTGGCACACCATATCTTTGTACCGACATGATGGTGATAAGAACAGAAACCAAATCAGTAAGATGAATTCTACGAAAATTATTTTGAGAATAAGATTTCCAAAAAGCTTCTGGAAGTTGTGCGAAAATGTTATTAAATATTTTAAGTTTGCTTGAAATTTTTATTAATGTGTTCGTTAGAAATAAAGTCACTCTATTAAAAGATTCGAATTCGTTGAACTCTAAATTATAAGTAATAACTCTCGACTTAGACTGTCAGTCATTTCTGAAAATTGAATTCAAAAATAAAATGTACTTTTACAAATAAAGATTACCCATCAATTGCCCGAATCCATTATTTAGATGGAAGGAAGGCCGTCCGAGCCGAAATTCTTTTCAAATCGAATTCAATCAATAGACCAGCGTCCTTTATGGCCAAGTCAAGTATTATTGTATGTAACCGGTGAATAATAGATGTCACTACCAAACGTAGTCCAAACGATTTGCCATGTGTCGTGCATCGTAGTCAGCTGTTTGAGCTCCGACCGAAGGTCTGTTAAAGTTCAGGGTAAAGGTTGCTGTCGCCGCTTTCCGTGAATAATTGAGAAAGTTGAAGTACAAGGCAAAATTAGGAGGCTCTTGAGGGGACAGCAAAGGTTGATCCCTAACTTTGCAGCAAAAGCCGTGAAATCTCCTTCAAGGAAATCGCTTCAAGACAGTCGACATCAGGCAAATAAATGTTGTGCGCAATCAGAAACGGAATAAATAATGTGAGGAATGGGCTGGAAAATGTTTGACATTTCACTAAACACATATGTTTGTGAAAAACGGAAAAGTTCAGAACGGAATACTCGAACAATGTGAGAAAACATATGTATATACGTTCGCTTTATTAATACCGTATTAACACGCTCACCAAAATCGTCCCAAACGAAACGTTCGTCTTACAAAAGCTCTCTGGATGTGTCATATAAGAACAGCAACAAAAACGCAAACAAACCGATTCCCCGCCACTTTTAAGATGTTCGACGAACCCGAACAAATAACTCGCAGCAAACCGATTAATCCATCGGACTGGGCCAAGTCAAATCAAAAATAAAACTAAATAAGTTTTAAACAAAAACTGCAACAACGGCAGAAAAATAAGGCAAACAAACAGATTTATCGGAGTTCGACTCGCAAATACCCATTAGTCATATGTTCGCAAAATATAATTGATAGCAAATAAAACATTTTTTTGCGTATCTCTGACTTGTTTTATTTTAAGCGTACAAAATAAAATTTTTTTATATTTCATATTAAGCTGAGCAAAACCTTAATCGTATTATTTTAAAGCGGAAAATGTTTTGTAAATAAAATTTTAACAACGACATAACCATGTATTTGCTTTATTATCGACACTAATCCAAAAAAATTTTGCAGTTTTCAATATCGTGCACGAAATTATCCAAATGTTTTCCTATTTCGTGTTCGATTTCGTAGAAAAAATTATATCTATAGTTTGGCGCATGGAAATATTTTTAGCTGCTTTTTTATGTCGCTGTTGAAAATTTTGAGTATGCCATAGATTTTCACTTGTTGCTTTTCGCCTTTGAAGAATGTTCTTGTTATTTATGGGAAATTCAGAAAAAGTTTAAGGGTCAAACACAAAAAAATATCTATGAAAATCGGTTAAACAAATCTTCAATTAATTAAATCGACGCAAATCCAGAAATTTATGGCAATTGATAGGAAATCAAGCTTTATTGTTATTGATAAGAAGAAAATTTGGCAATAATAAATAAGAGTTAACGTTAATAAAAAACGATTCTTTATAAGAACGCTAAATAAATAAGAGGGCGATAAGAAGGTGATTTGGCGGGAACACATGTTAAGTTTATAGTAATTTGAGGGGTGTATGCGGCTTTTAAGTTATTTTGAAAATAAAAACAATTTTATTTTCAAAAACCCAAAATTATTTATCTTATCTTAAAGATTAATCCATCAAACTGCGCCCTTGAACTCTCATGTAGTAAATTTTCTTGCCGTTTTTTATTCGATTATCTGCCCAGCAAGTGACATCGAAAACAAAACAAATTATAAGAACTTCGTAATCACCCCGATAAGATAACTTATATACCGATACCATGTAAACTTTTGTGGTTCTTCACTCCCTTCACACAAACTTGAACTTCGAAAAACAGTCGAAACCTTCAAATCGTTTATCACATATTATTTTTATCGTCTGTAAACCAAACATTTCCTGGATACATGTTTTGTCACCCCGTCTTTTTCATTATCGCCTTCTCAGTACGCAAAAATAATTGTAGAGTTTCGTAATGCAGAAATGCTAAACAAACCTTTTAGTTTTTTTGGAGTCCATTGAAAATTCCATAACATGAAAGTGGAGCATAAATTTGTAAGGGAATCACAGCTGGGAAAATGATATTCGGGCAGATTTACAATTGTTCTGCCCGACTAGAAAACAAGCGCGATAGCGACTGTATTTAACACTAATTAACACGAACAAGTATTGAAATTATAAGCACGTGATTTGGTGCTTCTACACAGCCCACGAAACAATTGTAGTTTGTTAGATTGTATTAGATTGGATTTAAAACGGTGCTGGCTGATAAGACGGTTTAACTATGCCACTGGGTCACTATTCAGACTTATTTCACTTTAAATTACTAAGGGACTGGTGTTAATCAAACAACACTCATTTATACTATGTAAGAAACATAATTTGTATTATTTCACTGCCGCTTTAGAGCTTTACGATTTTTATGCTAATCAGCCAGAAATAATGAGCTCAGCGTTTTGAAATCTAAACGATATTTGTACACCTTTTTATTTGTTTATTTATTGACTGTTGTCAAATTACGTTGGCAATTTGAATCGAATTATTTGTAGGACCCGATAGAACCGATTACGATATGGCCGCTCATATAGACGGATATTATATATAGTGATATATATAGACGGCGAGGAGCACACGTTTAAATCCAAAATAAAAATTTCGAGCTGACCGCAAAGTGCAAAATGCGAGGCAAACGGCGGCGACGACGACGATTTTTCGACTGCGGCGAAAACGAACCGAAAAAACGGACGGGCTACGGCTACAGAAAAAAAAAATAAATAAAAGAGCGAGCGACGTCAATGGCAGCAGAATGAAAAACAAAAAAAACACCGAACAAAAATCAACAACAAATGAGCAACTCGCGCACGCTCGCCAAAATCAAAACAAACGATTATTGTCTATTTAAAAATATGATTAACAATTGCGAGAGGGAATGAGCGAGCGGAACAGCTGTTTTCCTGTTGCGGCGAAATGAAAATCAGCTGAGTCGCATTCAAAACAACACTCATACGCCGCGTTGTACGAAACTAAACGAAATGAGAGATGATTGGACCATTCGCTTGTTTATTTATTTGCGATTCCTCTCTTCGGCGGATTCTAACTGATTAGCACCGCTAGTTCTTATATATGTATCTGTCGCATTAGCTTCAATTTACGAAGGAACCTGGCAAGCGCCTCCCCGCCGTCAAGTGCTAATGGAAAACTTTCCGCCCTCGACGTGGAAATCCCGCAGAGAAGCCAAGGCTGGAGCTAAGTTCCAACACTTCAAAGGACGTCCTTAACCCGAATTCCGCACACTTACAAACCGCGAATATCTAATTCTCGGCAAGTGCTTTCCATTTTCTGGGTGGGATTAGGAATAGGTATTTAAATTTACAGTCGAACTTCCTTGAATCGAACTCTTGGTACTAGAAAACACTGATATCCAAAACTAATAAATTCAGCGATATATTCTATTATAAAAGTTTCAAATCTTGAAGTCCTAGTTACCAAAGTCCGACTGACTGTATTCAAACGTTTACCATTATAGTAATGACCAACTGCCTTGGCGAATTTCTAAACAAACTTTGTGCCAATTGATTTTACCAACACAATAAATAAATAAACAAACAAATAAAAAACAAAGCCTAGGGCATTTTGTAACGACAAACAGGTAAATTGATTATGTACGCGTCCAGATTGTTTGCCATTATAGGCGAATGCGCGAATGCATGTACGAAAAATTAGCACTTGGCAAGAGCACTTTCCATCGGTACAATATTGGTTTGGTGAATTAGTTAACTGCTTTTATTGCAAATTACATCACGCCCACCGCGTAACTAGAGGAGTTGGTAGTACAGTAGTAAATGATGGACGGGCACGCGATTCGAAAAGGTAAACACGCGACCAGAACGCACTTTACACCCGTTAAAAGCACTTGGGAACGCACTTGATTTTTTTGGGCTTAAGTGGGCTGCTATACTCGTCTCATCTGATTTTTCGTATTATTTTTCCCCTTAGTACTTTGTGGCTCGGCGGCGGGCAAACAAATGAGAATGTGAATGAGAATGAGAATGGGCTGATGTACGAGCGTTTGGAGCCCAAAACTTATGCAATTTCGCACAGGTGATGGTAACGACGACTCGACATTTGACTTTGGATGGCTGGCGGAATTTTCTAATTTTGCCACAGTGCGCTACAAAATCCGTTGGATAACTGCCAGGTGGTGGCAGTGGCAAGACCGCCCCAAAACAAAAAATAAACCAAATACAGAAATTTCAAACCCACCCATTGACGCCAGACATTTGTTTTGTTTTTCTGCGCTGCTCTTCTTCCTCTTTCAGTGCTGAATGTCATTATCAAGGTTTATTTGGCACTCTTTTTCCCGCCTTTTTTTTTTTTTGTTTTTGTGAATGAAAAGCGTACAAATGAGTGGGTGGGCTTGTTTGAGGGGTGTGTTGTTCCAGGGTGATGTTGAGATAGGGCCCATCGCCTGCGTAGCGGTAAATCAATCCCAGAGTATAATGAAAAATCGCTGTGCGCCAAAAAAAAATATTATACGATGAGTCAATAAATTTTAAAAAGACAAAGGGAGAGATGTAAACTGCAATATGTCCGCCGTGGTTATAGTCCCATTTGTTGGCAGTATTAGGTTTAAGAGTAACGACTTATCAGAATTTTGTTTTGCTTTTTGATTTTTCATATATTTTTAGATATTTAAAACATCTTTTTTTGACAATATTTATAAAAGTACAATTATACTACTTGTACTACAATTATAGTACAAGCGCAAACTATCTATTTTTTTCTTCTTAACATATCTAAGGCATTCGAAATTGTCCACATTTATTTAAAACAGAAATCTTTAAAAGAAAAGAAGACACTTACTTTTTCGATTTGAAGTGGGGCAAAGAAAATAATTTGAAGAGTTTACTCAGCATTTTTGAGAACAAATACATTTTCCGATTCGATAACCATCGGAAGATAAACACTCGGACGTTTCTTTGTGAAGATATACATAAACAATTGATGCTTTTTAAGTTTGAGTTCCAAAAAGTAAACAAACCGTTTCCTGATCAATAGGAATTTGCTCCACTGTAGTGGTACAGTGAATCAAAACCATAAATTACCGGATTTGATTAGGTGCGCAAGTGTGAGTAAAAAAGAGAAAGAGAGTCTGTGAGAGTGTAGGTGCGCTTGGATGGCCGGCAATCAAAGTGAATCATCACTTAACAAATGAGGAAGACAGAGCAAACAAACAAACGGATAACGGATAAACAGATGTAAAAGCGGTTGAAGGTGGGAGTGGGAAGGAGATGGGAAAAGGAGAGAGGTAAGGAAGTAAGGGAGAAATGCAAATGCAGTGCCAGAGCACACACACACGAACTCACACACTGACAAACAAAAAAGTGGGCGTAAACAAAAGATAATAAAAGCATAAAAAACGAAGTGCAGTTAATTGCAAGAGCTTCACCCAAAAAAACACACGAAAATAACCAGAAGACTGTTGAAATCCCAAAATAGCTCCTCAATCAGCTGAAAATTGAAGAAAAAAACGCGAAAACCCAAAAAACTCACCTGCAACAGCAGCTTCCAAGGCAAACAAATCCTCCTGCAGCTCCAATTGATCCATAGTAAGCAATTACAAGCCCTGATTTATAATTTATGGCTAAAAACAACACGCGTCTGGGAAAGTTGCAGCTGCGGCCATTTTTTCGCTAGTCAAGCGTGTTATTCCCTTGAAAACCACTTTTATGGTCTGCAAACACTTTAAAATCACTCGTTGAAACCTTACGACACTCGCACTCTATGAAATAACGATTTCCTATTTGATTTATCCAAAATTTGGGCCGTTCTTTTGTTGCAAATGCCAAACGAAAATTTACGCGTTGTGAAGAAGCAGAGAAATATCAAAGCAGCTGATTTTTGTTTTGACCAGGGCTGCGTATCGCAGCCGCCTATCGATATGCAATCTTACGTTACATTTCATTACGTTATATGTTATCGGCGCTCAGCTGTTTGCCCGGCTATGACGTCACGCGTGGACAGTAAATTATTTGTATTTTGATTATTTGCATTACAATTATCTGGAAATACTTGACTAAACATAAATAAATGTGTTAATCAGGGCTCGACAATGTCGCCGGCGATTGCATTGAATGGTTAAAGGCATAGCCACAAAGGCAAAACAATCAAAAATTGACACGGCGCAAAGGATCTAAAGAAGAAACCCACAGGAAAATTTACTAATTTAGTAAGAAAACGTGAAAAGCTATGAAAGTTCTATAAATTGAAGTGATTTATTAAGACTATACTTTAAATTAGGGCTGCGACTTCCAAAATTTGTTTGATCTTGAACTGCAACTGCTCCTTACCTACCGCAGTAAATTTAAGACCCCATTTATTTTGTTTTTAGCATACAAAAGTCTATATCTAACAACAATTCCTAATAATTTGATAGCGTTTATGGCCACGTTTTATTGTTCTTACTATCTTATGAAAACAGCGTGTTTATGATTGTTTACCTAAAAATCCAAACAATACTATTACTGTTAGTTTACTGATTAATAGAGACATTTATCAAAACATCAACAAAATTAGTTAATCTTTTAAATTTTTAATTAAATGTATTGTTTTTTTTTGTTAATGCGGACAAAGTTTCCTTTCTACAATTATTTAAAAAGTCAAGAGAAGTCAGAAATTAGGCAAATTATAGAAAATAAATGTTACTTAAGATATTCAAGCTAATCAAGCAATTAAGCTCGAATCAGAGAAATTTAAAGTCAGATTTTATAAAGAAATCCATCACTCTCTCAATCTACAATTGCAGATATCGATATGGAAGTGCCAGTGCATCCGCTGAGCCAGGATCCCACGGCCGCTTGGAGGGACATCAGCAAAACGCAGCGGGTGATCAAGGTCACGATGAAGCCACCCACCACCACAGTGGCGCCCAACAAGGCCCGAGTGGTCTGCATGTCCGACACCCACTCGCTGACTCCGTACATCAAGTTCGACATCCCAGATGGCGATATATTCATTCATGCGGGCGACTTCACCAAGTGCGGCCAATTGGAGGAGGTGGAGGAGTTCAACACTTGGATTGGCGCACTGCCGCATCGCCACAAGATCGTGATTGCCGGCAATCATGAGCTGAGCTTCGACAGAACCTTCACCCATCCGTTCCAAAAGAATCAGGGCAAAGGTCATGCTACGAGCAGCAAACACACCGGCATGTCCATCCTGGATGATCTGCCCACCTTGGGCAATGCCAAGGAGAGTCTGGAGAACGCTGTGCAGACGCAGAATGTCCGAGAGGTTCTGACCAACTGTCGGTATCTGGAGGACGAGTTGCTGGAGATTTGGGGCATTCGTATCTATGGATCTCCCTGGCAGCCGGAGTTCTGTCGCTGGGCCTTTAATGTGCCCCGAGGGCCGGCCTGTTTGGAGAAATGGAACCAAATACCCGAGGGCATCGACATCCTGGTCACCCACACCCCACCCGTGGGTCATGGAGATCTTTGCTGTTCGGGCGTAAGAGCAGGATGCGTGGAACTGCTCAGCACTGTTCAGCAACGGGTGCGCCCGAAGTACCATGTTTTCGGGCATGTTCACGAAGGCTATGGCATCACCAGCGACGGCAGGATCATCTTTGTGAATGCATCCACTTGTGACATCAATTACCTACCCAACAATGCCCCCATCGTTTTCGATGTAACCCTGCCCCCGGGATTTCGCAAGGATTAGCGTGCCCAGAATGATATTTACTCGCATTTGTTGCCGGTTCAATGAATTTACTTTTACTTTAAGTTTAAATTAAGAGATTTTGTCAACACACATTTAGGTGCCTAGAGAATTCTCATTGAACAATCCCACTCTATATATTAAAAATCACCATTAAAGCGCCATACAAGATTTCTTTAAGTAGAATAAAAACATTAAACCGATTTGTTGAAGTTTCTACAACATTGGCAATTGAAAAATCTTTAAAAAATCACAGTATTATAAAATTAATCATGTTTCCATAGACTTGAAATCTTTAGCAGTTTCAGAACTCCCACTTAGAACTACATTTAGGATTTATGGTCTGAATCGACGATAGATAAAGGTTTAGGACCTCAATTATTTGTTTGTATACCCTTGTATTGTGTATTATAATTTCATGTCAAAATGGTTAAAAGCAGTAGATAAAAATTATTTGACCCTATAAAATATATAATATTGTATATAATTTCTATTCTGTTTTACGCAAACTAAGTTTAAAGCTATCGAGATATTGTGATGTTTTACCCCTTCACAATTAGGTTATTCAAATTGTGTTTTAATATTCTAATTTTGTTCGTGTCATTTAATATTTGTAGTCAAGTTAAAAGTATCTGGTATTTTAGGAACTATCATATTAAGCTCTAGTTGTCTTTTTTTTAAATAGTTTCACAACTACTAACTGAGAGTAAAATTTTTACCGATAAGCCGCCAGAAATGGTCTGGAAAAACCTTGGAACCTTGGACGATCGCTGGTCTGCAACCCTGTTTCCAGTTTGACATTTCTCTTTGGCGCCTCGTAACGGCGCTTTTCCAGTGACTCCCCAACCATCCATCCAACCTGAGGCTGCACTTTTCGCGTGGCGAGCCCAATAAAAAAATTAAATTAATTAGTTAAAGGTGCCGTGGTCGTAGTAAATTTTAAATTGTATACCCCGATTTTAACTCTGCAAAAAAGCATACAAATAAAATGGTAAGTTTGCAAAAATTCTTCCCTCTTGGTTAGGTTTAAAGAAGAGAAGAAGTGTGGGAAGCGAAAACGAATAAAAGTGGATAACGAAAATTTAACAAAGGTTATCAAGCCTCGTAAAAAACCTTTAATGTATTATTTTTTTTACCCATCTTTTTTTTTTTGAAGTCTAAGCCTCTCTTAAGTTTTTCTTCAAACACTACAGTCCAGGTCAAGATTTTAATTAATAATTGGTCGTAAAAAATAAAAGTGGGTGATAGTACCACTAAATCTCGAAATACTATTTTATTTTAAATGTGTAAAGCGCCATTTTCAATAATATATGAAATATATAAATATTCTTTAGAGAAACATATTTTATTCTTAATTTACTAAAAAAAAACGTTTTTCCTTTGCTTGTTTCAATGAATAATAAATAATACTTTTAAAATTTTAAATTTATTGTTTATCATAAAAAAGGCCAAAATAGTATTTTAATTAATATTTAATTAAATTATATGTTTTCTGAGTAATATAAATATTTAGAATATTACAATGCAACATAACCTAACCTTAAACAATGGCGCCTTGCAAACTAATTTGCATTTTTTGTATTACCCCCACCAGCGCGAAGTGGTCTCCATCCAGATTGGCCAATGTGGCATCCAAATCGGCAACGCCTGCTGGGAGCTGTACCTCCTGGAGCACGGCATCAATCTGGACGGCAGCCTAAAGACCAAGGAGGAGCTGACGGCAAGCGGTAGCAGTGCCAGTGTGGGTCACGACACCACCGCCAACGATGCACGAACGTTTTTCACGGAGACCGGGAATGGCAAACAGGTGCCCCGATCGATTTTCGTGGATCTGGAGCCGACGGTCATCGACGATGTGAGGAATGGCTGCATGAGGGAACTTTATCATCCGGAACAACTGATCTCCGGCAAAGAGGATGCGGCCAATAACTACGCCCGAGGTCGGTACTCCATTGGCAAGGAGGTGATCGATAGGGTGACCTCAAGGCTGCAGAAGATCGCCGAGCAGTGCGACAGTCTGCAGGGCTTTCTCATCTTCCACTCGTTGGGCGGAGGAACTGGCTCGGGATTCACTTCCCTGTTGGTGGAGCGACTGTCCACCGACTATAGCAAGAAGTGCAAGCTGGACTTTGCCGTCTATCCGTCGCCCAAGGTCTCCACTGCCGTGGTGGAGCCCTACAATGCCCTGCTGACCACCCACTCCACCATGGACCACTCGGACTGTGTGTTCATGGTGGACAACGAGGCCATCTACGACATATGCAACAACAGTCTGGGCGTGGACCGGCCAGCCTATAGGAATCTGAATCGTTTGATCGCTCAAATAGTGAGCTCAACCACGGCATCGCTGCGTTTCAGTGGCTCGATGAATGTGGATCTCAATGAGTTCCAGACGAATCTGGTGCCCTTCCCCCGCATCCACTTCCCCCTGGTGGCCTACGCCCCACTGATGTCCGCCGAGAGGTCGGCCCACGAGCAGCATGCCATCACCACGTTGACCAATGCCTGCTTTGAGTCCTCTAACATGATGGTCAAGTGTGATCCACGGGCGGGTAAATTTATGGCCTGCTGCATGCTGTACAGGGGCGATGTGGTGCCCAAGGATGTGAATGCAGCGGTGTCGGCCATCAAGTCTAAGCGGCACATTCAATTCGTGGACTGGTGTCCCACCGGTTTCAAGATTGGCATCAACTATGAGAAGCCGGCCTTTGTGCCGGACGGAGATTTGGCCAAGACATCGCGCGCCTGCTGTATGCTGTCCAACACCACCGCCATATCGGTGGCCTTCTCGAATCTGTCCTATAAGTTCGACCTGATGTTCAAGAAGCGGGCCTTCGTCCATTGGTACGTGGGCGAGGGCATGGAGGAGGGCGAGTTCACGGAGGCGCGGGAGAACATCGCCGTCCTGGAGCGCGACTTCGAGGAGGTCGGTCTGGACAACAACGAGGAGGGCGAGGGCGATTTCGAGGACTATTGAGAGCACATCCCGATTCCCAGTCATTCCGCAGGCCCAATCACTTCAATATTCAATCAAAATGTAAATATTTTAATAAAGAATTGAAGAAAATTGAGTAAGGGTAACCAATATAATACAGTAGTATATACGGCTTACCAAGAAAATGGGTTTTTAATTAAGAAAGAAAGAAATAAAAATTCCGATAAATGTGGCTTTTATTTTTGCCGAAAGGTAAGTGGGTAAGTACTATAACTTTAAATGGAATGTGACATAAATGGAAATTTTCAAAACTAAAACTTTCTCCCGAACAAAAATTCTATTCCATTCCATTCAAATTATTTGAGATATATGTAGAATTTAAGTAAATTTAAAAATTGTAATAATTTGATATTAATATTTTATAAAGAGAAATATTGGAGTACTAACCAGTTTATACTTTTGTATAAAAATTGCCAACTTTCAGAAATTAAGTAGAGACAAGGAAAATCATTTTTTCAAACTTTTCTTTAAGGGTAACTAATATAAAAAAGAGTTGAAATTAAAACACAAGTTGCATTAGTTTTCTGTAATATTTTTTTGTATTTTTTCTTTAGTTTTTTTTTGTTGTGTTTGTTTTGTTTATTATTTTTTAACGCCTATTAGCTATGTTCTTTTCAATTGTATTTTTTTATTTTACTTAATTTTACTAGGTTTTCTTTTGAACTTGCAAGTATTTTGCGTTTTGTTTTTTCATTATGAACTTACAATAAAGAATCATCAAAAAGTTGTTGCTCAGTGTAAAATTACAATTTTTTTGTTGTGTGTGAGTGTATGTGTAGGTGTTGTGTGTGTGTGGGTTTAGGTGTATATCTTCTACGGTGTTAGTCTATAAATCTAAAATTCTCTCTAAGAGCAGGCCAATGTTTACACCAATCAACTGGAAATTATCGTTCGTGCTAACTTTTAAAATCAGAAAACGGCAAAAGTTTGTTTAAAAAAAGATCCTACTATACAAAGGAAAGGCATTGCATTTGTGTACTTCTGTTTTTGTTTTTGTTTTTGTTGTGTTTTTTTTTTTTTTTTTTTTGTGTTATCTTTAGGGTTCTATTTAGTATAATTACATAATGACGATTTCCCATCTACTGAGTTTGCATTTGCTTTAATTACAATAGTTAATCCATAAAAAATATATAACGATGATGATGGCAAAATAGTTTGTCTCAAATTGTTGTGGTTGTTGGTTGCATTACAAATTGCTGTTAAAGTTGTGTTTTTGCGGTAGCTTGCTAACGGTGTTCTGGTTGCTGTATTAAACGTTTGCTGGTTTAACTGCCGGTTGTTTTATATGTGGCTTAGTATGGAACATTTGAGAAGAGATACGAGACACTCTCGCCGTTGTGTGTCCGTCTGACGGCCTCGGCGAACATCATCGAGACATCAATGCACTAAGGGGAATAAAAAAAAAACATTAATATTAAACATTATGCAAAAGTGTGGTTAAGTTAAATTACTATTGTTATTACTTAAAACTACAAGCTAACAGTGATTTAAAGGAACTAGAGCAACGGGATGCCTTAAGCTCTTGTAGGGTATACCATATATTGGTTTAATATTAAAAGTTTTTGTTTTATGTTTTGTTTGCTTACTTAAATAATAGTTTTATTAACATTTAAAAAAAAGTAATTTCAGGGCGTCATAAAAACCATAAATATATTTAGGTAAATTCTACTTTATAATCATTGACAAACCTGGATTTTGGGACAATCCCGCATATGTCCATCCTGTGGTATGGTATTGGTCACAACCACCGCCTCGAAACAGGCATTGTTAATCCGCGAAATCGCAGGACCCGAGAAAATGCCATGCGTCAGAATGGCATAAACCTGATGAAAATTGAGAATCAATCATGTAAACGATGAATTTCAAAAGGAATCAGTCAATCAAAAGCACCTTGGTCGCTCCAGCTTCCACCAAGCGATCGGCGGCATGCACAATGGTGCCGCATGTGTCGGCCATGTCATCAACCAGGATGGCAATCTTGTCCTTGACATCGCCCACCAGAACCATGGACGCCACCTCGTTGGCCTTCTTGCGCTCCTTGTGTATCAGAGCAAACTCCACATTCAGGCGATCGGCAATCGAGGTGACACTATAAGCGGATTTCTCAAATTTACACTCAGTTGATAGAGAAATCAAAAAAAGTTCTTACCGCTTGGCACCGCCAGCATCGGGCGACACAATGATCGAGTTCTTCCACTCGGGAATGTTCTCCTTGATCCACTTGAGTACCGCTGGCTCGGCATAGAGATTATCAACTGGTATATCAAAGAAACCCTGAAAACACAGTTATTAAAGTTTGTTAAACATCAAGTACTCTTTGGGACATGACACATAGTTGTCATTCATTAACAATCGATATCTCAAGCATTCTTGTTTTGACCCTCCCATGATCAACATCACTTATCTCGATAGAAACAAATTTTAAACAAAAGTAAAGAAAGCAAGTTAAATCCCAAAGATAAGAATAGCTACGGAATGTCTCGATCGCTATCCCATTCCCCCAATCACGTGCTGAGTATGGATGAGCATGAGGACCTCAAACAGTGGCTAAAGGAGCAGCGTATTGTCCTGGACCTGCGTACCCGTCGCTCCTTCTCTGATGTCCTGCCAGTGGCCAAGATTGTCAAGCGATGCTACCCCCGTCTGGTGGACCTGCACAATTATCCAATCAAAAGCAGTGTAGTGCTTAAGCTTCAAAGCTGGGACACGTTCAACGCCAAGGTTCTGAAGAAATTGGGCATCAATATGCCGCGATCGGTGCTGCAACAACTGGCTGCAGCCGTTCCGGGAGCTATCGAAATGCTATTCCAGGAACTGATTCCTGTCACCAAGTGTGGCAGTCCCAGACCGAGTCCCATGCTGCGAGTCTCTCCCAAACCGCCGGTTAATAAGGATTCCCGGAATCGCGCCCTCCATCGATCCCTCACCCAAGTGATCGAGCGTCCCTCCTCCGGTGAGAAGCAACCCAAAGTGCTGACCATGGACGTGGACACCATGGTCAATGGACAGATCAAGAAGGTGGCTAGGAAGGTAGTCGACCACGAACACTACGCCAAAGTAGTAAGGGAGAGCGACGAAAAGTCCAAATACATTAGCTCCATTAGCCAAAAGGCGGACTATCTGGAGAGCGTTATTGCCGTGAAGGAGGAGCGCATCTCCGAGCTAATGGACCAACTGGGCAAACTGTCGGTGAGCATACTTTCCATGCAACCCATGCTCAGCGATAACGATGATGACAAAAGAATCAGTATAAATACCCATGCCCATATTAATAACGCCTCTGAGCCCTTCTTTAAGTTTTCCACCTAACCAAGCCATGGAGCATAATCTCACAATCCTCGAGGATTCGACGAGCTCCCGTTTGGTTCTTTCATACCTAAACTTACCATTGAAACAAAAAACTTAATGCTTTTCGACGACCGCATGTTATTGGATATATCTGTACCATATATTTTGTATTTTAATTTGCATGGCTTTACCCTAAATAAAAAAAAAGCGAAATTGTTACGTCGAACAAAAGGAACATCAAATTTTCTTTATCTTAATTAAATGTAATCTGATAAATCGAGGTGAGATAGGAAAAACGCATTGAAGGCTTTACAAATAAATCGATATAAAAGATAACTATATAAAAAAAAGGCTCTGCTAGGTGTTTTCATTTGATTTATGGTTTTTTTTAGCTGTCTAGCTAATTATATACAAGTGATTCATTAAGTTTTTATTGGACAGTTGATTGAAAAATATCTATATGCAAACTGGAAAAGCTTTTGCTAATTATAACTGAATTACAACTGAGTCTAGAAAGATAATTGACGTACTTATTAAAAACAACGTTTTTATCTTCGACGAATACAAGCCTTCGATGTTTAGATTGAAGACATTTGTGTGGCCAAAGCTTATTTATCTTTATCATTTCAAATTTCAGTTCTGTTTATAATTAAACGATTTATTGATGTGTATATTGTATTAATATTGGAAAAACCCCATTAAAAGTTCTGTGGTTTCTAGATAATTTAAATATTTAAAGACTAAAATCTCTGGCAGACTTACCTGGATTTGTGAGGCGTGCAGATCCATGGTTATGATGTGATCGGCACCAGCGACGGACAGCATGTTGGCCACCAATTTGGCCGAGATGGGCGCACGACTCTGTGCATTGGCCAGCGTAGAAAGAGAAGCAACGAAAGGTTTCCATTAGCGCAACTAGTAGTGGTTTAGATCTTAGGGCTAGGCATTATGAGGAGTAAACCATGGAAATCAAAATCGAACATGGACACACTTATGTATATAGACAGAAATCAACAAAGAGGTTAACGTTCCAATAGATTGCATATGGAGGTACATAATTCATAGACAGAAAAGAGATTCGCTTGCGACAACACAAAGGACAAATGTGATTGGGTGCAGAACCCCTCGGAAATAATGATTTGAGATCGAGAGAGGCCGAGAATGATATATGGTATATATACCCAGGTGATTAAGGTGCAACGCCAGTTAGAGATAAACATATACAGATAGATCGGTTAATACGCAAACAAGTGCAAAGAAAATCAAACATTTTTTTGACACTTTTCATTTCGTTTTTCTCATTTGATTTGGGGATTGGATTTTGGTGGTTTATTTGAATTCCGAACTGAACCGAGAATAAGGCATGCAAAACATCGGTCGGATATCAACATGTGTGTAGATAGGATTGGGGGAAAAAGACCGTCTCGTAGCATCAACTCAAAAGAAAACATTAACGAACGCAACAAAGCAAAAGGCTTAAGACAAAAATAATCTAAAGCAAAATTGTCTTTTTTTTTTAGTCCCGCAGCAGCATTAAAAATAATAATGCCTGGGATACAGGAACTAACCGAGCTACTCACAGTATATTGTTTGGCTGAAAACTCCTAAGTTCAACAGAAATCGAATTTTGTTTGATTTTATTTTGGGTAATTTGATGCAATAGAGAGACAAAGAGTATAAAAAGAAAAAGAAGAAAACACAAAAAAGTTCAGAATAATTCAGAGTTTAAAATTAAAATTATTGTGGGAAAAGGAGTCAAACTGTATGTATCATAAGTTTAAGGTAACAAAGTTATAATTCGTATTTCAAAAGAGGGTTTGTTAGTCAAGTGGGGGGATTGAAATCAAATCAGGTTGCAGTGCCAATTTAAGTAAACAATTTTTAAAATTACTATATTTTTGCCTTCCATTTCAGCTGATTATATTGAATGTCAAGAAACCCATTTACAGATTACAGAAATGAAAAATATTTGTGCAATTTGCGCGCTTGACCCCCAGGGTTCATCGTCTATATGTATGTACTATATACCCCCCATTGCCGATCCGATCGTCTGACGTCATACGGGATTATCTAGCAACGGAAAAACTTAATCAAGTGGAATGGAAAATATATTTTTTGTTTAAGCCCCGAAAGGAGGCTGTTGTCAGGGCCGATAAGACAAGAACAAAAGTGCAAGATCACAACAATCAACACAAACAAACAGCAGGCGAAACAACACAAACAATAATATTTATTAGAGGTCCATTATTAAATATAGATTAATTAATGTTAATTTTTTTTTTATTGCATATTCGCTTTTTTTTGTTGCAATGAAGAGCCGCCGAAACGAAACAAACAGAGGCAACGAAAGTATGTGGAAAATTTGTTTGTTTTGAATTTATCGCCAATTATTATTCATTGAAAATGTCACCGAATTTGTACTGTGGGTTAGCCAAGAATTTATTAATTCTTAATTAGTTTATGAGCGGGGAGGGGAGGGGGGGATCTGGGGAGGACATGCAAGGTAGACAAAAAGCGAATTTTCTGTAGAGAAACGAGGAAACTTGTTAAGCCAGACGCCAAAAATTTCCTTTGTGAGTGGATGAGTGAGGATGATTTCGCCGTTTCGATACTCCCATCCAGTGTTTCTTAGTGTTTGTTTCTTTTTATTGGTTTAAAAGAAAATTAATACGAAATTTCCCATTAGAAGAACATAAAGTGTGAATTAGGTGAGCGTTTAGTGGTTGAAAAGGTACAACAAGGTAAATACCCTAAATTTCCAATCGTAGTTTTTCTTGGCTAGTTTCTTGCTTTCCGCATTATCCTCACTGCCTGCCAACTTCACGGAGAAAGAGAGACAGAGATCGATAGAGTAACGGAGAAAGAGAGAGAGAAATACACCAAGGCACACACACACGCGCGGGTAGAGGGAGATAGTAGCAGGGGGGCGAGAAAGAGAGAGCGAGCATGGCATGGGGATAAAAAATAATTAAAGTATTTAATCACATACGGCAGGAAAATTAAGCAAAACATGTTGCTAAATTAAATTTACAAATTTTCCACATTTTCCAATTGCGTGCGTTTTTACATTTTTTGCGTTTCTCCAGCTTAGCTTCGTTGCAAACAACTTATTTTTGAAAAAGAAAATTTAATCCAACTTGATTAACAAAATGCATTAGAAACTCACAGACACACACACAGAAAAGAGAAGTATATGTAATAGGATAAAAATATATCGGTTATATAGCAATTAACAATCGAGCTAAACGTTGGGGAAAACATTTGGGGGGAAAAGTTTACGCTTTTTCGTTTGCACTTTTCCCCAATAAAAACAGTGTGTTGTGGGCTTTGAGTTGGAGTAATAGTCGGATCATCTAGAATTAATTGTTTACATTGCTTTTCTTTGCACGTACGACCCGAAAAGGATCTATAGAATAAAATACCGTGTGATTTTCGGCGGCCGGATCGTGTTGAGGCAAACCTACCTTGTCTTTTTTGTCTTGGCGGGCATATGGAAAGCAAGGAATCACAGCTGTAACACGAGAGGCTGAGGCGATTTTGCACGCATTGATCATGATCAGCAGCTCCATCAAGTTATCGTTGATCTCGCCGGATCCCGACTGCACGATGTATACATCCTCGCCGCGCACCGATTCCCCAATTTCCACACTGCAAAGACAGAGAGCGGGGGGTCAGTTGAAAGGCTGGATGTGGGTGCACTGCGAGAAAATATCAGCAAGATTTGGTCAAGAGTTTGGTAGGTTTTCACGCCAAAATAGTTTCAATCTAAAGCATTTATCATCTTTAGATCACCGACAGCTTGCTCAGTTTTGAAACGTTGTTATAAGGTACCACAGCAATCCCTAATGAATCAATAATCAATAAAGTTAAACGTATGTTAGAGAGACTTCGACTTCAGTTATGCAAAGTTGTATCTATATTTGAAATTATTTGTCTATAATGCTTGGGGAACCACTTAAATACAATTGTGAAAATCTGGGTTATTAAAACTTAAGATGTTTTAGTATCTTAATATATTCTCAAACATCTCAATAAGATTGAAATCAAATATCTTCAAGCTGGTTATTATCTAATGCAAAGAATGTGGTATAAATTACACTCTCTCAGAGGGGGTAATTTTCCATTGTTTGGCTAAAGCTCGCATGTCTTGGCAACACTTCTCAAATTCTCAAGTTCTTTAAGTATCCTTTTCTCCACATCCCCACCCTCCCACTTATTATTATAGATAATCTAAGCAAGAGACGCCCACACCTACGACGCCCACTATTGTTGACCTTTGACGACGCCCAACGAAACTGCAAGCGCCAACGCAATCTAATCGAATCTTCTCTAATGCTCTCGTACACACACATGGCGTATGCGCAATATTTGCACTGACAACCGACACCGACGCCGCTTCGTTTATTATTTTGTTTACATTTTGTTTTGTTTTGGTTTCGGTTTGGCTCCAAGCTTGGTTGGCAACTTGAACTATAGATTTTCGTTACCCTTGATTCAGAATGGGAGGTTTAATCAGCATTTCAAAGGCGGAAGTAAATTGGAAAATATTCCAGAACATACGTAAACACTTTATAATAAACATCTCGAGTAACCTTGTTTTTATTTATATATAATATTATTATTACAAGCCCCATATTGCATCTAAAGTAGCCTAGTTTTATTTAAATTAAATATTTTAACAAATCTTCAGCTCTAGAAATCACTGAAAAGCAAAAATTATTCTGTTTAAAAGTAAATTTCCATGAAGCAGCCAATTTCACTCAATAAAACACTGGCCACTGGTCCAACTACTTCTCACTTTGTACGCTTTTTTTTGCGTTCTCATGGTTATTTCGGTTTTTTTTTTTCCATTGAAGGTTAATTCAATTACATGGCGTTTCAAACATCAGCCCTCAACCGACTATCGATTGAACGGCTTGTGCCTGTGTGGCCCGTAATTAATTTGTCCAATATTTCGGGGCTATCTTTGTCTGTCATATACAAATTCATGAAAGTAAACGCCTGACGCCTGTCGCCGATCGCGTGACACGTTTTCGTTGTATAGTATAGTTCTGCACACGCTTATCAAAGCGACAATTCTATTGACCGGCTTTTTTTTCGAGAGTATTGATTGGAACTCCTCTCTGTTGAATTTTTTCTTATCTAGGCTTCGGTCAAGGGGATCATCGTTGGCCGGCTAAATGCAGCGGTTTCATCAACCTTGGCCGGATGCATTTTGCCATTAAATCATGCATTTCTGAACAGATTGCCGGGGCTGCAAAAACACTTTCACCGTTCGCCACCATGACATTGTTAGCGTGCCGGGAAAACTTGGGGAAATCAAAGGGAAAACCAGGGGGGGAGGGAAGTGGGTGGGCTGGGCGTAGGGGAAACTTGCGACAGTTGGCGGTTGGCCAGAATCCGCCGCAGTGCCAGCAACTAGCAACAGTTCAATTCAGCAGCTGTTTCTTTGGCCGACCGTCAAATAGAATTTCAGCTAAAATTCATTTCGTTTTCCTTTGTTTTTTACGTATTTTTATCTCTTTCCTCGTTCGCAGTTCTGTCTGCTCATGTGATAATGTAAACCGAAAATACAAAAAACATGAAAATGAAAAACAGTCCAACTTCTCTAATTGAAATCACCAGTTTCACACTTTTTTGTATTTGGTTTGTTTATTTGTGTAGTTGTTTGTTGTGAACATTCTTTTTATTTTCTGTACTTGTGCTATCATAAGAAATTCAACAAGGTTTAGCTAGGTTATCAAAAAATTTAATATTTTTAGCTTTTAGTTAACTAATAACCATTTTATTTTAACTAGAAGTAAACCAAAATTGTGTTTCGTTTTGGAGTTTCTAAAAAGATTTGAGTTTGGATTATATCTGAACACCTTTTCAATGTAAAGAAGTCGTACTGTAAAAATGAAAACTGTTGCCAAACGTCTCCCACTAATGCTTATCTCACTCCGACGGAATCTAAATCGCTTTCGCTTAGTTTTAGTAGGTTTCTGTTGATTTATGAGCTTCTTATCATTTTTAACTCGGGCCCCTTTCAAAAGCTCGTTGATACCACACGACCTCAAAAGACAAACACGCAAATTCCTTATCGATCAAACTTTTGGCTTCGTAATTGATAATTGCAGTGGGTGGTAGGCTAGTTTATAAAGGGGGTGTTGAAAACAGTTTAGAATTGCGTGTGGCAAAACCTTCAAAATGGTAAATTGAAGCCCACTTTGGGGTTATTGAAAATTTATTATGGATTGCCATTGGAATTGGACTTGGCCTTTGGCAAAGGTCGTTTGTGGGTTCTCTTGGGTTGTAGTCATAAAAATTAATGGCCTTCATATTAATTACTAAATACTATGCAAAAACAAGTTATTAATTTCTGTTTATTTGGATAAAAAATATTGGAATGGAAGAGTTTTACTAGTAGACACTAGAAGGATTAATAATAATTTATATGGTATAAATATCCATTTCTATAATTTCTATAAACTAACGTGTGACCTAAAAAAAAACGAATAACGCGAAATCATCTAGTTTTCATTTATTTCTTTTCTTCTCCGCCCTTTTGTTATAAGCTTATCTTCCATTATCACCAAATTGCGCAAAAAAGAATAAGTGTCACAGTCTTAATTCAGGATTCATTCGTACAATCTGAGCGCCCTTCAATTGACTATAATCTTGACTAAAACTTGATCTCTAGCCCAGACGCCCCAGCAACAAAATCAACAACAATATCATTATCATCATCGCCGTCCGCTCGCTTTTATCAACAATCAAGACAAAGTAAGAAAAATAAAAGCAAAGGTTGACCCGTTACACCAGTACTATCAAATTACAACAACAACTAGTATAAATTGGAGCAATATGATTTTCTGGCTGCTGTTTGAGAGAATACCAGAAAAAGCCAGAGAGAAGTGAGAAAGTAAGAGATGGGCAACAAAAACAAAGCAGACAAGTGCAAACAGCAATATTGCAACAACAAATGTAGAGCAACAACCACTATGCACACGTGGGGGTCTTTTATTTAGTGAGAGAGAAAAAGAGAATTGAAAGAAAGAGCGGGCTCCACAAAATGCGGGGGCGTCGCTGCCACTGCCGCTGTCGACGTCCTAACGTCTGCCGACTCTTGATGTGGCGCTCTCCCCATTCTTGATTCTCACCTAAAGAGTGTTCTCCCACTCTTAGTCAAATAACGAAAAACGTGACAGAGTCGTGTTGTGGTTCTCTACTCGGAGGCATTTAATACCCTGTGATAGGGTATGTTTGGTTACATTGTTAATTTATTTTTTCTTTTCCTTGTATAAATACTTATTTTCTTGTGCAGCTAGGGTAGAAAATACATATACCAGAAAAGATAAAAACAAAGCATACAAATTAAATTGGTATAAAATATTGAGTTTTGGGTGCCAATGCACAAGACCGAAAACTTAAAGTTGATCACCCATACGCACTGTTGAACAAACGTACTTTTTTCAAACGAATGTTTTATTTTCATTTAAATCATTGTTGACATGTTACTTGTTATGTTATGTTGTTGTTATGTTATTGTTATTGCTTGAAAATATTCCTACTAAGAAAGACGAATACTATACTTTATTTCTTTTAATTTGAAAATTAAAGTGTCATTTAAATATAATTTTAAATTACCCCCTCGAAGGCAAAACCATTTAAACCATATACAAATAACTTAAAGAAAAAAATCTAACCATTGAGTGCTTAAGATCCCAAATTCAAAAATTCCCTAAAAATTCCTTCTGCAGCGATTATTATAGGGTAACGGCACTTCGATCAGTCTATCTCGCTTCTCATTCTTACCTTCGTGTGCGTGCGAGGGCTAACATAACAAAAAACACACGCACACTGACGACGCGCGTATCATGTCAAAAAGCTTAGCGCGTATTATAACCTCTATTTTCGTTTCGGTTTCTTCCGTTTGCCTCGTTTATTTCACCTTTTCACCGCCTAATTGTTTGCTAATGTGGCTTTTGTTTAATTTTATTAAAAAGAAAAGTTGATCACGAAAAACTGGAATGGGGGTGGGGGAAAAACCAGGGGTGCCTTTATTTATTATTTGTTGTTGTTGCATCAGCAGCTGACTTGCTGGTCTTGCGCGTGTGTGAGTGCGGGAAAGAGAGGGAAGCAAACAGCGTGCAAGCCGCAAGTCTAGACATACACACACACATTCTCACAGCTGCTAATTTAATTAAAAATATAAAATGGAAATAATTTTCGTATTTTTTTCGCTTCCCTTTAGGTTTTTTTTAGTTTTTTTTAATTAAATTTAAATTTGCCGAAAATTACACGCGACATTGGACGCGCTTTGCGTGTGTGTCTCCGTGTGTTACTCTCACTCATACCAGCATACCAGCACTATACACACACACAAACGCAGGGCTATATCGACAAAGACGGTGTACAGTCCACTTGTTAAATCAATAAAAATAAAAAGAAACCCAGCAGAAGGCAACCCACAAAATTCGGTAAAATCCTCCAGTTGTAAGTAATCGAATTCCCACTGGTTTCCATGTTTGGTTGCGGCACCAAATCGCCAGCAACCTTCAGCGAATGTCAAGGACCCTTAAAGCACATGGGTTTGACAAACAGTTTTCGAAAAACTTAAACCATTCTAAAGCACTTTTTAACACTCGGATTAACACTTGTTGGTGGCCCCAAAAGGATGGGGACTTTCCGCAGGACTTCTACTTACCAAGTCTCCAAATTGCTGAACTTCTTTGTAACCACTTTGCCAAGATCGATTCCCAGACGATCGACGATCCGCTGGGCCAGATCCGGATGCGAGGTGCCCGAAAACACTTTGATGTTCGGCATTCTGGAGTGGATTAAATTTAGACAACCAGCCTGTTTCTCCAAATTGTCTCGGATCAAACTTCTAGCGCGTATCGGATTAGCAGAGCGAACTGGCATCACACAATCTACGAGTAGAAGTTTTTATTATAAATTTTTTTTCGCTAAAACGCGGGCAGCGACGTCGCCGCCTTATCGGTGTGCTCGCGGGAGCGCAAAAGAGAGTGCCTCCCTCTCTCTGTGTACTACATCGACAGCGACGTCGGCAGCGCGAAAGCTTTGTGCGGGTGTGTGTGAGTGCGCCACTCTCTTTTACTCTTTTTTCTGTAAAGCCACCCCAAGTCCGACCATGTGATTTTTCTACGTGTTCTCCAGGGAACTATTAAAGCTATCGATGTCGATTTCGGATTTTTAGAGGCAGTTCGATAGATTTCTATAATTTTAAATATTCTACTTATTTATGCATGTGCATAACATTTTAGCTGTTTTTATGAACTTATACATAATGTATTTAAATGTTTAAAACATTATTATTATTATTATTATTATTATTATTATTATTATTATTATTATTATTTCTTTTTAACTGAATGACTTTTTGACGCTTTGAAATAGAAAAAAAATTTTAATTTTTTTATTGACGAGATTAATTTTTTTGCGCTTAAAGTAACAAGAAAATTAATTAGTTGCTAAACAAAATAAGTTAGGTATTCTCAAACAAATCTTTTGTAAGGCTAAGTCTGAAATGTGCCTACAGTTTATCGCAATTTATTAAAATTTTTGAAAAATAAATCCCTTTTTAACACTTCCAATAAGTTATAAAGTAAAATTACATTTACAGCCTCCTTGTGATGTGTTTCAAAAAACGTTTCGAAAGTATTAAATTATTAAATAGTCTTTTCTTTGCAAACTGACTTGCTGTTAATATTGTCTGAAAATTTCTATTCTAGCCGATAGATAAAAGGCTTATCATCACCAAAATGCAATCTATATTTTCGGTTTAACATAAAAAATATGCTGGCATGCCAACAGGCGCGCGCCAAAAGAAAAGCTTTGGAAAATTGAAACGCGACCTCGCCAAACAGCTGTTTCACGGATGTCCCAGGTTGACCATGAAAACACACACACACACAAACTCAGGCAAACAGGGCCATAACGTGATTTCTAGGATATAACTACGCACCATTCTGCTCGTTTTCCGTGCATTTCTTATCGGGCATTATACACAACTTAACTCCCGAGATCAAGGTGCTGCGACAGGTAAGCGGCGACTGAAAAGAGCGCCGGGTATTTAATAGCACCCCGTTTTTAACAACAAGTCGCACTCACAGCTGTTTTTGCCCAGGCTAACTAAAAAATGCACCGTTTTTAGCGACAATTGGAGATTGAGATTAGCAGCCGCATCTGGCGAAATTGAGCGAGCAAATGGAACTGAGCGCCGTACAACATGGCGTATGCGTCTATTACACATACGCACTGGGTACACACACACAAACACACAGCGAGAGAGAGGGATGATGCGCAGTTGATGCCACATATAAAAGCTTTCAGGATGCCACAACGAGAGCGCTTTCTTCTCTTCTCGGAATCAGCTGTTTTGGGAGACAATTTCCATTTAATTTATGGTTCGTCACACTGCAGTTTTAAATATTTAAAAACCTATTGAGCGCCACTCAGAGCCAAAATCATTAAACAAATAAGTTGTTTGAACCTTAAAAATCAATAATGTAATAATATTCATTTTGTATATTTCCTTAAACAAATATGATAAGATAGTTGGATTAAGGAATGCTTTAAAAACTGAATAATGATTTATTGAAACTTTAAATGAATAAAATAACTTTAAAACTTAATATTGACGTATGTTTGTAACCCCCAAAAATTAATGTATTAAACTTTATTTATTAGTCAACTTATTTTCGTCATATTGCATTGCACAAAAAAGGTAAATAAATATTTTGAAAATGTGCACATAAATATATCAAATGTGTTAGGGTGATGCCGACATTTACAAATTAAGCAAAATTGTTCACGATACATTCCAATTTTAAGATGAAAGAAAAACAAGAAAGAAAGCAAACTTCGGCAAGCCGAAGTTCATATACCCTTGCAGCTATTGCATGAATTAAATACTTTTGAAAACATTTAAATTATGATTTACTTCAGTATATACTGAAAAACAGTGAGGCTATGATGATTTGCAGCTCAATTATTAGATAGTTATTTTATATATTTTTATTAGTTCTATGGGAGCTATATGATATAGACGTCCGATTTTGATAAAATTTAAACCATAATTCTGAAATAATTAAACATTGCCATATGTCGAAGAACTAAACAAAAAATTAAAAAACAGAAAAGTTATAATTTTTTTTCATTTATTTCTCCGATTGTTCCTATGGGAGCTATATGATATAGTCGTCCGACTTTGATGAAATTTAAACCGTAAATCGAAAATATTTAACCATTACTAAATGTCGAAGAACTAAACAAAACATTAAAAAACAGAAAAGTTATAATTTTTTTCATTTATTTTTCCGATTGTTCCTATGGGAGCTATATGCTATAGTCGTCCGATTTTGATGAAATTTAAACCGTAAATCGGAAATATTTAACCATTACTAAATGTCGAAGAACTAAACAAAAAATTAAAAAACAGCAAAGTTATAATTTTTTTTCCTTTATTTTTCCGATTGTTCCTATGGGAGCTATATGCTATAGTCGTCCGATCCGGCTCGTTCCGACTTATATACTACCTGCAATAGAAAGACAACTTTTGGGAAAGTTTCATGCAGATAGCTTTAAAACTGAGAGACTAGTTTGCATATAAACGGACGGACAGACGGACAGACGGACAGACGGACGGACAGACGGACATGGCTAGATCGACTCGCCTAGTGATGCTGATCAAGAATATATATACTTTATAGGGTCGGAGATGTCTCCTTCACTGCGTTGCAAACTTCTGACTGAAATTATAATACCCTCTGCAAGGGTATAATGAATTTTTAACTGTCTCATAAAAATAGTAAATAGATTTTCGAATGTCAATTTTAAGTTCATATTTAGGTTTTTACAACTTGTTGTTTGTTAAGCATCTGAGACAATAATAAATGTTCCATGGCTTCTTTTTTTCACTTTTAAATTTTTGGATGTTATTATTTTTATAAATATGAAAAACAGCTACATATATTTTCTTCCGTGTAGTTGTGCTTTGAATGGATTTCAATTGGTTCTGGGCTAATTGTTGCTCTGCAAACAATTCCACAAAAGATATGAGTAGGAATGTTTTGTTTTCTAGATTGCTAAGACGGACCCGAGTACAGTCTTTTCATTCCTACGGGGGCTCGTCATTGCTTTTCTTGCCCCTGAGATGTTTTCTTGTTGTTGGTGCAACTGTACCTGGGATTGGGATGCTGAACAAAAGAACGTCGCTGAAAACACTGCGATTTGTTAAATTGTTTTTGCGTGCCTATGGCTAAATATAAATGAACTAATGCTAAATGTTGACGTACTCTTCTCCGTGTTTTATCCCTCAAAACTGACGCAAATGGCGTTGCAAGTGGGGCGTACGTTTAAAAATAATGAATGTGTGGATCGCGGGGGGCTGAGGCGAAAACCACGTGCCGAATGCGACGCACGTTTTGAGTCGGGAGGAAAACAAAGGGCACGCACACACGCAAAACCGGTAACAATACAATATACAGTATACTTAATACTCAGACTTACTTAAAACATGTGCAGTAGAAACGTTTCCCAATTACTTTTTGAACTATTAACTATTGAACACTCAACAATGCGGTTTGAACACGTTGGTCGACAGAAACTGTGTAGTTTGTGTGCAGCCGCCTCTCGGAAAATGCAAAAGCTGAATGAATCAGAACGCTTTCGGTTCGAATTCGAGCGAGGGAAGTTGCGTTTGTGGAGTTTGTGGTGTGCGAGAGCATGAGATAACGAGAGTGAAACTTAACTTCAGCAAAACGAAGACTTAATACCCTTGCGGTTTTAACAAAAATATGGATGTAAATACATACATACATAACTTTATTTGAGTTTCAGTTTCTTTCAATAAAACCAAACAAATTTAGTTCATAACAAATTACATCCTTAACACAACAAATATATTCTTACCCCTTAACTTCATAATTAAGGATATTGTCGTCCTATTTGGACCAAACTTAAAGTTCTTTTCTTAGATCAGGGTATAAAAGAAACGTTAAAGGTTTCGATGGAACATCATGATATATTTGGGAATCTTTTTGGTGAGGACTATAAAACTCTCTGTAAGGGTATATTATGGAGAGCGGGAGAGTGGAAGAGCGTTGGAGAGCCGGCATTTATTGTTTGTATTGGTCAAAACGTTTTGGAGCGCAGCAAAAGGGGGAGCACAAACACGTGTGCCCAACAGACAAAAGAGTAAAATATATGACCAACTCTTCCATTTTAACTCAGTCCCCAAATTGTTTACTGGGTTTTTTTCCTTATCCGAAAGTTGTTGTTGTGTTGGCTCAAAAACTTCTCCACACGCTTTTGCTGACACGTTTTTTTCTCGATCGCCATGTCTGTTGTGCGAAACGTGAATTTCGGCTGTAAAAGAGAATGACGAGTAGAAGGTTTTCCGGGCAGGGAGCATACCCTATAAGCAGTCCGCAAATATTAATTAAATCGTTATTTTGTACAATTCAATTGAAATTAGTACAAATGTTTAAAATCACAAAATAACGTACATATAAACTTAAGGCAGGTTAAACATTTTTTTTTAAAGAAAATGTTAACCTTTTAATATGTACATATTTAATATGTACATATGTAAATGTATCCTCATATACCCGCTTTCCCCCAGCAATACCTTCTATAAACCCAAGATCTTTTGCCGCATATTTATGGTTGTCTATTATTTTCGGACTGTTGCCAAGAGAGGCCTACGCCTTAAAAAAATAAACTTCTTATTTTTGTTTAGAGGAGGCAAAACTAGTTTCAAATTTCCGACCGCAGACAAGGCAGGTGAGCGTAATGGAACCATAATACTGAGGTCACAAGAACTCAGATTAATGCTGGTTTGGTTCTATAAGTTTTATGTATTCGGTGTTCAAGATCAGAGACGCAATGGAAAATAACCTTAGCTCTGTGCCAATGAAAAGCTGCGGCTAATGGAAGCGATGGTATATGGGGTTATGGCTGGAGGTTTTTTATCCGATATCAAAAACAGGTTCGAATCAGAAAACTTTACTTGAGTAGGTCGCTAGGCCGTCGTACAGTAAATGGACCTTATCAATTTTAATCTTCCTAAAATACTAATCTAGCTAACCGGTGTTAAGTTTGTTGCATTAATTTACTTGCTACTTTTTCTTTCGTATTTGTAGCAGCATACTTAGATCTCCAAAAGAACCGCCCATGAGTTCCATATCTGTGCCATCCTCAGTAGAGGTTCCGTCTTGTGAAGATGGAAAAGCAAACCAAGTTGGTGATGGAATCAGTATACCATTGGTCGACACTATTAAAGGATATCCTGTGGAACAACTTCACCCTTTGGTAGGATCTCCTCCAGGGTCCCCAAAACAGCTACCCATAGTCACTCAACCTGGAATAGGCACTGGAATGGCACGGGGTGAACTAACTGGAGACTGGAAAAATGTAATACCAAGCAGTACAAGTGGATTGGAGTACCTTCAGATCATCGATCAGCTTTTGGTCAAGCAAAAGGTGGAATTTTTTGAGGCCTTTACCGGATTTGAGACCAACAACCGTTACTCCATCCAAAACGCGTTGGGACAAAAAGTGTTCTATGCGGTGGAGGACACCAACTGCTGCACCCGTAACTGCTGTCCCGAAAGACCCTTCCATATAAAGGTGTTTGATAACTATCTGAAGGAAGAGGTAATTCATCTTCATAGGTCTTTAGGCTGCTCCTCCGTCTGTTTTCCCTGCTGCCTGCACAGCATCGAGATCTCGGCACCACCCGGAAATGTGATCGGTAGTATTCAGGAGGAGTGGTCTGTTTGTCGACCCTCCTTCCGCATCCTCAACCGAAGTGGCGACCTCGTTTTACGCATCGAAGGACCTATGTGCTTTTGCTCGGTCTGCTGCAATGTGGACTTTAATGTGGGTTTCTGGATGATATTTTTTTAAAAAATTAATAATTTTAATTGTTGACCAGGTGGTTGATCTAGACGGTGAAAATGTCGGCAGGATTTCAAAGCAATGGTCCGGACTTGGTCGTGAGTTCTTAACGGATGCGGATATGTTCGGAATCACCTTTCCAAAGAACATGGATGTGGATCTAAAAGCGGTTCTACTAGGCGCCACATTCCTTATTGATTTTATGTTCTTCGAAAAGTCATGCAAATGTTTATTTAAGTCTTGTGGTTGTTGCATTAATGTTTAAAATATTACATTCTTGGGAGGCTAGACCCTACACAAAAATCTCAAAGATTTAAAAAGAAGAATGAAAATTTAGAAGTCTGAAAGATGAGTTGAAAGATACTCTTTTTTTTTTAAAACCCAAGCATGTATTTGTTAATATGTATAGCTGGCAGAAAATGTATAAATTCATATCAGTATTAATATAATTGTTAATTTTTATGTATTATTGTTATGTTTAAATTTAATGGCGAAATAAATCAATAATTTTGTAACAAAAATATTGGATGATTTATTAAAAAAAAAAATTTTTAATTCCCAACACTATATATAAAACTAAAACAAAATTGATACAAAATAGATAAAGCATAACTTGGATTAGTATGGATTATGAAAATAAATTAGTAACTTTATATACATTTTTTGAATTTGTAGAACAGACCTTTGAAGTTTAGTAAAATAAAGAGCAGAATTAAATGGTTATGGAATTCTTTAAAAATATTTCTGGCAAAATTCTTTATAATTACTTTCAGAAAGATACATTTAAAAACATAATTTTAGAATTCGTGTCGAATTTTTGCCGCCAACTTTCAGAATCCCTATCGATTGGACAATCGATAAAAGAGCTTTCAGAATTTTTGTCATGCGGCGCTGCAGCCACACTAAACAAAAAAAAAAAAAAAAAAAAAAATAGCACAGCAAAATAGACGTGCTGAGCAAAAGTCAGTTTCGATAAATTTCGGATATTGAGCTTATTATTTATTGTGTGCTGGTCGAGCTCCTTGCCTCGACAATCCCGAAAAGCGATCGAGTGGAGCGACCTTGGAGTGGATATCAACCAGGTGTAATTTACGCAACGCATCACAAAATCCAAATCCGCAAAATTGCACAGGGCCAACAACAACAGAAACAGGGAAGAGAACGGCGAAGAGGAGAGGCGGAGTAAGGAGAACGGAGAGCGGATAACAGGGAACAGAGAACAGAACAGAGAAGAGAAGAGAGTTGGAAACAGAAGAACCATCATGGCGAACATGGCAGTGTCGCGGATCAAACGGGAGTTCAAGGAGGTGATGCGCAGCGAGGAGGTGAGTTTTCGAGGACCAAGGACACCACACTTACCCGTTCCCTTGGCATCGCCAGCTGCAGCACCACCACCCCTAATGGTGCTGCGGGGTGTGGGGTCCACGTCCGCGGTCTTTGGTTCCATTTTTTGGCGCGCTTCTTGGTTCGAGCTAGTTATACATATGTACAATAGCTGTGACTTGTAGAGCAAAATGTAAACACCGACCGCACTGATTTGTACTACTCACTTGTATTCCCTGACAGATCGTCCAGTGTTCCATCAAAATCGAACTGGTCAACGACAGTTGGACGGAGCTGCGCGGCGAGATCGCCGGTCCGCCTGACACGCCCTACGAGGGCGGCAAGTTCGTCCTGGAGATCAAGGTGCCCGAGACATATCCCTTCAATCCGCCAAAGGTTAGTACACCTCAAGGGCAACTATAAAATATTTCAACTCGGGAGAGTTTTTTTTTTAAATTAGTATGCTACAACTATGACATTTGTGATAAGCCTTTTTTTTAATTTTTAAGAAAATCTGATAATAGCAATTAAATTCTTAAACTAATGTTAGTTTATATAATTCTCTACTTACGATTTAAAATTGGTTTAATAAAAGTTGTAAATTTTGTACATTTTTACAATCAAATTAAACTAAAGTTAAGCTATAAACTAGTTTCAAAAATTACCGAATTTTATTCAATAGAATACAAAATGAAAATAATTATAGTCGTTTTTTAATATATATTTAAAAAGAAAGAAAAACAAAACATTAAAAAGATACAACAAAGATCAATATATATTCAGCATTGAATCTAGAAAAGCTAAGGATTTTTATAGAGTTGCAATAGAAATGATGCCAAACATAAACAGTAAGAAAACAACTGATTAAAACTAAGTTAAATTAAAGCTATTTTATAACTTTATAAATAAAGTCAGCTCTAAACTACAAATTGCTTTTAGGTACGCTTCATAACGCGCATCTGGCACCCGAACATTTCGTCGGTGACGGGAGCCATCTGCCTGGACATCCTGAAGGACAACTGGGCCGCGGCGATGACACTGCGCACTGTGCTGCTGTCCCTGCAGGCGCTCCTGGCTGCCGCCGAGCCGGACGATCCGCAGGACGCCGTGGTGGCATATCAGTTCAAGGACAAGTACGATCTGTTCCTGCTGACCGCCAAGCACTGGACGAACGCGTACGCGGGCGGTCCGCACACCTTTCCCGATTGTGATTCAAAGATCCAACGTCTCAAGGACATGGGCATCGACGAGCATGAGGCGCGCGCCGTGCTCTCCAAGGAGAACTGGAACCTGGAGAAGGCCACGGAGGGTCTGTTTAGTTAGCTTGTCCCAGCCGCACAATCACCAGTACCATTCTCGGCGGCGGCTACACCAGCAACTTCAACATTAAATTTTCAGTTCGGCAACAATGCTAAATTCTAGTAGACCCACACATTGCCCACAAAACGATTATCGTAGATTTTGTCCACAAAATTGCATTGCCCCGTAATTATACCAATATATTTTTGTTCCGTATTTCTGTATGCTTATTGTGCACCTTTTGACGCTGGATGGGCCACCAAAAGGTTGAATCTAAGGCCCGCCTCTCAAGCATGTGTTTTGCAATTGAACCCAGGGTTCCATTTCATTTTATTACGTGCAGTCGCATTTATTTGCTGGCCTTTTAATAACACTGTTTTCTCCATTTCAACCCTTATTTGTACCACAAACAAAAATGATTTAAAACATGTAATGCGAACATGAGAAGTGTATAACAAATCGAAGTCTTTGTAAATTGCGTTAAGTTAAATAAATAAATAAATAAACAAATATTAAGAAATGCTAAATGAGGAAGTTATGATTTTAGTTTGTGGAAGACTGGCTGCAAACTTTAAATAGATTTTTGTAAAATATGTAGTAGACTGAAAATGAAAAATGTAATTTACGTTAACTTGAAACTATAAAAATATTTGTCTTATGCAATTTAAAAACTTAAATAAAATCCAAATTTACAAACCAAATATAAAAACCGTAAGATGACAAATTCTCCATGTTATTTATACAATGTCTACCATTATTAAGATGCAATATAATCATATATATGTATATTTTTCTAAATTTTCAATTAATTAATTTTTTTCTACATTTTCATTTGAATATTTATGATTTGCACTAAAGATTTTACTAATAATCTGTGACTAAACATTTGGTCTACGAACTCTGCCGGCGAATACAATGAACATCTCTACTCGAAAACGAATCTCTACTTGTGCTTCTGCTTGGACATGACGGACACGGAGGATCCACCAGTTGCAATGGCGGATCCCAAGCAAGTGTTGCTGCTCTGGGGCAACGAGAGGCCAGCGGCATTGGTTCCCTGGACATTGTGATGGCTGTGGCGCTGCTTGAGCATCTCCTTCCACTCGGATTCCAGGCGCACATAGGAGCCGCCCAGCGGTTGGGCATTCTGCACCAGACACTGATCCGTTCCCGTCTTCTTGGTCACGTAGTTGGCCACCTGCTTCATGATCTTCTCCTCGAAGTCACGCTGATGATCCTGGTTGCTGCGTGCCGACAGCTCACCGGACCAAAAACGGCCCGACACATCGGTGGGACTGGTTATATAGTTCAGATATGTATTATATATATATATGCTTATTTTGGTGTTTTGTAAACTTACCGCTTTCGTGACTTTTTGCCACGTGTTTTCCTAGGTGGTGGACGGTGCTCCGACTCGCAGCCATCACTACTGGAGCTGTAATCCTCGTCGTCATCGTGAACGTTGCGCATGCGCGGACGCAGGCAACGGGCATCATCCTCACTGGTCGACGTCGTCTCGGAATCGGTGCTGGTGTCCATTTGGTAGCGCGATCCGCGCATCCGTCGGCTCACCCGGTGGTTGGTCACTGCCGATCAGGGATTGGGACATAGGACACACATAGGACTCGTGTTCGGGTAACCATCTACTCACCCCTCTTCAGCACACTGTCCATGCAGAGCTGCGGCAGCAGGCCCTGGCGACATCTCTGGGGCGTCAGGGAGATCCCCTGCCAGCTGGGACTGATCTCGCCGGCGGCAGCCAGTTCCTGGATCCGCAGCGGTGCCTGTTCGCACAGCGCATAGTTCTCGCCCACCAACTGGGCAATGGCCAGAATGGCCCGCTCGCGATCCGTCTCCACCAGCACGCTGTGCTCGCGGAACTGGCAGCCCTGAAAGTATTCACAGAAATAACTATTCGAATCACATTTCTCAAATTCGGTTACGATTAAGTAACCTGCAGATAAGATGTACAATGTACATAGTTAAAAATCGAATACTTTTAAAAATGTAGTTAAAAATCGAATTTTAATCATAACTTAAAACATGTAAACCCACATCTTTTCCGATAAAGCACTACTTCTAAATGTAATTTAATTTATCAGAAATCCAAAACATATAAAACACAAAGGGTAATTATCTTTGCCGATAAAATTCCCATTTCTAAATGTAAATGTAAAACCCTATCTAAACAATAAATGGAAATGTATACACAGATATAAAAGCTTTGTTAGTTATAGTGTTGACAAAATATGTAAATTGGTATTGGTATTATTAAAAAAACAGCAATAAAACTTAAAGATAAACCTAAAACGAACCTTACAAAATTCATCTAAATCAATAAAAACATGTTTTCCTAAACAGCAAATAATCTGAATTTCAAAGACTAACATCACATTGAGAAACCAAACCCTAGTCATAGAATTTAAATAAAATCTGTAACTTAATTAATACAAACATTTGGTCCCGGCAGCGTTTCGTAACGGAAGGCCTGCTGACCGCAGCAGGAAAAGCGTCCGGCGGGTCCGGCATTTCCCACGGGTCCCAGGAAGTTGGGCGACTCCGGATGGAAGCGACACCAGTGCATCTGGTAGACCGGAAAATGGGCCTCGCAGGTGCAGCAGTAGAGATAGTGGCAGTGACCCCACAGTTTCCAGTAGACTTTCCGCCACGACTTGAGCTCCTTGAACAACTGAACGATGTAGACGTTCAGATCCCAGTTGGTGTCCCGCACATGGTGGCTCATCAGCTGACCCCAGCGGTTCAGCCGGATGTTGCTGGGCACACAGCTCACATAGGACTTCATGGTGTTGGTCACGCAGTTGAAGCAGCGCGAGCAGCGGAATAGACCGGACATGCTGTAGAAATGTCCCCTCAGCGCCTCCGGATCCGGTTCGCAGAGGGACTGTATCAGCTTGGTCCACAGACGCGGCGTGACCCGCTCCTTCTTGTCCCGCACCATCTCCAGCTCCAGATTGGTGAACATGGCCGCCAGTCGGGTGACCAAGGCATCGTTCAGGCACGACAGGTTCGTCGAGGTGCGGACCACTTCGCTGAGATGGGCGTGGCAGAAGGCCAGACACTCGAGCAGCAGCGGTTCCATCTGCAGGAAGCTGGCCGACACCAAAATGGGCACCACATTATTCCCGTCCAATTGCGGCCCGGTGCTCTGGCCGGAAACTGGCAGATCCTGGCTCTGGGCACTGTGCTTGATCCACTTCATCAGCCAGTCGAAGATCAGGATGTCGCAGTGCACCGATATGTCCATCTCCTCCAACCGTTGCCCAGCGGTCACGTCCGCAAAGTAACCCATTTTGGTCACCAGCAGGTGTTGCGGGCACGTGAAGTCCTTCGAAGTGTTCTTCACCTCGTCGCAGACGTGGATCACCACTTCGGGTCTTTCAAGATATAAGTTTTTATTTAGTTTTATAGTTAAAACCAGAAATAAAGCTAACTTGCAGTTTAAAATAAAATTTAAATTGTATGGTGGATCAGAATGCAATCCTTTAAAAATATACTATTATTGTATAGTTTTATAAAACTTAAATTTTAAAAATTAAAACCAGAAAAAAAACTAGCTTAATAATCGTGGGTCAATAAGAAATCTTTAAGAAATATATATTTTCGAATAAAAAGTTTGGCTTTTCTTTTTGAGTTTTGAAAAACAATTACAAACGCTTGTGTTAAGGTAATTTAATTTAATTTTGACACTTTTTAGGTCATTATTTTTAAAATTTGGGTAATATTTATAATTCATAAGTCATTTTGGTTTTTTGGTGTTTTCTTAGTGTACTTTATAGGTTTTAAAAAATATCACAGTCTCTGCGTTATGAACCACAAAATAAAAGAGAACAAGACTATTACTTACTTAGCTAACAAATTAAAAAAAATATTTACCCTCGGATGGCATCTACGCTAATAACTTTTAAAATAATGGTAAATAATATAATATATATTATATATATTATATATATGTACATATGTAAATGATCAAGAATTTAGGGGCGGAAACGCTTCTTTCTATCTGTTACATACAGTTAAACGATATTGTACTCGTTTACCCCTTATTATTGTACGACAGTAAATAATAATTAACTAAAAAAAGTGTTAAAAATAAATAGTATTTATGTACTTACTCCTTCCTCTCCTGCCTGGCGTGCTTGCTGTCCTTAACCAGCAGTAGAGATTTGCGTCTGCCGGCATTTAGACCCACAGGCTTTTGGATGGGCTCCTTGATCAGCGCTCGCACCATGCTATTGGTCATCTGATCCGGATGCAGTGCATCCCCACCGGGATGGACCTGCTGGAGGCACGGAACCGAAGAAGTGGCTGCAGACAACGGCGCATGCGAGTGGCCCAGCTCCATCATGGATTTGGATGCACCGGTGGGCAGAGGAGCAGCAGGTGGAACTGGATTCGCCGTGGGAGTGGGCGATGTCTGAGCAAGTGGCTCCTTCGTTGGCGGCTGCAGTTGCTTGGGCTTACACCTGCCATTCTGGAGCTGAGTGGGCATTGGAACCGGGCATATGAAGGACAACACCGAGTCCAGGACACCCTCGTTGATGGCCGCATCCAGTTGCTCGCCCAACTTGGGATGCAGTCCCCGGTAGGTGGACTCTGGACGGGATGTGCGGCTGTGGTGAGTGTGTCCCGAACGCAATACACTGGACTTCGCCTCCTGGAGCAAACTGGAGCGACTCTCGTTCCTTGAGGGACGTCGCAATCCGAGCAGCTCGTTGACCAGCGGATTGTCCGCCAGGTGGGCAAAGTCGAACTCGTCCTTTTTGCAACTTCTCTTGGCTGTGGCGGCACTGCCCTCCATTGGCGGCACTGGCTCCCTGGTGTGTGGTTTCCCCATGTCGGCCTTCGCTATCATGTCGTTCACATGACAGGATAGTTTCAGAAACTCTAGGAACTCGTTCAAACTGATTTGAAACTCGGCGCCGTTGCCGGAATCGATGGATTTCTGGGAGGGAGCCGGCGGCGATTCATCCGGCTGGCCAGCAGAGGTGGCTCCCTCGTCGGAGCCCGATTTCTGCATCCTGGCCAATGCACAAATTACTGGCAATTGGACATTATTGATTGATTTTCTCCGTTGCTCTTAACAACAGTGCAACTATCAAAAAACAAATAAAATAAAACAAAAAAAAAAAAAACAATGCAACTAGTGACCCCAATTGATTTTTCAAAGCTATTCCGGAATTTCGGGTCAACATTATTATAATATCATAATTATTTCTTTAAAATCACACAAAATCATTAATTTGGCTTAACAACAAACACCTTACTTAATCCAGTTGAAAATCAACTTGAGGGATTACAGTAATTGTTATTTATTTTAAAATATAATAATTTATGCATTTTTTTAATATGTTATATACTTATAATAATAATTAGTAACTAACCTGACAATCGTTGCTTCTTTTGTTGTTCTACCGGTTAGAATTTCTTTCAACAAACTAACCAATTTTCCATTTTACAAACAGTAGTGTAGTAAAACGCTTTTCCACACAACTGGCGGAATACTCGAAAAATGAACTTTGTTTAAAAAAAACTAACTTTTGAATTAAAAACGAAATTGTAAAAATAAATCTAAATTACATGTAAGAATTCCTTTAAGATTGTATTATTATCTAATTGCCGTATGCATTGATAAAAAACATAAAAAATATTCGTTTTAAATTAAAAATAAATAAATCATTAATTTTCTAATCACAAGAAATATTTTTTTTCAATTCCCATATGCATCAGTAAATAACATACAAAAGTTAGTTTCTAATCGCAAGAAATATTTCTAAAGGCTTTATTGGCGTACTGGGAATAAGTCGATATGAGAGGTTGTTTAAAGACGCCAAATGTTGTTTTTTTATACTCTGGATTCTTGCCATTTAAATTCCCTTGCGGACACTAACGGCCGAGAATATATATATATATATTCTTTAGGGAATACGAGTTTATTTTGCTGTTGATTTGAAAAGTCAAACATTTTCGATGGAAACCTTTATAAGCTGCGTACTAGCTCCATTGAACTTCAGTTGAGCCAAGCTCGCCGTGACGAAGGTTTATAGATCTACAATTTTGTAATAGTGCGGCATATCAATATCAAATAGTTAGTTACGATACCATCGATATCTCGCATTTGACAAGTGTTAACAACAACTGGTATATGTTATAAGATGTACTCAAAATTCCTGTCTTCATTATTGAGGAGTATTACTTTTAGGAGTTGTGGAAGTTTTGTTGCCCCACCGAACTGTCGACTTCCTGCTCGACCTGAGAAAAAATACTTACACGATGTTTGAGGTTTGTCTTTTGAGCTGCTAACTTTATATATCTTTCAAATAATATTTAAAATGTCCATCAGCAACCTAAGGGTGCTGCGCTTAAGGATAAGCAGCACAAGCATAATCACATCAAAGGCTGAATGAAAGTGCAATATTACTTTTATCAATATAACTGTCTGAATAACATTATATTTCTGCGCAAATGTGCAGAATCCATCAGAAGCATGATCAAAGACACGCCCATTAAGACAGAGAGTCGCAAAATAAAACGCTGTGTTGGGGAAAAAAATCCATTGAAAATTGCATATTTTTGATTCCTTTAAACGGAAATTAACCTTAACAAAAATATGATCTTAAAAATGTTGATGAAATCTTTAAACTCAGGAGCTTAAACGGCGTAAAAATTAATTTGTTGTTGACTGCGCGGTTAAAGGTGGTTTTTATTGCGATTAACATTTAAACAGAGAGTAAACTACATAAAGTATTTATTCATCCTTAGACTGGACCTCATCTTCCTGGATTTACTATCATAGACCAACACGGATTCTAGCACCTTCGTCCTGACGGCTGTTCACATTTGGAAAGTGAAGAGGAAAGTCAAACAATTTACCCTATTTATATTGAGAAGTAAGAGCTAAACATAGACATTTAAAATTTTGTAACAATCCTAATACTATTTATATATCCATAGTTCAATTACCTTCAAATTTTGCGGCTCTTTGTCATAATGGGCGAGTCCTTGATCCTGCTTAAAATTTTGCATTTGACGCAAAAATATAATGTTATTCAGACAGTTATATTTGTAAAAGTAATATTGTGTTTTTATTCTGCCTTTGGTATAATTACATATGTTTGTGCTGCTTATCCTTAAGGGCAGCACCCTTAAGTTGCTCATCGATAGGTAAGTCTAGTTACTAGTTATTTGAATTTTTAAATAATGTTTTTTGTCACCGCAGAATTCGGGGAAAATGGAAAAGCAAAGTCCCAATGCGAAAAAATCTGAAGTGAAACGATACAACTGAGAAAAGTTGATGCCAATAGATTGCAGCTTTTCTGTATATTATAGCTTTATCTTTATAATATAAAATAATACCAATGGTGACAAAATGTTCCTTAATTTACCTTAAATTTGGTCAGAACAGTAGTTTTGTTATAAACACTTATAAAACTAATGTAACGTAATACTTAAGTTACAAATGTAAAAATATTGAATCTTCTATAAAAAGAATTAAATTACACACATTTATAAAATCAAGAACAGTTTTTTTTAGCTGAATACCCTTATACTAAGTTTCAGGACGTTTCTAAAATAAGCAATTAATAATATTTTTCAGAATTTAACACTCAGTTGTAGTCAAATTAATAATTTCCTCCCTCATAAGTTTTATATAATATCTGTAAGTAGGTTTCCCAAAATTTGCAGACTTCGATACTGGCAGTGATATTCTATTTTATCATTTATATTCCGATTCTGATTAATACACATTGTTTCTTCAACGATTCTAAATAAAAATGATTTCCTGTTGTTCAAAATATATTTCAAATTTCGCGGCTGCGCGATAGAAAAGCTCTTAAAACAGGTTGGCACTCTAACAGAAATCGAATATCGACGTGCCAGAAGTAGAATCGATATACGAAATGTAAAATCGATATGCCAAAAACAGAAAATGAAAACATATCGAAAGCAAACATATACATACAAAATTCATTGATTTTGTCAACGTAAAACATATAGCGCACGGCATATAGGAACTCCAATTGGAATACCCCAGTGAAGTTAATCGAATTAGAAACGCTGGAGCGGAGCGGCAAGTGCGCGGCGGCAATGCGAACGGACTGAAGTTGGAAGCCCCGTAGCGAAGGCTTTTCACCTGGGCCGCTGTCCAATCAGAACGCTGCTCCCAATCAAAAGTGGCAGGTGGCGAGGGCGGGGGGTGCGACCGAAAAATCCCGATACGGGGGGCACGGTAGTGTTGTCGTTGTCGTTCTCGTTGTTGTTGTTGTGTGGCAGGGATAGGAAAGCCAAACACCAAGCCAATGGTAATGGAAAAATGACCATCAGCAGCAGGAGCACGGATCACTAGCTAATACGGATACGGTCGTAAAATGCCCCGGAACACTTGCAGGCCAAGTGAATGCGCAGCAGCTAGCCAGGATCAGCAACAGCAACAGCATCATCATCAGCCGGAGGCGAATGCGAGCAATAACAACAATAACAATAACATCAAGCAGGAACTGGAGGCGGCTCCGCCGGTTTGCCACCGGAAATCGGAGCGCCGGAGAGTGGCACGCGACATTTTTCTGGTCTTCGAGGAGCAGACCACCCGGCGCCGGGGGAAGGGGGCACGGGGCAAGGCCACGAGGGCCAAGCAAAAGTTCGGACACCTCAAGGTGGCCAATACGCCGCGCATCAACAAGAATGTGCTGCGCGAGATCAAAACGGAACCAAAGTGCAGTGCGGATGCAGTGGCTGCTCCCATCGCAGCCATCCCAGTTATACCCGCCATCACACCCATTCCCGCACACCCGAATCCCAAAGCGGCGCCTCCAAACGCGCCTCAACTGGCGGAGGAGCAGCCGCCAGCAGCCAAATCATTGCCGCGTGCAGCAGCCGTGAAGTTGGAAACCAAAACAACAGTTTCAGCACCCAAGCGTATAAGTCCCAAGCCCAAGGCTACCGGCGCTCGGGAGGAGCAGAAGCTGGAGGAGAAGAAGGTGGTGCCGGTGGCAGCCACTCCCACTGCCCCACAACCATTAGTTCCCATTGCCGGTGCCGGTGCCGTGCCCGCAGCCACCACATCGCCGACGACGCCCAGCGTCAATCCCATCTTCCTGTGGGTCAAACAGGACGACACACGCATCGTGGAGGTGCGCTGCGAGGACTACGACAAGCGGAACAGGATACGCCTGACCAAGACGACGAATGGCTGGCGGTCCATGCCGCGCACAGATGCTTCCTCAACTAGGATAGTCAAATTCTTCCATGGCTCCGCCGCGCCCCTAATGAAGGTCAAGCGGGAGCAGCACCTGCAGCGACTGGAGGAGGAGGAGGACCACATGCACATGCAGATGCAGATGCAGCATCACCAGGAGCTCGAACAGCTAGAGGATCACGAGCGGGAGCGGGAGCGGCAGCAGGTGCAGGAGCATGAGCAGGATCAGGAGCAAGCGGAGCAGCAGCTGCCCTCCATGGCGCAGAGTTTGCTGCACGATTGGGATGACAGTGCCACGCAATTGCCAGATGAAATCGAAGATGGAGAGGAGGATCATGATCAGGATCAGGATCAGGAGGAGTTGCAGTTGGAGCAGCAAGCCAATCCCGCAGCGCATCAGAATGGCCACCTGACCACAGTGCTCGAGGATGTGGTGGTGCTGCCACCTGTCCAAGAGCCCTGTTTCGATGGCTTGATGGACAGCGAGGAGACGAATGCCTCGACCAAGGCCACCAAGACCAACACGCCCACATATCAGAGCTCCACGCCCTCGCCGCTGCAAATGCAGCTGTGTCCCAAGACGGGTCTGTTCCTGCCCAAGGGAGATCTTGCCCTGGTCCAGCTGCCCGAGGAAGATGCTCATCTTCCCGAGGAGGATGAGGATGTGGAGGAGGAGGAGGCGGAGGAGTCGGAGGAGGACAAGCCAATGACCGGAACGGAGCATGTTGAGTGCTTCGATGCAAATGCCAAGAATCTGAAGGATCTGCTCGACGATGCCGACGATCTGCTCCAGAATTGCACCAGTGACAACGGCAGCAGTGGGGCGGATCTTCTCGACTCGCTGGTCAAGCGCAGCTGTGAGGATAATCTTGTCCAGGAGAGCAACACCGGCAGCACCGGGAACAATCCGCAGAACTCCTCCTCGTCCGGCGACGAACTGACCTCCTTCTGTGTGCCCGATCTTGACAAGGACCTGCCCAGCATTCTCAACATGGACAGCGACGATGCGCCCAAGTGTCTGTCCTTCAACGAGGCCGGCGAGATCGAGGGACTGAACGGAGAGCTCTTCCTGGGCATCGAGGCCTTCGAGAAGCAACAGGAGGCGGTGGCCACCGAGCCGGAGCCCCAACCGCCCACACCGGCCACCGTGGAACTGACCCAAACGCCCACGCCCACGCCGACGCCGGAAAAGCAGAAAGAGAAGGAGAAGGATAAATCCGGTACCGCGGCGGACGAGACGCCCAAGGATCTGAGCTACAAGAAGCGCGAGGAGGTGTGTCCGCCCTCGGAATCGCGCAGTCAGTGTGCGGTGACCTCCAGCTCGGATATACTCAAATCTCCGGACCGCGACCTCCAGTTGCCGGCCAACTCCATACCTGCCGAGGTGGAGACCACCTCGGAAACCATTAAAAATCTCATCCTGGAGCAGTTCCTCAAGCTGAACAACAATCCGCAGCAGGCGGAGCCCATGGATCTGGGCAAGGCGGGTCGCGACGGCAAACTCGAAACGGTCGTCATTGACGACGAGGAGGACGACGAGGAGGAGTCCAGTCAGCCGCTGAAGAAGCGGCCCAAGGCCAGCATCAAGCTGGACAAGGATCCGGACGCGCTCACCCAGTTGAAGATGCTGATCAGCAATCCGCAGTGGAAGGTGCCCGATCCCATTCTCGTGCCCAAGGATCGCCTGGGCGCAGTGTTGGCCTCGCCGGCGCGAGAGATTCCCCTGCTGTTGACCACGCGGCCAGAGTTGCGTCTTCCCGAGGCCTTTGCCTATCCGGAGATCATCCAGAATCCCAACATTCTGGTGGTCACCATGGAGCAGCTTGAGGCCATCCTCCAAACCGAATCGGAGCAGGCGGCCAAGGCGACCAAGGTGACCAAGGACCCGGATCCGGTGATCGTGGTGCCCAGCAAGCCGCGCAGTCCCAGTCCCAAGCAGGCACAGCCCAAACCTGTGCTGGCCCAGCCCAAACCGCCGGCAGCTGCGCCTCCGGTGGCCCCCACTCCACCATCGCCGGCCGATAGCAGCCTTAGCACGGATCTGAATGCCACCACACTGGCGCTGTTGCAGCAGATGCTGTGGCTTCCCTACTTTGGCCAGCTGTCGCAGGAGTTCTTCAAGACCATCAAGGATCCGCTGGGACTGCAGCGGAAATTCATGAGCAATCTGCTGCCCCTGTACAACAGCCAGTTTGGACTGCAGCATCTGGACGAGCTGTACAAGCATTGTATGAAGCAAAAGCCGACGGAGGAGCAGCAGTCGCAGCCGCAGCAGCCGCTGCGCAAGGTTCCTACTCCAGTGGCAGCTCCTCCTCCTATTCATCCTCCTCCTCCTGCGCCTTCGCATCCTGCGCCGCATCAAAGCACAGCCAGCGGATCGAACGCCTTCAATGGCTTCACCAATCCCGTGGAATTGGCCCTCATGCAGAAGCTGCTGCAGCCGCAATTGCCGCAGTTCCTCAACTGGGAGGCCGCCAAGGAGGCCGCCTCATCATTAGCCACATCCTCGGCCGCCTCGCATCATCCCCATCACCAGGAGCATAAGCGGCCGCGACGGGAACCGGAATGCAAGCCACCATCCGGTGCTCCAAGTACAACTGCTGCTCCGCCCGCCACTGTTGCTGCCGTTGCTGCTGCTGCTACTGCGGCTGCTGCTGCTCCGGTGGCCAACACTCCTGCTGCTCCGGCGCCAGCGCCGGCGGAGCACAAACCCAGACTGACCATTAAATCGCTCTCGAATCTGCTGGAGCCGGAGGCGAACGTGGTGCCCCTGCTGAACGTGCCGTTCGATGGCATGCGAGGACGTCCCTCCCTGCACAAATCGGCACCGGATCAGGTGAAGGTGGACGCCGGCACCGGACGCACTCTGCGCTCCAGCAAGGCCTGCGTCACCTACAATCCCCTCGAGCAGGCCAAGCAGCAGATGCACCCAGTGGGAGGATCCCAGCAGCAGCGGAAGCGGGGTAACATGCTAGCCCAGGATGTCCAGCAGCAACATCAACAGCAGCATCAGCAGCAGCAACAATTCGCGGATGCGGCGGCGGCAGCCGGAATGGATGCCAACTCAGCGCTGTGGCATCCCCTCTTCGGAAGGTGAGTAATTTCTTTAAGAGATAGGACTTAGGGATTTGTGGATGTCCCCTATATAAAGAGAAAAGAAGAAAGATAGAAAACTTTGGCAAGAGGAAGTTTTTATACCATTGCAGCTATTCGGAATATAAAATATTATACACTATGCGACTTTATTTTGATTTTTAAGTGTTTAATCATTCATTGCTTAATTTTAAACCGTAAATTCTAAAATGGTAAGCTATTGTCATATCTCAAACACTATTCAAAAAAATTTTTTAAAAATGTTTATATTTATTTTTCCCATTTTTTGGAATACAGTCGGTATATGATATAGTCGATTTTAAACAATTTAAAACCGTTATTCTAAAAAAGTAAAACACAATTATAATTCGAATATATTCGCATATATCTAAAAACAACGACATTGTATATTTTGTTGTTATTTATTTTTTCGATTGTTCCTATGGGAGTTATATAATATATCTGATGCCTGCAAAAAAAAAATTATTTTTTGGAACATTTCATTCAGATAAAACTTCATTTAATTTGTTATCTATTATATTTCCACGCAGAGTGCTATATTTATCCTGAAGATATTTGACCCCTGCGCGTGTTCCTAGTTTTATGATGAATGAATCATTTTCCTCTTTGATTATGTGAATCGAAAGGGTTTCATGTAATATGATTGTTTATTGGCTTTTTATCTTTTTTAACGCCTTTGTTGATCTTCTATAGAGTATTGTTTTGCTTTTTGATTGATTATAGACTGAGTTTTCCTCAAAAAAGTAATGAAAATAAAAAAAGCAATATGCTGTGTTCTATGAATAGCCTTTTAATTTATTTGTTTTCCTAGCATAAGCACCATTTCATTTGGCACCAAGGCTGAGTATTTGTTAAAAGAGATATTCCTCACAGCCGATTGATTTAAATCTGTTTGCTACTAGTACCATCAAATAGGACTCTCAATAATTGCAATTTATTCTCTTCCAGCAATCCCAAGCAGGGCTACAATAGTCCTTGGCAGTGGACCACGGTGACGGCCTCTGGCGAATGACAGTCAAGCCGGGCTCACAAGGAGCCAGCACCTGCAACGGGAACAAGAACGGCCAGCTACGAGGAGCAGCAACAGCAGCAGCAACATCAACAACTTCAGCAGCAACAGCAGCAGCAGCAGGACTACAGCAATTACCATGTCTCGGCCAAGCAGCAGCAGCAGCAACAGCAACCACAACTTCCAGCAGCCAACAATCAAAACCACAGCAACAATAGTAGCAATAAATTTTGTTATCCTACGGCGGCGGCCATGGAGAATATGTTCCAAAACAATCAGATGGCGGCCGCAGCCGCCGCACGTGAATCGCTGCTAAATTCTTATCTGTATCAGAAAGAAGGCGATCCCAGCAATTATATGTCGGAGCAGAGCTACTGGCAGCAGCATCAGCAACACCAACAGCAGCAGCAACACCAACACCAGCAACAGCAGCAGCAACACCAACATCAACAGCAGCAGCAACAACAACATCAACAGCAGCAGCAACAGCAACACCATCAGCAACATAAACAGCTCCAGCAACAGTGGAGCGGTAATAATGGCGGCAGCAGCAGCAGCAACAACCAAAGGAGCAACAACTATGCCAACAACTATGCGGCGGCAGCAGCAGCCTCCATGTACATGCAACACTTTAATCCCTACATGCAACAGAAGGCGGCACTGCTGGCAGAGAAGGCCGCCCAGGCGGCGGCAGCAGCGGCGGCGGTCCAAAACAGCAGCAGCAGCAACAACAACAACGGGAGCAACAAGCACGGACGCTTCGTCGGCGACTACGGCTAGAGTCCACTGGGATCAGCGTTCTACTAACCGGAACCGGATCAAAAAAAAAACACTTGCATATTAACATAAACATATAGGCATATATAACACTTACGTGTAATAATAACTATATATTTAGAGGCATCGTATAGGCCGTTTTACCGCCAGGAATTGGTAAAGGATAAACCAAGATTTTCCTTTAATTTAATACACAGGAACAGCAACAACAAGGTAACCGGAAAGCAACAACAATAATTTATAAACAACAAACAAGGAGATAAACAAAAACAGAAAACAACAAAAAAAAAACAAAAAACACAAAACTTAAATTGAATTAGTAAAAATTTGTTATTGGTAGTTTGTTAACAAAAAAAGGAAAAACAAAAAACAAAGATGAAAGGAAGAAACGAAAAAGAAAAAACAAAAAAAAAACACGAAAAGTAAACAAAAAATAATGTAGTAGAGCGATGAGAAAGCGGAAGGCAAAAGAAAAAACCTAATTATTGTATTATTGTTAACCAAAATCTATTATTATTATTATTATTATTATTATCTCAAGCTGCGTTATATTATTATTATTAACTCGTGTGTCTGTATATAGCGTTTTTATCTAGATGTATTACACTTAGTGATCCCTGATCCCTGCTCCCCATCCCCAGATCCCACTCCGTCTATCCTTCTTATCGCCAGGACAATCCTCGGACCCCCAGACCCTCACAAAAAAAAAGAAACAAAAACAAAAAAACCAAAAGAAACGAAAAACCGCAGCGCTAAAAGGCAAACAACCAATTTTGTATTCATTCCGAAATGTGTTTTCTTTTTTGTTTTTACTAGTTATTACGCTGATTATTTATGAACACGATGGAAATGAAAATGGAAATCCCTAACATGTGCAATCTAACATTTATGTTCTAGATACAAAAACCAAACACAAGAATCACAAAACTTATTAACGCGAAAATGGCAAAGCAAAAAGCATGAAAATGCAAATGAAAATGGAAAAATAAAGAGATCCCTTTTAGAGAATTTCGCTGATAAAGGCAACAGAATAGCAAATCGCAACAGACTTTTACTTGGTGTATATATCTACAATTTCACAAGTGCTTTTTTATAAATATAATTATATTTGCTTTTCAAGTTCAGTGTATAATAGGCATATAAAAGTTAATTTCTGTATAAATACGCAACTTTTTCACTTACAAACAACATTATGTAATATTTTTTTGTTTAACATTTAGTTAGAACCACGCTTAAAATAAGAGTTCCTTTCTAAGGCATTTGAAATGCGCGCGTGCGAATGTTTTCAGCTATATATCAGAGTGTGTGTGTGTGTTTCTGTGGAAGTGTGTGCCCGGTGTGGTTTCTTTGTTTCTTTGTGCTCCCAGCCGATCTCCAGCGATAAGTCCACGGATGAGTCCACTACTCGATTTGCCGACTGGCCTCCTGCAGACGTGCCACCACGCCCTGGTAGAACTTAATTTGCTCGCCAATGAAATTCTTCAGCGTGTGCTTCAAATGCGTATCCCGCTCGCTCTTAAAGTGGGTCAATTCGGCCAGAACCGTGTAGGAGACGACATCAGTGCGTCGATTCACGTCGTGCAGCTGGGGATTGTTCATCTTCCCCTCGCCAGCCAATCGCTCGCAGTCCTTGCGCTTCTGTATGGCGCCCTTGTGAGTGGAGAAGATATCCGGAAAGCAGCTGAGAACGCCCCTTTTTGAATAAAAAAAACGAAATAGTAATTAGATAATGTTTCTAAAAGTGATGGAAAGCCAGAGCAATTTCAAGAATATATAAACTCTATCTGATACCCCAATAAAGGTCATCATACGAAATAATCGAATAGGAAATCTCAAAATAACCTATTGGCAGCTAATCTAATTTTCTTGCGAAAGTGGGGTACTTGTGCTCTTCGCAAAGAAAACTTAAAAGTTCTAAGAAAAGAATGTTTACTTCCTAAGAGTAAACAATTTAAGCAACTAAATGTGATTCGTTTACGAATAACAATTCAACTTGATTACTAACGTTGGATATCTCAATTATAAATCATCATTATTTTAATTGCTTGTTATTTCATTCGATCATCTATTGTTATAGCATTTTGATTATATAAAAGTTAAACAAAGGCAACTTTCCCTCTTTAAAAGACACCAACTCACCTGTAGATGTGCAATCTATCGGAGAGGGGTATCCAATCTTGCTTGGGCTGGTCGCCAAAGGCCTGGCCAATGCCAATGAAGATGCCCCCGATGCGGCCGACGCTCTCGGAGAGCGGCACCGCGTTCCGGGTGGGCGCACGCCGCTCGTCAATGGCCAACGCCTTGGCCAGGTCGGAGAGTCCGTCACCGATGCGCTGGAACTCCTTTTTACTCTGCGTCATCGAGCGCTTGGCCATGTCATTGGAAATGCTGTTCAGGTTGCGCACGGCCACGTCCATGCTGTGAATGAACTGAGTGCCCAACTCCACCTGGGCGTCCACCTTGGAGTGCAGCAGATTCTTGTCCGGCGGCGAGATGGCCAGGCAGTAGTTGACACCCATGTAGGGATCGCGCTCCGCCTTGCGCTTGCCCGACTTCCAGATCTTCTCGTCGCGGCAGGTCAGGAAATGGTACCAGACCTCGCACTTGGAGATCACCGGATGTCGGCACACCCAGTCCACGAACTCCTGCAGCTGGACGCGTCGGTGCTCCACGAATTGCTCCTCATAGCGACCCGAAATCTGCTTGTCCGGCAGCGGTGGCACCGGGATCAGGCAAAACTTGTCCACCAAACGCTCGTGCAGCCAGTCGAAGTGCTTGTAGCGACGCGACACCTAACGAAAGGGAAACCCAGATTAGATATGACCAATTAATTGTGAAATGTGACACGGAAAGTGGAACCCGGAGCGGGGGGAGGGTGGGTCAGCGGTCGGTGCTGAGTCATTCCCTGCGGCGGTTCGCAAACAGAAGCAATCATCGCATTTGGCGTTGGCTACCCAGTTGGTCAGAATTGCCCCAACAAAGAAGAATTTAAATGGTTTTATCGACGCTGCAATACCCTGCTCTTTATAGCATTTTTTTTAAAGAAATGGACGTATTTGTGGTTTTAGGAACAGCTTAAAATGTTACTTAAATTTGATATACAAGTAACTATATTAATTAATATAAACCATTAACATTTATAATTCAAGTTTTTTCAATAATAATAATAATAAAAAAATAAATATATCCAATGAAAAATTTATTTTTTAATGGAAAAAAAAGCAAATAAAATTTAGTTTTCAATAAAACAAATATTTTTAAAAATATTTGTTTGTTATTTAGCTTGTTTAGATGATAAAGAACTTTAAAGCAAAATAAGCAAATAAAAAAGGTAAATATGTTATGTGAGAACATTTAGATTTGAAGAAAGTTTCAGTGAGATAAACAATCTTATATAAAGAGTAGACATACTCTCCAACTGAGTTAGAGTTGCAGAGAGGTCATTTCAAAGGTCGATTCAGTTGGGAAATGCTGGCCGGCAATTAGTGCGGAGCTCCAATAAACAAAGGATTGCTATTTTTCTTCGACTCCCGTCAACGCTTTGTCTTCCCGAAAGCATATGACCCAGCCCAAATTACCCTTGGCAGAGGGTAGAGCAAAAAAAAAAAACAAATAAACAAGCCACATGAAAAGCTGAAAAGAAGCACTGCACCCGCTGTTACACACTCACACGGCGCGGAGCTTTATCGTATTGTGTTGTTAATCACGGCGATATCAGCGGAGTAGTCAACTTACGGATATGTTGTTGAAACTAGGCGTCAGTTGGTAGGCAATGAACGTCTTCATCCCCTTGAACTTGGACTCTTTCTTTGGACTGGCCACCACAACGGAGTAGGGTGAATGGTTCTGCGTCCACTGGTAGATGGAGTCCTCCTGCTGTGTGATGTAGGCCATCTCGCATTCGGGTATCTTCTCCCTGGGGCTGGACAGACCGAGTATGTACGAGTCGGAGCTCTTGGCGAACATGCCCTTCTTGACGGTGCCGGCAGCGCCAGTTCCTCCGGCCATGGAGGCCAGCGATTGGGTGTCGTCACTGGGGGCAATGGGTAGGTGTTTGTTATCGTAGTCACTGGTGGAATGCGACAGTCCTCCGGCGCGTGACGCCTGTCCGGCGGACTTAAGGCCACCGGGACCAATCGCCGAATAGGTGTTATCATCGTTGTCATCGCTCCAGTCGTCCTCATCGTCCCAATTGCTGCCGTCGTCCTCCGCCGTCTGATCGTATCGGGGCGGCGGTGACGAGGCAAACGGGTCCGGCACCTGTGGCACCGACGTGGCTCCACTGGCGCTCAGTTTCTGGGCCTCCGCCGCCGACATCACCTCCACGTAGGCCGCCGGAAAGAGGCCCACCTGCCCGCGGGCGTTCTTGCCCTCCCACCAGCCCTCACCCACGTCGCTCCGCGTCACCGAGAGCACATCGCCCGTGGCGATCGAGAGCTCCGAGGAGCCCGGCTCGCCGCTGAAGTCGTACATTGCGCGCACGTACGAGGTCATCTTGACTTGCTCCTGTCCTGCTAGGTCCTTTAGTCCTTTAGGTAAATTCGAATCCCGTGTCCACAGGGGCCATAAACAGACAAAAAATAACTACTAAATCTGAATCACCGACTGTGTGACCGCACTGCGGATTACGGAAATATACCGAAAATAACCTAATCGTTTTGCAGCACTACTGAAAAGGTTTAGCAACACTTAAATATTAGGGGGACTTTAAATGAAGGTTGTTCCATTGCATTTGTAAACTTATGCATATCGACATATGTAAAAATGTTGTTTAGTAATTTTCTATAAAATAAAGAAAATAACTAGTGATTGTAGTTTGTTTTTTGAAGCGTCATGCTGGAAATAGTTTGATATATTTTCCTGTGTTTGTTATTTATGAATCAGTGTTAGTTTATAAATGCGTATAAATTTAAAAATATGATCTACTTGGTATTCACAATTTACAATTCTGTTGTTTTTAGCAAAATCATTTTTAAAAAAGAGTACCTTATGTGCACTTTAATATTACTTTAGGAGCTGTAGGTGCAATATTCCGTTGGAATATATATATAATATATGTTTGAATTTAATGATTTCCAAGATATTTTATATCTTTGTGCTTTTTATTGAATATAGGACTTTTGTTGGTTTTATAAACACAGCAAGCGAAGTCAACAATGAAATTTCTAATTGTGCTGTTAGAGTGTTGATAGTGAAATATCATTTATTTATTTTGCTGAAATGAAAAGCCGAACGGTCACTCAAGTAGTTTAAGGAATTCCCCTACTAATTAGTGAAAAGTGGCAGGGCTGCAACTCATGGCTCAGCTGGCGATGTATCGGGATGCATCGGAGTATCGAGTTGGCATAAAAAAAATCTGGTCTTCGTGTCGTGTTATTCATTAATTGCGCGTTGCTTTAATTTGTGGGTGAGCAAAATCGGAGCTCGGCGATATCGTCCAGTTGTGCAATACTTGATTTCAGCGGTATCTGTAACTCCGTAAATCCCTCTCCACTTGGAAAACCCATTTTTGCAGCCGCATACTTGCAGATACACTTCACTTCGTTTCGATTTTATATTCTCCCGACCACAATGAATCGGCAGGCGAAATTCCTAATCCTATGCCTGTTTGTGGGGCTCTTCTCGGCAAATTTATGCGACGAAGGTGAGTCTGGAATCAAATTAAATCGAATTAAAATCAATTAGAAAACAAGAATACACTCATTTCTCAATTATGCACCCACACATTGCATGTGCAGGCGAGTGTACGTGTGAGCGAACATTTTCGTATGTGTGGGTGTGGGGTTTTTAAATACCAACTCCTTTATTGAATATCAATTCTCCGGCCATTTTCTCTTTCTCCAATTGGGGGTAATGTTCTCGTTAAATAAACCATCTAGAACTGTGCATACTTCAAAGCTCCCTTCCAAATTGCTAAGATCCATTCCGATTTATTTTGTATTATTATGTCTAGGCATCTCATATTTTCGTAATGACAGAGATTTAACCTAATTTCTGTGACACCTATTTGTCATCATTATCTGCTGTTTCTTAAACAAGAAATACAGTTGTTAGTTCCCATTATGTGAAACAAAAATAGAAATCTTTGCTTTTATAATAGAAGCAAATTAAAGTTAAACTTAGCTTGAGAACAAAAATGTGTTTTGAAAGAAAAATGTTGAAATTTTTAATTTTTTTAGGTTTTTACAATTCAATACTTCAAAAATGCTCGATTCTATTGGTTTTTTTATCTTTAGTTTTCACCATTTTGAAACCATTAAGATAATTTCTCTCCATTAGTATCTTTGCTTGTTTCTTGTATGTACATTTTTTTTAAAAAACCATTCCTTGTTTTTGTTCAAAACCATGGCAAATTCGTAAAATTCGTTTGTGCTGTTATCAACTTTGCCAATTTTTTTGTGTTCGATGACTCATCCATCTTTATCTTTGCTGGTTATTTTACAAGCGCCATTTTTTAATCAATGATAAATTATTATTCTAAAAAAAAATAATTTGATAAGATTGAAATATGTACTCAAGCCTATGTTTTCCGCCTCGGAATTTCGGATTGAAATTGAGGGATACAAGAAATCGTTATAAGCCTACAAAAAAACAACAAATTGTAGAATTTATTTGTGTTAAATCCACGTGTCCCAATAAAATATTGAGACCCAGAATCTATCATTTATAATATGTCATATTGAGGAATTCAGGTGGGGTAGGCCCATTTATCAATGTCTTGCTTTAGTACACTTACAAAAAAAGGTTTACCATTTACATTTATGTAGCTATAATAACTTTTTAATTGACAAATTCTAAAACAAGTTCATCTGTAGTTAGATTAGTTTAGTTTTAAATTACCATGTAATCGAGAAAATGGCATTTGACATTTCTTTCTATTTACGGTTTCATTTCAAATGTCCTCTTTAGCGGCAAAAACCACACCGGACACCACTACCACGCCTGTCCCAACGCCGGATCCCAAGAACACCACTACAACGCCTGCTCCAACTCCGGATCCCAAGACCACGACAACGACCCTTGCACCGCCGGATACAAGCACTCCTTCGACCACACCGCCGACCACTCCGAATACTACAACGACGCCAGCAACCACAACATCTACCACTGACAAGCCCACTACTACCACCACTCCGGCCAGCACCACCACTACTGTGCCTACGACCACAACGCCCGTTACTTCCACCACTCCGCCGGCGAACGTGACCACAACAACGCCGTCGCCACATACATCGACCACTCCGGCGCCCAAGCCAGTGCCATGCGGCCATTTCGACGGATCCTCGTTCATCGGCGGCATTGTGCTGACCCTGGGCCTGCTGGCCATTGGACTGGTGGCCTACAAGTTCTATAAGGCCCGCAACGAGCGCAACTACCACACCCTTTGAGCCGCCACCGCCTTTACGTCGGCCTTCAATGCGGCAGCCGGAGCGGCGGCGGCCAGCAGCAGTGCCGCATCAACGGATGCGGAACGCGTGCGGTTCGTCCAGCCTTCGATACCGCTAAGATCGCCGCCGGCGCAGCCGCCTCCACCGCCACCCACCCAACTGGGCGGTGGCAGTGGTGGCGGGGCGGCGGCAGCTCCACAAAACTGCTCGCCATCGGCCCGTGATCGGCTGTTGCACACGTAATTTAAACGCGGGGAACTACAGTAAAATACCCATATAAATGCTATCCAAAGAGAATCCCCGATATTCCCAGCACACAAAACACAGTCAAGTAAAGTAAAGTTCTTTAATTCAATGATAACCCCCCAGAGCGGATTTAAAGCGGGCCAGATAGGAGCAGGCTCTAGGTTCTTAAATGCTTTCCTCCTTATCAGTCACATGACGAGACCGACCCACAACACACACAACACACTCAGAAAGTAACACAAATATTTGTCTTTTATGCATTGCATCCATATGTAGTAAGGAGGGTACGGTTTTTGCAAACATCAGTTTATCAGCAACTTGAGCGGATGTTCAACGCCTTATAGAGGAGCCGGCGGAGCCTGTCACAGGGCTCCAAGGGCGACCATGAACAGAGAAATGAGTAATGAGATCGTAACGAAACTGTAACGAAACTGAACGAAACGAGAGGAGTAAGAACAAATAAGAGCAAATATGTGAGACTGCTTGATAGCGAGAAAGTGAACAGATCAGAAAACGGAAAGCGGCTGGCTACGGCTTTGTTTCTGGAATTCATAGAGCTACGAAAGGAAATATATAAATTTTGATTATATTTACACAATTTTGAATAACTAAAATCAATTCATTCTAGGAACTAAGAATATTTACTATCTAAACCGAGCTATACAAAACGGAAACGCGTTTCAATTTACCTATTTAGTGTGCATTTTTACCCTTACCCTTACCTTCATAAAATTTAACGATTGCGCTGCGTTTCCCCGGTCTTCGCCCACTTATCGATTATCATCCTCCTCATCACCCCTCCCCCAAATGCCGGGGTCTGTGGTATTGCAAAAAATCAATAAAGCAACTCACGATGCACAGCAACAGGATGTACGGATTGCAGTGCACGGTTGATATGCGTTTATATGCGATATAAACAAATATTTATACTGCTGAATAGATTGCAACTGAGGAGCCACCCCATGTTAATGCATATACGCAAATGTTGAATATTTTGTACTAGAATTGAAACTATACATATGAATTACTTTTACCTACCCGCGCTTACTGTTGAATAAATACACCTTTGAAGCTACAAATCGATCACATGAACCCGTCAAGTTTACGCGAATGAACACTCTGTGCACAGGAAAATCTCATAAGTATATAAGCTAAAGTAACCAATCAATGTATATCCAGTAAATCACTCAGCCGGCTTACTAATATATATATATATAAATATATCTATGTCTGTATATCGTGTACGATAATAAATATTTTAAAAATTTAAACATGCTCTATTTATTTCTCACGAATATTTAAGACACATTATCCTAAAGTTGCAAGAAACATAAAAATGTCTTCTTTTATTAAACAGTATGGCTAAGCAACAAATAAATGTAAAAGATTTTAATATGGCTCGGGCAATGGTAATAATAAATTCTTTCTGCTCTTTAAAGCTTAAACCTAAAAGGTAAAGTTTTTTATAACTTTAAAAATCAGTTTCTAAAAAAAAATTAAATAAAACTCATTTGGTGCTTGGTTTTACACATACATATGTAATTAATTGTCAATTAAGAATGGGAAGTTTTATTAAAATTAGGAAACATTAACTACTTTCTATTCAGCGCTTAGTTTCTTTAACTTTTTCGGTGTCTTAATGTTAGTTTTCCCCTTGGGCGACTTTCTCTTTAGGTTTTCTTTCGATTTCTGTTGAATGATCTCTGGTTTCTTAATTTCGGGGGCTTCCTCTTTTACCTCCGTGGACTTTTGGTTATCTTGCGACTTTGTCTGCTGGTTTTCTTTAGCAGGGGATTTCCCATTTTTCGATTTTCGCTTGAGCTTATCTTTCGGGCTGCGCTTTTTCTGAGTGTTGAAGCGCAGTATCAGTTGCGTGCCCGCCAGACTGTACTTCTGTTTGATGACCTTGCGTGCAGCGTGGGTGGTGGGCAGGGTTACGGTTGCAGCACTAGAGTCACGGAATTTACCCTTGCCCGGACGTATCTGAATGTCCACCGCCTCCTCGAACAGCTGGCGCACCTGGGCCACCGAACTTGTCTTGGGCAGATTGGTGATGACCACGGACGAGGTGAAATTGCCCTTGGCCAGCACCTTCTTGGTGGCCCTCTTCATCAGCGACTTGGTGCGCCTGTTCTCCACGGCTGTCTGCTTGCGGGTCACCAACTCGTTGACAAACTTATCAGAATCCGTCTTGGGCAGGGACACAAAGATGCCCTTGTACTTTGCATCCTTCTCGATGGAGGTTTTGATGTCCCCGAAGGCCTTGTCGCGGTCCTCCTTGGACTTGAAGTCCACCAGGCAGAAGCGGGCGTGCTTCTGACGAGGCTTCGTGGACTTGACCACCAGTGGATGCAGTGCCTTCACCTTGGCATTGAACTCCTCCACATCCAGGGGCAGTTTCTGGGGGAATCGGACGTACAAGCGAGTGCCCTTTAGCTGCTCGTACTTGGTGTGGATCTTGTCTTCGATGATCTCCGCCCTGCTTTTGGGAGCGGGCTGCACTTTCTCCTCCTCTTCATCATCATCTTCATCGGATTCCGTGTCACTGGCGGCCAGATCCAGTTCGGATCCATCGGAATCCTCCTCCTCGGAGTCTCCTGAAAGTGCATCCTCCCCTTCGGATGCCTCGGAGCCTCCTGAAAGTTCCTCCTCCTCTTCGGATGCCTCGGAGTCTCCTGACAGCAATTCCTCCTCTTTGGGTGCACTTTCCACTTGCTTTTTCTTCATGTTTTGTCGGTAAATTAAAATGTTTTTAATTCTACAGGTCTATTTCGATAGGACTTTTTATCGGGCAACGATAATTTCAGTTCGCACGTGTAGGTTTCAGTGTGACCAGGTCACGCGATTAGAAAAATCGCAACATAAAATATTTTCAGCTGGTAATGCTGCTATATACCTGTGTTTGTTTACCTTTTTCCAAAACTCAGCATGGCCAATGAAAGTCCTTATTTTTGGAATGAATTTGAATTAAAACAACCGCCGTTGGTGACCCTACAAGTGGAGGACACGGGCTTTGGTAGGTTGCATCCATTTGCAAAGCTAATACATACATTTGTTTAAAACAGATTCCCCCATGTTCCCCCACAGCCAAAAATGTCTTTGTGGTCATCAACAGGTTCCTGCAACAGTTGTCCGAACCGGATGCCAAGAATTTCGAGGAGACTGCGGCCCTGATAGGACGACTGATGGCGCGCAGAAAGAACTCCTTCCGAAATATGCCAGGATTCCGAGCACTCTGTAAGCTAAATGCTGCGCTGTGCCGCCTTCTCCGTTTGGATTTGGGCAGGGACTTGGTGCAGTTCCGCGGTGCCCTGCCGGATGCCTGTGATTCGGATCTAGCTGGACCCATGCCCACGCGAAGCAGCTTTGAGTTTATTTTGGTGCGCCTGCTGGGTTTCTACCATCTCCACGAGCGGATCAAGGAGTGCTGCATTAAGGCAGCCACCTATTTCATCCAACTCCTTCGGAACAACTTCTTCATGGACTTCACCACGCTATTAATCGCAGCCATTGCAAAGATTAACAAACTGAGCTCCCTGCAGGCCAGCAAAAGTGCCAATCTTTATAATAAGCTGCGCCCTCAGGTATCGAATTTTCCCCAGGTGGCTAAGCACAAGTTCCTGGCGGAGAATCAGGAGTTGCCTTTAAAACTGCAGCCCCTCCAGAGCACAAATAATCAAACAAAGGAGGCAGCCACACCCGCTTTGGTTCTAAAAGCCCAAAAGATAATCACCAAGGTGGAAAAATCCAAACTGGAGGCCAAATCCGATGTAGGTACTTTAATAGCCAGAAAAGACACACCTGAAACCAAAACGAAATTCAATGAGGAGGCTCTAGCCACCGTGGCGGATGCACAGCAGTTTATTGCCCGTGAGTCCAAAGCCAGAAAACAGAATCCCCCGCCGGAATCCTGCCTAACCAAGAGTATACCCAAGCACGAGTGGCTGGCCGCCCAGACGCTCTTCCAGCGCAAGTTGTCGAAGGATCCCGTCAAGGCCTTGAGCATATTTCGCAAGTTTATTATAAGCAAAATAAAGTAAACTCGGACAAGACAAAAGACTATTTATAGACAGGTCACCATGCCATCTGCCAGCTGAAGACTCTTTAGAGCCACAATACGCCGTTGAGGATGAGGATTGTTCGTCTAAAAGGGTATAAAAAATTATATTTACTATAAACCTACATTTATATTTCAATGCCCACCTTGACAAACTTCTTAAAGTTCTTGCGACCGCTGTACTTGCTCACAGAAGAATCCCCAAGAGAGGCATCCAGCTCATCTTGAGAGCGATTGATGATATTAAGGTTGCACATGCGCACCTGGATGCTGTCTTTCATGGCGGAAAGCCATTTCTCTGCGTCGGGATCCGTCTTGATGGAGTTTTCCAGCGAAACTTCTGGATCTGGTTTTATCTCGGATTTCAAATCATCATGTAGCCTGCTGCACGATAACCAACCACTTATATCCACTTTTTTGGGTAGCTCCTTCCGCTGCACTACTATATACTTGGATTTTTTCTTTGTTTCAACTTCGGGAAGGAATGGTTCGGTCAGGACGGAGTCCTGGTCAACAGCATCGCTTGGTCTTTCCGAATTGAAGTTGAACAAGCCATCCGTTGAATCTTCATGGGTCTGCTTCTCTGGATTCTTCTTCTTTTTCTTGCTGTCCACAAAATTGAAGAGATTTTCGCAGTCGTCGCTGTCGCTTTCGTTTAATGGTTCCAGACGCAATCGCTTGCGAGGTTGTGTCTGGGACTGGGAATCCACCTGGGAAGGCAACGAGGCCGGCTCATGCGGCTGTGATTTCTCCAAAAAGTTGATCACACTGATTCTGCCAGGCGGTTTTCCCTTGGCCGCTGACTTGGGCTGAACAACTTTCTCTGCGGTCTTGATGGGACTTTTCCGGAATTGAAAGAGATCACCAACATCCTCTTCGTCATCCAAGGCCACTGACAGAACAGGACGTTTAGTCCCTGTCGACTGCTTTTCCGGCTGTTGGTTTGTGATATTTGTAGCCACTGATTTGGAGCTGAGGCGTGGTGATGTCCTGGAAACAACTGGCGCTTCTGCCCTCTTACTGACCGCTGGAGAGCTGTCAGCTACAGGAACTGTAGATTCTTTTTGTTTTTTGGAAGCTGTATTCTCCTCATCCGAGGAGTCTTCACAATATATGGGCTTGCCCCTATTTGTGGCATATTTCTTTGCAGCTGGAACAGGAGCCGGTGGTCGTAAATTTTCCTCTTCATCAGAGGAATCCACTAGTATGGCATTCTTGGCGATTTTCTTTGGTTTCTCTTGGACAATTGGTTTGACTCGCTTCGATGAGGTGGCTTCCTGCTCCTCATCTGAGTCGAGAATTATGGCATGACTGCGCTTACGCAACGATCTTCCGGAAGTTATAGGTTCCGAGTCGACCTGGGAAGACTGCTGCTCCAATTCAACAGCATCCGATTCGGGCACCACTAGCTCTGAGATGGCTGAGCCACTGGATTGAGCCGTATTGCGCTCCGTGTTGGGCACAATGATTGAAGAGTTGAAAGCCATCGAGGAGGTCACGGACTCCGTGATGGGCAATGATTCGTTGATGAACTTGTGTGTTGGGTTGCAGAATTCCTTGATGGAGCAATGGAGCAAGGCCATGCCAATCTCGTAGTCCTGGATTACACGTCGACCGCTCTGCTCCAGGATATCTAATGAACATCAAATTCATGTTTACTCGATCTGAATATTTAAGTTGTTTAAAGGCCTACCTTGTATACTATTGATGGATTCAGTGGCCTGCGACTGAGATGAAGGAACATACTGTATGACTATCACATCACTCTTTGTTAGGAATGTCTTGCGCACACCCGAGTTGAGATCCTTGCAGGATGCCCCAGCTTTCTGCACCACTGATCCGTACATTTCGAAGTGTTTGCGATTCATGAAGACGAACGTCCTGCCGGCAAACAGACGTGTGCGTTCGGGACGCCAGGTTACATCCATGTTCGTGGGTTGGTAATCCTCTGGCTGCGGCCATCCCTCCGTGACATGAACTTTCTGCGCCGCGAGGAGCAGCTTCTTCCAGTAGGCAAAGGTCACAATGGGTTTGTTTTCCAGCAGAGCGTGCAGTAGTTTCACGGTCACCGAGACCTCGTTCATGGTAAGATGGGTGCATTCCTCCGACCAGTCTGGACTAACAGTTCCGCCCATGGGCTCGAGCATCTCTGTCAGCCATTTGATCTCTGGCCGGGTCAAAGCGGAGACGGCGGTCACTAATTTAAATCGCGTCACCTGCCAAATGCTCAAGTTTCCGCCAAACCGAATGCGAATTCCCACAGGCACCGGCGTCAGTGTCCTGGCAGGGATTTTCTGGGGCTTCTGAGACCTCCTGGGAAAGATGAAGGTCCCATATCTGGAGCCCAGGTCCTCCACTTGCAGCGAGTCATCCTCTTCGTTCTGGGGCAGGTGGATCTCCACATGGTTGCGGCTTATACTGAGATCCTGAGACACAATCAAATCCGTGCCCAGGCGTCCTACGGTGTAAACACTTTTAGCGGGCAACAAAACAAACTTTTCGTCATCTGTGGGGAGGGTTTGTAATGTTTATAAATAATTAGTTCTGTAATTTATTTATTTATTTACTCGCCTTTGGTCAAAACAAACATAACTTTAAAAACAAAAAACACGAAAACAAAATTGAAATATTGTGAAATATTTCAGTGTGACCTTTGTATACGAAATTACATACACAGAGAAAAACAATTGATGTGAAATGTGGACTTCGTATATCATAACTATTTCAAATATTGTTTATTGTTTAATAACTGTAGTCTTAAATAATTTAAGCTACTTGTTATTGAAACGTGACACACTCTAATCAAACTTTCATGGCGAAAATAAATATTTCAAAAGTATAATGAATACCCTAATCATAATAAGGTGACTATCGTAAAGTGACCAACTATCGATGCATTACAATGCCGGCGTTTCCTGCGAATGTCAAACTAGCAAGAAGAAGCATTTGCAGCCGGTTTGTTTTTGTGTCGTTTGTAAAAAAAAAAACTGAATAATTCGGGGTTTTCTCCAATAAATGTGAGTGAGGACACCAGCAACCATGGCTCACTTGACCGGCACCCGCGTCAGCACCTTTAACGAGAGCTTCCTGAACGAGAATGAGCACGACTCGAATGCGGTGCTCATGGAACTGGACAAGGGATTGCGGAGCGCCAAGCAGGGAATCCAGTGCGAGGCGATCGTCCGTTTCCCGCGGCTCTTCGAGAAGTACCCCTTTCCCATCCTCATCAACTCGTCGTTCATCAAACTGGCCGAGTTCTTTGTCAGCGGATCGAACCTCCTGCGTTTCTGGGTGCTCCGCGTTTGCCAACAAAGCGAGAATCACCTGGACAAGATCCTCAATATCGACAACTTTGTGCGCCGCATCTTCATGGTGATGCACTCCAACGATCCGGTGGCGCGGGCCCTGCTCCTGCGCACATTGGGCGCCGTGTCCCGGGTGATTCCCGAGAAGCAACAGGTTCACCATGCCATCCGCCGGGCCTTGGATAGCCACGATACCGTCGAAGTGGAGGCGGCCATCTACGCCAGCAGCTGCTTTGCCGCCCAGTCCAGTTCGTTTGCCATCAGCATGTGCGCCAAGATCTCGGACATGATCGAGTCGCTACAGGTGCCGGTTCCCATGAAGCTGCTCCTGATTCCCGTGCTGCGGCACATGCATCACGAGGCCACCACAGCCTCGCTGGTCAGTAAGCTGTGCATGGATCTGCTGCCCAAATATCCGGCCCAGAGTTTCGTGGTGGCCATAATAGACACCCTCACCCAGTTGTCTTCCCGCACGCTTGTGGGTGTGCCTGGTCAGCTGGAGGTTCTGCTGGAATTCATGCAGGATTTAAGGACTCCCGTGCGCATCCAGGTGCTGCGTTCCTTCAACGAATTGGCCGGTCGTCAGAGTGTTCATGCTTGGCCCAAACCGGCTATTAAAGCTCTCATTGGTCGGTTCGAATCTTGTACGAACTCCCAGGAGCAGTTCCTATTTCTCTCCATCCTATTGAAGCTCAGCGAATGCCCACTTACCTGCCAGCAACTGCTCCGAGAGCATCGCGAGGCCCTGCTCCGCCTGTGCATTCAGTGCATCAGCAAACTGGACGACTACACCACCGCCACTCAAGCTATGGCTGTGCTCTCGGTCTTGGTGGCTTTTGGTCTGAAAAAGGAGGCAAGTGGCGAGCAGGTAGAGGATATACTTCATATGGTTAACCTTCACATGGAGGGTTTGCTTCTTTGCACTGCCAAGCGGGCGGAGTGCACCCGGGATTTGCGAAGGGTTTTGACCTACGGAATAAGGATCACACAAGCTAATGCCGAATTTGGAACTTCCTTCATCGAAATCGTGACCAATACACTAGGCGATAAGGTTGCCTATCCGCCGGCCAATGCGGAGCTCATGTGCGAGGCATTGGTGGGTCTCTGTGAGCACTTTCAATTGCGCAAATACGCCTTTTCCACGGCAGAAGAGTTGATAGGGGACGACGATGCCATGGACACCGATGAACCACCTCCGCCAAAGGTAACTATGGCTTAACAAGTTATTAAAACAATTGCTTATACTATCAACTACTAGGTAAATCCCATGCTATCTCGCTTGCCGCTCATCTTGCACAAGCTAAACACCATAATCGACCAGGAGAACTGCGATCAACAACTTCGAACCGTGGAGATCCTCAGTGCTTTGGTGCTTCAGACCACAATGGGCTGTTATCTGCCCCAGAAAGTGGTGCAATGTTTTGAAAAGTGCCTGGGCAGACTCAACTGCTGGACGCTGTACAGGATTGCTCGCACCGCTAGCCGCTATGGTCACCACTATGTGGCTGCCCATATTTACACCAAGGTCTCCCAGATTGTGATCAGTGATCATATGCACTATTTCCTAGTGTCTCTGTCGCAGATCTCGCAGGCGGAGTGCATCCTCAACTATGGTTTGGAGTACACCTATATGCGGGACCATTATGCACCGAAAGCGGCTCCAGAACCTTTAATGCCGTTGATGAAACGCTTGGAAATGGCCAGCAATCTCTACCAGCAGGCGTTGGCCAGCCTGCGGGCCTGCTCTTCGCCCCAGCATCCGTGCACTTTTCAGCTGGAGTATCTGAAGATTAGGGCACAGTTTTTGCAAACTCTCCACTTGGCAGTGACCGTGAAGAATGCCCAGGTGATTGTGCCGCCACCGGCGATTGCTGGAAGTTTGGCTCAAAACTCGCGGGATTATCTACAAAAGTTTGGACACGTAACAAATCAGCTACGCAAGCTGGTCAAGGCGTTGAAAGCCTGTGAGGAAACGTACGCCAGACTCTACAAGTCTTCCTTTGATGCGGATCTTGTGACGCTGGAATTCCTCGAAGTGGCAGAATTCCAATGCGCTCTTTTTGCCCACATCATCGAGTCGATTTGCTATGCCACACCACCAGAACCACCGGTTTTTCTAACCACTGGCGATCACCCGGAGACGCGCTACTTTGCCGCCAGTTGCCAGCGAATGGAACAGATGCAGAAGAACCTGCCCCAGGAGCCGGCTAATGCCAAGACCATTAGCAACCGTCATTTGGATGTTATCATTGCACAGATCGAAATCATAACGAAGACGCCGCTGTGCCTGCCTCGCTACTTCTTCCAGATACTGCAATCCACGCAGATCAAGTTGTCGGTGAGTCCACAGCCCAGGAGCGCCACCGAACCCGTGAATGTCCAGTCGGGCAGTAACCTGGTGATCAAGGTGGAGGGAGTTCTGCAGCATTTCAGCAAGCAGAAGAAGCACTTCCGGCGCGTGGAGTCTGTGCAGTTGAGTCTCACCTCACAGTTAATTACGCCACCACCCCGATCCTCTCAAGAGCTGCCAAAACAGGGTGCCAACGACACGGTGACCCTCAACCAGATTGTGAAGCCGCAGCGCGATTTCCTCTCCGGCAGCTTCTTGCTACCCATCTCCAGTGGCGGGCATTTTCAGGTGACGCTGGAAACATTTGTCGTGGATGAGAACGGGATCACCTGGTGCACAGGTCCCAAATCATCAATGGTGGTGCGAGTCCTGGAGGATCCCTCCAAGCAAGGAGCACCTGCGGCGAGCACTTCCCAAGCGGTGGGACAGACGAGAAGGTTTTAAACCCTAGCTGCTTTAGTTTTAATATGGAATATTTGTTAAATATGTAATCCTAATTAAACATATACTTTACAAACGATATGATACGCATTTTAAATGTAAGTTTCCGGAAGAAACAAAAAAGTTTATCATTACCATCAAAACCGGAAGTGATTTTTTAAATACTTTTAAATTAATTATGTTTTTATTACAATAACGGCATATTAATTTTACAATTAGTTAGTTTTAAGTCGCAATCCAAATGTGAAATATACCACGAATGAAGTACTTATTATGAATTAATTGTTTTAAATGCAGGTAATTGTAATTCCAATTGAAATATTTATATATCGTTTGTTATCGATACTATCGCCAGTGGTTAGTTCACCTTTAGCGATTGCTTCAATGGTCCACCACTACTGCTGATTTGTTTTCATCAATTCTTTTTGGTTTGGCTTGGCGAATAAAATAGGGCAAATGCGGCATTATAGCGGGCGATGCGAATTGTGACCAGCGGGCAGGAGCAGCGGCATGCGACACCCACACCAGCGGAGCAGCACGACCTGGGCAGCGTTGTAAGGGATTCCCCGGATAGCCGGATTCCACTTGAAACAAAAACCAGCGGAGCACCCGCAGCCGAGCAAGTGGTTCCTACATGTTACCCCCGCCCCCCCGCGACACCCCCTATCCATCTCCACCTCATCATCCCGCAGCCGCGACAAATGTAAAATTTAATTGAAGCCAATTGAGCGCGCGCACACCCGAAAACACGCACCAAACCAAACCAAAACCAAACCGAAACCGAAGCCGAAGCCGAAGCCGTAATCAAAACACTCACCCGGAGGAGGGCTCCGTTGGACAAGATTCCGCGCTTAACCTGTTCAGGCGGTGGCGACGACGGCGGTGCTTGTGGTGCAATAAATGGACATAATTGCTCTAATTGGACAGAGCAGCAGCAGCAGCAGTGGCAGTGGCAGTGGGATCGGCATCGGCAACGGGAACGGAGGAGCACCCCCTCGGACAATAGGATGGCACAATTCACACTGTGAGTATATATATCCATTTGGTTATCAGTAGTGGGCTGTGCAGCACATGGATTTCCTGCTTATGCGACCGCCTGTCAATAAGAGCTTTTGTTTATCTATTGGCGGCGCTTGGTCGTATTATGCAAGTGAAATCGGTGGTTCAGTTGTTGGGTTCGGGGACTAATACATATGGGTCATGAAACATTACCATGCATTACGAGCAGCTACAACAAACATAGTGCGCCGCCCAGCAGCGACAGTACGCGCGTGGACTGCGAACACGTACCGCTGTGCTCCATTAACGACGTGCAGCTAAGGTTCCTGGTGCCCGACGATCTGACGGAGGTGAGTAGGCGTCACCCAGTGCCACAAATGATAATCCCTCTGTGCGATGATCTTGCAGGTGCGCCAGCTGTGCCAAGAATGGTTTCCAATCGACTACCCACTATCATGGTATGAGGATATTACCTCAAGCACGCGCTTCTTTGCGCTGGCAGCTGTATATAATCTGGCCATAATTGGTTTAATCGTTGCCGAAATCAAACCCTATCGAAATGTCAACAAGGAGGTAATAGCCAATATGAGTGATAGTGATGAGTTGTACACCAGGCTGAGCGGTTTTCCCATGCAGGACAAGGGCATCCTGCCGGACTCGATGGGTCGTTCCGCCGACGTCGGCTACATCCTGTCGCTGGGCGTCCATCGTTCGCATCGCCGGAATGGCATCGGATCGCTGCTGCTGGACGCGCTAATGAACCACCTGACAACGGCCGAGCGGCACTCGGTGAAGGCGATCTTCTTGCACACGCTGACCACCAACCAACCTGCCATATTTTTCTACGAGAAGAGAAGGTATCTGGGGGAATAACTTTGCGTGCCGTTGGTCTATTAATCGAATTTCCGTTTTCCTGCTTTCAGATTTACGCTACACTCATTCCTGCCCTACTACTACAACATACGGGGCAAGGGCAAGGACGGTTTCACCTATGTGAACTACATAAACGGCGGACATCCACCCTGGACACTATTATATCCTTTTTCAAAATGCCTCTACGGGCTGGCTTGTCTTGCTTTTGTTTTTATGATTTCCCTGTACTTTTGGTTGCCCTCTTAACTCCCTACTGCACAGATCACATCAAGCACTACGCCTCCAAGGTGCGGCACACAAGCAGCCTGTGTGCCTGGGTGGCCAATCGAGTCCAGCAGGTGGTGCGGTGGTTCTACCACAAGCTGCTCACCCGCTTCAACTTCATCGAGTGAATCGACTCAAAGAGGACTACAGAACGACTGGCCAAGCATCCGCATCCTTCCGAGAAACAAGCACTTCGAAGACGGTGATGGTTGTGTGTCTACCGCATTATGTCATCCCGTCGAGCATAAACAAACAAACACAAACATTTATATGTACACTGGCACCCACTCACCACTCACCACATAGACACACCTTCATTATAAATGTTAGGCAACACCTCCACAGAATCATTACGTTTTTATACAGAGAAGAGAAAACGATCTAGCAAAGAACAACAAGAAAGGCATAAGTAGAAAGTTGTAACATAATTCGATAAGTGTATTATTACGTTTTAAAAGATATCTATCTGTTCACTGCTGTAAATAGTCTTACGATGTTTTGTTTGAACTGCTGTAACCGAGTGATTTGGAATATCCCCCCCTTTTTCTTTTGATTGCAGTCACCTGTAACCCGAGTGCATGTTTTTCTTACGTTTTAAGTTCCACGCACAAGACAGTCATTTAGTTTAGCGACAACCAACAACAAAGATGCTCATGCTTTAATGCTTAATTTATGAAATCTGCACGTAAATAGCTTTGAACCGAAAACGAATTGATGTTTTATGGCAAAACCAGTTGAATATCCAACCAACCACTAAAACGATAACCATTTCAAATCAAAATCTGTTCGCTGTTTCTATAGTATTTTGTAAAAGTATTTTAATGCATATTGTTTCGCAACTACTTCTGATTACTTTAGGCACAATTTATCTAGCAAATTGTAATATTTTTTAAAATAAAAACTTGTAAAGTTATGACGAGGTTTTATTTGGTTTTAGTCGTAAGAAATGTATTACTTGATAAAAAATCATATAAAATTATGAAATTAGGCTGTCGCAATTGATTTTATTTTATTCTACTAATAGATTTTCAGATCAAAATAAGAAATTTTTTAAAATTTTAATGTTTACTTTGAAGTTTAAAATACTTATGTACATTATTTAGCGCTGATGGCTTAATACTGCCGCAAACTGTTACTTTTAAAATCACAATCTTAAAAGTTAAGTTCAAGATGATATTTCAAAGCAAAAATTGTTTTAGAAACAAAAAGATTTAAATAAAAGTTATAAAACAAATTTTTTTAATTTATTTCACATTTTGTTCACAAATTTAAAAGCTTAGCGCTTTGACAGTGTTGTAAAACAGTGCTGGACAGGAACCAACTTTCAGTTGATCTGGCAACGCTCTCCTAACCTGTCACTATTGTGAACTAGCAATTTCGGGTCAATTTAGTAGCATAAATTCGTCGCAACTGCCTGGAAAATGTTCTCGAGAGCCGCTCTTCTAACAGGTAAACCTGAAAAACGTTGCAAAAAGATTGAGAGATAATCCCTATGCCTAAAACCAATCTTGGACAAGTGAAAATCCGCCCGCAAATGACCGTGAAAAATGTTACGGCACTGCAAAATCGTCGGACATCGTGGTTTATGTAATCACCCATTCGCATTGTATACGTCGAAAAAAAAGCATAGTTTTCGCACATCGAGATTAAATAAAAGTACTAATGCGGAACCTGCAATTCCAGCCCAGCGCCCCTTGACCGTGGCCGCCACCCGGACGGCCGCTGCTGCCGCCGCTCCCTCCGGCGGAGCCATCGAGCGCCGCCAGCGCCCCGAGCATCCCGGCAAGGTGCGCCTCGGTTTCCTGCCCGAGGAGTGGTTCCAGTTCTTCTACAACAAGACCGGTGTCACCGGACCCTACACCTTCGGCGTGGGTCTGATCACCTACCTGTGCTCCAAGGAGATCTACGTCATGGAGCACGAGTACTATAGCGGCCTGTCCCTCGGCATCATGGCCGTCATCGCCGTCAAGAAACTCGGCCCAGTCATCGCCAAGTGGGCTGATGGCGAGATCGATGTGAGTACAACACCCTAAAAACCTAAAGTAGTCCCAGACCACAATGGAAGATTCAAAAATTCAAATGATGGGTCTCAAAAAAACTACAGCATCCTGAGTTATAGATATAAACTGTCAATTTAAACAATATCCTTAGAAATCCTGTTTAGATGAATATAAAAAAAACAATGCAAAACAATTGTAATCTACAATAGCGCCAATATTATAAAAGTGGATCCATCTTGCAATACTATTTTCCAGTACTGTTAGATTTCACTTCATTTTTCTATCTTAAAATATGATGATGAAAAATTAATCCAGTATTTAGTTTGTTTCTAGCGTAAAACTTCAAACTTTAGATAATTCCTGATGAATGTAAAGGTTTATTTTCTTATCGACTCCCGATAATAATACATAAAGGTGATATTTTGATTTAGGGGATATGTTTAGCTGTAGAAAATAGGCCAAAAACTGGATTGTGGCTGTAAGTAATAGGGGGGAGTAAGTTAAAACTTATCAAACTGTTTTTACCTCTAACCCCTCAGGTTTCCTTTCATAATATTATCACTTACCTTGAAATATGCACTATTTAGTCTTCCCTTATCTTTTATAATTGTATCTTAGTGTACGACTACTTTATTGGCTAAACTCATAAATTAAAACCAAACAAATAATTCAAATTTGATCTGCTTCGCAGAAAATCGAATCCGAGTGGAAGGAGGGCCGTGAGGCTGAGCTCAAGGTGCTGTCCGATGCCATCGAGGCCGAGAAGAAGGAGCAGTGGCGCGCCGACGGCGCCCTGCTGCTGATGGAGGCCAAGAAGGAGAACATTGCTCTGCAGCTGGAGGCCGCATTCCGTGAGCGCGCCATGAACGTGTACTCGGAGGTGAAGCGCCGCCTCGACTACCAGGTGGAGTGCCGCCACGTCGAGCGCCGTCTGAGCCAGAAGCACATGGTCAACTGGATCACCAGCAACGTGCTGGCCAGCATCTCGCCCCAGCAGGAGAAGGAGACCCTCAACAAGTGCATCGCCGATCTGAGCGCTCTGGCCCTGCGCGTGAAGTCTGCCTAAACGATTCGAGTTTTAGTTGTTTAATTGTAAATTAAAACCCATTCGAGACGCTGGAAACATGAATATGCCCGCAAGATGATAAATCGATCCAATATATCTTCAAAATGTCCGTGTCTGAAAAGCTCTATTTGTGCAATTTTGCGTTATATTTAAAATGTTTTTGTTTAACTTTAAGAGCGTTTTGTTGTGAAAAGCAAAGGATATGTTTGGGTAGTAGCATGTGATATTGGGCTGACAAGATGGAATGATAGAAAAGTCGGAATCTTTTAGGTTGTAAACGATTTGGCACCTTTTTATTATACTCTAGGAATATTTATTAGAATACATTGAACGCTTAAAACTAATTCAGTTACGTAGTGTAATAGTGTTAGATAGCAATCAGTCTTGTGCTGCACTCTCATCATCTTCAAAGGCATCCGCCTCCACCTGCTCACCCTGGAAATCTCCAAGGATTCCCAGGCGACGTACTGCCTGTAAATTCTGGATGCAGTGATCCACATTGGTCACAATGCACAGGGGTCGTTCACCCTTGTAGTAACCAGTGTTATCGCGCAGATACACAACATCCCGGGTGGCCAGCCAATGCTGCAGCTTCACAAAACAGGGACACTGCCACGGATTACCCTCGATGGCTACTCTCTTGAGATTGGGAAAGCTCACATTGACTTTGGACAGAAAAGTGAGGCGGTTGTTGTCCACCAGGATCTCCTGAACGCTACTAAGGCTTTCCAGCACATCGAGATTGATCTCCTCCAGCAGATTGTGGCCCAAATGCAGCTTCTGAAGACGCCGCATGGGTGCAAACATCCGCACATCCAGGGACTTAAGCTCGTTGTGACCCAGCTTTAGGTATTCCAAAAAGGGCAGAGATGAAAATGCCAAGGGATGCAGGTGCTTCATGTGATTGCCATTCAAGTTAAGCCTCCTCATGCGCGTCAAAGTGCTACTACCAAAGATCTGTTCCTCGAAGAACTCCAGGTTGTTGTAGGACAGATCCAAAGTGTCCAGGTTCACCAGGGCAGCAAACGTGCCCGACTTGATCTCTAGGATGGCATTATACTGCAGATACAGTTTGCGCAGGGCACCCAAACCCACAAAGTGTCCTGCACTCAGGCTGGCTATGCTGTTCCTCGAAACATCCAGCATTTGCAGCCTGGCCAGAACCCGGAATTGGTTGTCGAACAGCAGGCGGATGCGATTCCCGGACAGATCCAACTGCTGCAGATGCAGCACAAAGTTCTGGATCGCTCCAAACACACTGGGACGCAGTGCATCGAGGGCATTCCGCGAGAGGTTCAGTACTCGCAGTTGGGAGAGCGGCTGAAAGGTTTCCTGGCCAATCGAGTTCAACTTGTTGCCGCTGAGCTGCAGGTCCAAGAGACCATGGAGTCCTCGAAAAGCGTTCACGTCCAACTGAAGTGAGTATTTTATTTAAAGTAGGTAAGTTTACAAACTAAATTATTATAAAAAACGTTTGTAACTGAACGTTTTTAAAATAAGCTTCCTTTCGTGAATTTAACAGAACTCTCTGATCTCTCTCAATAAATCACAATTTTTCTGTATTTTTTTTGGTTGAGTTGTTTAAAATCTTAAACTATTATACCCCTCTCCTAACAAAATAAAAATATATTTCAAAGGTCGTGTTCTAAAATCATAAAAGTTGTTTTCGCAGTGCGGAATAAGATGGTAAACAATTTGATCAGCTTTTAAATTAGAATCAATTCTCTCACTCTCTCGAAAGTAACTATTGTTATATATAGTTTTTCAATTAAAAATAAACAAGAAATATCAACTGTTATTTCACAACTTGGCTAAAAGCCAAAGATCACCAAGACCAATTTAATATCTGATTTGTAATTCCGACTATGCAAACAGTAAGCATTAAAGTTCGTTGCGGTGAATTGCAATATCAAAATAAAGCTGAGCTGATCAATAGATTTCTATTTATCGTCAACACAGCTAAATCAATATAGGAATATAAATATTATATTTTAAGTGAAACTTTCTAATTTAAATTAATTTTGTTTATGTTTTTTTAATAAATGTTTTTAAAATTGATTCGAACAAAAACCTAGTTAAGTTATGTAGTAAAATTATGAGGTATAATTTATAGTTTAGCGTAGTTGTTTCACCTGTGCCAGTTGGTTGTTATTTAAGATCAATTCCTGCAGCTGTGGACAGACCCCGAAAGTGGCATTAACCAAGCGATTGTGGCCCAGTTCCAGGCGATTGAGCAGCGGCATATGGGGCAGATCGCATTGCTTCAGCGAGTTATGCGAAAAGTTGGCATAAATCAACTTCCTCAGATTGCCAAAAAAGTCCCGGTCGAGAAGCTCCATTTGATTGTGGCTTAAGTCGAGCCGCTGAAGCGCTGACTCAACCGCAAAGTGGTTTCCCTGGATGTCAACGAGACCGCAACCGCTGAGGTTTAGGTACCGCACATTGGGCAGAATGGCAAAGCCGCTTGTATGTAGATTTATTGGGGCTGCTGCTGTTAAATCCAGTTCCACCAAGTTGGCCAAGTGATCTGCATTCTCGCCTGAAAGGGTTTGGGCACCAAATTACATTTGATTTTGAGTTATAAACCTTACAGAAGTTATCATTTTTGTTGCTTGTTTGTTAATAGGCCCAACAAAAAATGTATTAAAAAACTTAGTTTAATTTGCGTCATTACTTATTACTTACTCTTTTAAGAAGAAAACTGCTTTCTTGGTATAATTACTAGACTGGTAAAAAAAACGTAATAAATCTAAATATTTTCCCTTTGATTTTCATCTAATGCTGTTATTAATTATTTTAAGTACGGAAATATTAATAAACTGTTTAATTTTTTATTTGACTATTTTCGGATTTGATTTAAGTTATCTGAAAAAGTATTTGAAATTTAAACCATATTTATTTAAAATTATAATATTAAATCATTTAATTTAATATGCATTGATTTTAAATTTAATTTTAACAGTTTTAAATTCAATAGTCATATTTTTATTTTTACTATTCCATTATTTATCAGTCTAACATATTATTAATTCCGTTTGTTGAATTATTTTATACATGGAAAAATAAATATAAAATTGGGACGTTTTTAATTTTCTTTGGCATATTTAAAATTGAAAAACTAATGACTGCGACTGTTTAGTGTTATTTGCCAAGACCTTGCCTTGTGTACCAAGATGAGTACTGAAACCTTGCTGGTTTTCCAGACCTTACCCGAGCCCACCTCCAGTTCCGTTTGCACATTCCGGATGGCGAGGGTGTGCCAGTTTTCGGCTCCCAAATCCACCAGATCCTGCAGAGAGGCCACCTCGTTGCACTGGAAGTTGCGCCAACCAACGGGCTGGCAGAGATCGGCTCCGTTCAGCGAGGGGAATCCCCCGCAGCCGAGCCACAGAAAAAGCGGCAGAAACCAATTGGCAGTCAGCAACATTCCTGCTCCAGAGTGCGGGCCCAACTGAGGATTCTCGAGCAGCGACAGAACGCGATTGAAAATGCAAATCCAGTTTGTAACGAGGGGGGAGAGCGGAGGGGATATACAGAATTCCAAGCCGGTTTGCGGCGTCATCAATGGCATCTTGGCCACTCAACAGCTGTGAAATGTTTCCAAATCAAACACACACACAGTTGTTTATCTTTCTCTATTGATAGGTACTTTCTATAACTCTTTAATAGTGGTTTACATACAGTATAAGTTATATAATATCGGTTAATTACTTGACGATTATTGTGCTCTTGGAGAAAAAACTATTATTTTGTTTTGCCATTATTGATTCCTCATTCAGCGAGTGGCTAAGAATAGCTCATATTATACAAAATGTCGGGAAAACTAAACCAAGGCAAACTCACTAACTTAGACTAAATCTTAGGTGAAAACAAGTAACAATCAAAATTTTCTATGATCTATTATAGATTTTACATATATAAGAAGTATACGACATTCAATGCACACTTTTTAGATTTGTGCTTATTGGTATTTTATTTGGAGACTCTTGAAAATGCTCAGATTGGCGATATTATATATCTGGCTAACAAAATATCATTTGGAAGCCAAAACTAAGCCAGAAAAAGACGGTTAAATTTATATTAATTTTATATTGAAGCAATGTGGGATATACATATATGGAGATATTTAAAGTACATTCTTACAAGCAAATATTTTACTAAACTGCTTTTTCAAGAGCTCTTGGCTAAGATGCAAACGTACGTTAATCGCTTACATTAATTAATTAAGATCTTGTACTAGGTCTATTTTTCACAATTATGGATTCTGTTTTTTTGTATTGTTTTTTAGAGCGATTTCCCAGAAGACTTGCGACGGCAAATTGGATTGGTTCAAAACTGAAAACTGGTATCTAAATCAGACTATAGTTACGGTTGGGCTTGTCATCTTGTTGCTGTTGTACAACGGCTGATAATGCGCACTTGACCCTTTCTTAACACTCTGACAGCCATTAGGATATCGCATTTTGACCACTTTGGGATTTTGGGACAGCGAAGATGTTGAGGAGGAGGACGACGACGACGATGATAGCGATCCAGTTGATGACTTATTCTGCGGTGGCAGCGCCTCACCGATTAGCGTAATCCTCACGGGCTTGTAGGCGTTGCCATTGGGCGTGGTCATCGTGGTCGTGGTATCCCATCCGATGGAGGAGCGTCTGGGGGTATCCGGGAAAGCCGCCGCCAGCTGCTGATTATAGTTGGTCAGCGTGGTGGAGATTATCGTGTGCCGGCGGGTTTGGCTGAGGGATGGACAGGATTTCTGCTCCTGCTCCTTCTGCTGTTGGTTGTGGCTACTCTGGTGGTAGCTGCTCTGGTTGTGGCTGCTCTGGTGGTGGCGGATTATCGTGGTGGCTGCCAGCGTGGAATCGTGCAAGTGGAGCGTCGGAAAGTGCGTGGTATAACTGGTATATTCGGGCTTACTTCTGCGAACAGAGAGATGAGGATTAGTGGGCTGTACCATTAAAAAAAGTATTGTTTTCTATAAAGAAACCATTAGCTTTGCCCATGCCATTTAAGTTTTATTTAAGAGAGAAGATGGGACCGAGTTAAACTTTGACCAAATATGAAATTATTCAATATTAAATTTACATTTTTTAATAAAAAACTATAAGCCCTAACTAAGTTTTAAAATAGCTTAACTGGGATGTTAATGAAACAAGTATGTTTTGTCTTTGAATTGGAAACAAATTTAGAACGCAAATAAACTCTAATTAATAAATGTAAACCATTTTTAAAAATGTATTTATAAACTTGTATTGTAAATACTAACGTATACAGGTTAGTTAGGTTAAATGTTTTAAAATATTTATTCTCAAAAATTCTACGGAGTAAGATTTTACTATTACTGTAAGCCATTACTCTTATGTTAAACGTATCTAAGCTGCATAAATATATTTTTAGAAAAATCCCCAACAGCCCGGAATTACAATTGTCACCCGACAAAAATGTCTTATGATTCATGAGTCATTTGAATAATCAGGGTTTTAATTTACTACCCATCCCATCTTCTCGACGTGTTCTAGGTTATTTTTGTAGTTTGCATTACCTTGGGACTCTATTTAATTGCCGCATGCAATTAAAACGTTTCACAAACAGTGTTAAATTTTCAGTGACAAATTAAAATCATACTTATAGATATCTTAGATATATTAAAGCTTATGTAGGTCTCATTTAGTTATAGGTTAGTTAATGCTTTTGCGAACTGAGTGTCTCAAGTGCAGGAGTTACAATTATCCGTACAGTTATAGCTTAGGTGTAGTATACATATAAGATTGATGGCACAGAGCACAATGATGGCTAGGATGAAATCACAAAATAGTACCTGTTGCTCCCCAAATTGTAGTCTAAATAGCGGATTGTTAACGATAAGATTGTTCGCGTTGTGTTATCCATGTAAGCATTACAAAGGCGGGTGTGGAAGAAAGAAATTCAGATGGGTTAATCGAGATGGTCGAGATCTGGTCTATTGTTAGTCGATTTTTAAAATGAAAATACCACCTCCTGTTGCTGCTGCCAAAGCCGTTGTTGCAGATTTCAGCTTTCAGCTCCAGCTACTGCAGAATCGGCCCTAATTGGACTGCTCCAATTGCAATTTGCTGCCATTAACGTCAAGAGTTGGCAAAAAGTGGCCAACTGATTTGCATGCCAGCGGAGCGTGAAGCCAGCTGAAACCGATTCCAGCAGCAACAGCCAGCAGCAACTTGCAACACCAACTGGCCAACAGCAACTACACAATAAAACTTGAATCTAAATAAATTAAGTTTACAGAAGACCTAATCAGTATGCTGTATTAAACAATTAATGAAGCAATATATGCAGAAATGTACATGTTAATTAAAAAATAAAACAAAATGTTTCTGTTTGTTAATAAACTTTTAACAAATCAGTAGTCTACAAATCATCACATACAAACATTTCATAAATCATTATTATGAAGTATACAAAATAAAAGATCATTATATATTATACCCTTTCTTGTTAAATACTGTTAAATAATTTTATGTACAATTTGCTCAGTGTATCAACATTAACAAGCAGCAGCAGGCGGCATCGTTTTGTATTAGTTTTGTTAGTTTGCGGCCGCGCAGCTGCGGTTAATGAAAAGCCCCAAAAAATTACAAGTATTACACAAAACTACCGAAACACATAAAAAATGCCAAAAAAAATAACACAGTACAAAGTATATGGCCGAAATTGAAACAAACATGAAAGTTTGCCTACCTGGACAAACCCTCCGCACCAATGGCAAGTGGTCGTGTCTGTGAAAGTGGAATCGGAATTGAAATTGGAATTGAAATTGAAATAGAAATTGTCGATAGCTTTCGGTTAGTCAATGTTGTGCAAACACATATGATCGAAAAGATATATCATGTGTATAGACATGGCCCGCAGGCGACACTTACCCGCTCCGTTTGGGTGGCCATGCTGATGAGCTCCTTGCCCGGATCGCCACCACCGCCATTGATGGATGTGCATGTGGATGTGGATGCCTTCTGCCGCTTCTCGGCCTCCAGTTGCTCGATGAGATCGCGCTGCAGGCGGATGGTGCGGTCACGATCGTCCACTTGACCCTGGAGGATGAGGGGATCGGATCGGATCGGATCGGATTGGAAGGGGGGCGGGGGATTGGGAGGTGAGACCAAAGATCAGTAAATGTCAGTTCACTCTTGTGGAGCGAGGCATGAAAGGTCACTAATGGTTATATCTAAGCCAGAGAGTGTGAAAATTATATATATGTATATGGGCAAAAATCTATCTTGGCTTAGTTTTTTGCTTTGTAAGACAGTCATGCTTTGATTAGTTTATACAAGTGTTTCCTCCTTTTGGTTTTCTAAGTTCAGAAGCCAATTCTTTTTTTCCTCAATCAAAGCATATTTTTTACACAACAGCTACACAACTCTTTTAACTATTAATAAATGTAAGGAGTGTAAAGAGTGGTATGCAAAAAAATCATTAATCAAATGAGCAGATGCAAGAAACCTAATCTGCATTTTTAATTTAATCATTGAAAACGATTTTAGTATTGTAAATATAAAGTTAATCTATTGTTTATGTGTTATAAAACAATTTATAAATTGATTTTTAATTTCATTTATCAGAAAATTTGTTTTTATTAGCAAAATAATTTTATTTTTAAGTATTGGAATATATAAAATCTTTTATACTGATTGGTTTGATTAAGTAGTAATATTTACCTGCTCATTTGATTCATGTTCAAAAAAATATTTATCAGTTTATTGGGTTGTTGTATGATCTGTGTTCTGTGGCAAGTCAAAGTGCAAAATTAACTTTTGATGTAATTACATATCAACACAAAACTATGGCAGTATTTATATGAAATATATGTGTTGTTTTCAAAGATAGATTTACAAAAAGCATAGGTATATTAATCTTCATGACTGGATATGTTACATGCTATATAGAGTATGAATCCATTTGCTTAGGAAACATCAAAAAACAACAGCGAGAGTAAAAATGCAATAGAAAAGTCTTGTCCTGCTCCGAATTGTTCGGTTTGTGACCCAGTTTTTGTGTTCTCCCGGCTTAACAGCGAACGAAATGCAAAAAACGTGCAAATACCTGAAGGTAAACCACCTGTCTACGTAGATCCGATAGCTCCTGGAGCGGGTCCTCCGTCGTGGACGAGGTGAGGCTGGCCAGATCGATGTCATTCAGCTGCTTGCTATCCAGTCCGCAGGCGGCGAACAGCTGAACGTTGTCGTTCTCGAAAGGATTGAGCGTTTCCGTCTGCGGAGAAGTAATGAAAAACCAGTAGGTTACTTGCCATTCATCACTCTTTGCAGCAATTGCCCTGGGCACAAATAAATAAATTCGAACCGAAGACGACGACAACGTACCCGCTTTAAATCAAAATCTGGCTCCTAGGAGTTGTGCAAGTGAATGGTGGATGTGATGGAGTGATGGGTGTGCCATGGAAATGTAAGCAAAGAAAAGTGCATTTGAAAGGAAAATTATGAACGTACTTAAAAAAAGTGATTTCGGTGTAACAACTAAAAATAACTTAAAATTTTTAAGGCAAAACCGTCATTTACGAAATGTAGAAGAAAACATGTCTGCAATTTACAGAAAATAAAAAGGCAGCATTTTCATATACACAATGTAAATATAACTTAATTAAAACCCTTATTATTATAGTTTAAGTACATTTCATTTAAGGTAAGTATGGCTTAAATTTAAATTAAATTTTAGAAATTAAAATCATTGCCAAAAATTGTCAAATGAAGATTTTAAAAAATGTTTAACATTTTATCTTTAAAATACTTAAACCTGCAAAAGATGAAAATCAAAGCGATAAATATTTAAATTAAATTGTATCTAAGAAATATTTAAAATGGATATGATTTGTATTTACCAGTTTTTAGTTATTCTAATTATTTTAACCACATCCATCACTTACCTCCTGGAGTATCCGCCGCAGTCGCAGCAGCTGCTTCTTGAACTGCAGCACATCCTGGATCATGGCATTGCGGAAGGACTTGTCATACAACATCAGATCGTCCGATGAGCTGTGCAGCTCGCCCGTGCACCTGTGTCCTGCTGCTCCGGATGATGCAGTTGCTCCGCCCCCAGCTCCGCCTCCGCCACCGCCCAATCCCAGGTGCTGCTGCTGCAGGTGCCGCTGGCGGGGCAGACTGGTGGTGGAGCCGGACGAGGTCCTGGAGTTGGCCGTGCTTCTCTTCCGGGCAGCAACGGCCGCCGAAGCTCCGCCGCTGTGCGTGGACCTCAAACTGTTGTCCGAATCGTTGCCGGTGAGCTGTTGGTCCTGAAGACGCGACCGGTTCAGCAATCTGGTGGCACGGGCTGGCAGCTGGGCGCTGTAAAAGAAACATTTCATCATTAGTTAATGCACAAGCAGAAGACAATAATTAAAAAGTGGTATCCAGCAGTGCCTGTGATATGATTCGTTGGCCTGTGGCGCACTGCTGGCCATAAAGGTCGCATAGTGATAGTGTATATGTCGCTGTTTGATGGTCATCGGTGAGCTGGTTCGCTGCTGACTCCCCAGGAATCTATTTTCCGAGGTCTTCAGATCGGTGCGAACTCTTCGCACTCCACTGGGCGAGGATTTGCTGAGCCCAGAACCCGCCTCCGACATCCTCCAAGCTGACAAATCGAATTTCGATTCAATGGGTCTTTGCTCGGACACTAATGCTCCATGTTGTTGCTCTGCGACAATGACACAATCCGGTCATGCGCAGACCACCAACAGCTGTGTGGAGACTTTGTAGAAAAATACTGGGCGACCTCATTACACTCAACCAATTTATGAAATTATTTATAGAAAAAAACTTCGTTTAATAAAACAAGCCAAGAAAAGTTTTTGGATTGGCTAAATGTTATGACATTTTAAAGTTGGCATTAGAAACTATAATTTAGTTTAAAAATGTTTAAACTTGTTTAGCACAGTATTAAAAATTCACATTTACTATAACAAGCTAAGAAAAGTGTGTTTATTTTATATCTGGATTGGCTAAATCTTATGGCATTTGTAAAATGTCAAAGAAAATAATAATTTGGTTTAAAATTTTTTTGATTTAAATTTGTATTACGAAAAGCATAAATTTATTTTAATTTAGCTTTATATATAAAATTTTTTTTTTTCAATATAGTATGAGTAAAATTTGGAGTATTTCTGTCTTTAGTTATAAAAATAAAATCTATTTAGTCAAGTATGTATTTCCTTTAGAAATTTTAAAGGAAATTAGCTTTTGAAACATTGGAATTCTAAGTTTTTTTAATGGAGCTTTTTCTGCATTAAACATGATAATTTGAGTGTTAGCATTTAAATTTGTCAAGTGTAGTAGCCTCGCTGTAGGGGTGAGTTTCACAATTATTTAGCCAGCTTCAATTAACGCGGTCGGAATGAAAGTGAAATGCCATTGATTAGGGCCTAGCCTAGCCAAAGGAGTTCCCCCAGTCGCCAGTTGTCAATGAGCAATTAAGATGGGTGAGCAGGAGGAGGTGGAGGAGGAGGAGGAGGGTCAGGTGGCGCGGTAACCTGCACGACATGCTGGAAATGCTGGAAATAAATCCACAGACGCGGTTGCCTCTCAGCTGGCTGGTGAAAGTCAACTGTTGCGTGCTGTAGTCACCCAAGCCCAAATGCAGGGGAAATGGGGGAAGAGGGCTCTTACACATGCGCGGTGTTCAAAATTTTACGGCATAATTTAAACAAACTGTTGAAAAACGTTGTGAAAACCAAACAAAAGAAACAAAAACATTCAATAGTTGGCTCATTCGACTATTAACGGTTGGATCCAAAGGTTAATGGATAATGGATTTTGGCTCGACCATAATACCCGCAATTATGATGATATTTCGGTTAGTGGATTTATTACGACAAAGAAATTAATTCGAGCATCTCACGGATTTGTGAGACTTTCCTCTAGTAATTATCCGAGTTCAGATGGCTAAGTTCCAAGAGTAATTGGCCCCAGGAAACTGGCACAGCGGCAATTTGAATATTTGAATCTGCGAACTTTGCTTATGCCCGCATTAAGATGATCGCGAATCGCACGAAATGGACTGTGAACAATTTTCAGCTCATCTGGAGCGGCGATGAAAGTACAAAAGTGTATCTTTTATTGTTCCGGGGTCCCCTTCTTTTTCACCGTTAGATGGGCTTTGTCGGCTTTAAAAAGGTTCTCAGCGCTTTTTTATTTTAATTAAAATTAAATTCCCTGCTGCGATGGTTTTGATTGCATCTGGTTGGAATGATTGGCCAACTTGATAAAATTTGATTAATTTTTTGTGTAATGTAGGTAATTTTGTTTGTTTAAAGTACCTTATGTTTTTTCAACGGTTTTCTTTTTGTGTTTTAATAGCTTTTTAATAAATAATTTGCATTTAGTCATTTAAATAGGTTTCTTGAAAGAAAACTAGGAGAAGTCTATTTTTAAATTTAATATTATTTATATATTTGGTAAGCGGACATTTTAATATATTTTAATCTCCTAAATTAGGAAAATTATAGTTTATTATAGCATATTAGACTAAACCCGTTCATACACTAGTTCATTTTTAATAAATTTTCTCTTAATTAAACAAATTATTACATTGTAAAGCAATACCTGTTTGTAAACTTCTTATTAACGTTTTTGGGTAATTTTTGATACAACCAAAGCAAAGCCAAAAGTTCAAATGAATTCACTCGAGTGTTTCCAAACAAAAACCAATTAAAGTGTACATTATGTCCAAACCATAAAACATAAAATCACTTTCCCAAATCCCACACACAACAATCACTGAGTTAGCAAAATTCAACATGTTTGTGAATTTCGCACGCCAACTTTATGCGCTTTTGTACTGCTCGTATGAATATGAATGCAGAAATCAGGCCCCCGAAGAGATCCACCGAAATCAAAACAATACGAGTACTTTGCACAACTCAATTTAGCGAAACTCAGCAGGCGGCATATGCCGGATATTTCGTACTCCAAACAAAAAAACAAAACAAAACCGATTGTCAGACGACAAAATGCCTGTCATTGCAACAAGTGCAGCAAATGGATTTATATGTTTGAATATTGAAGGCAATATCAGCAGGGAAGTAGAAAAGGGGAAACCTTAACGATTTTGAGCTCTTAATGGTTGTGATTCTTTATAAATATAAATTCTGTAAATATTTATAAAATTATATAAATATACTTTATATTAAAATAGAGCTTAGCCTAAATATACCTTTCTTATTGTTGATCATAATAGTCTAATAATCTTTTCAATCTCTCAAATATATGTTAATGTCAAAGAAACACATTTACCAAGAAAAGTAGAAATTAGATCTAGTCAAAACAGTCAAAACTTTTACTATACGAAATTATAATGCTACGTGATTAACGTTTAAGCACATAATTGTCTCGTCTGATACTAAGTTACTATACAAACTGAGCAGTGAGCCCCTGAAAATTCCCCTGCGGCTACGCACCTGCTTTTCTCAGCTACCTTTCTACACATTTAGCACAAATGTGTCTCATTTGTGACTGCACACGCGCCACTGCCAACGGCAACTGTTGCCAACTTGGCTCACTTGGTTAGCTGCAACAGTTAACCGGCAACATTCAACGATGACAAGTAATCACAATCATATAGCGATTCACGGAGCAAAGGCGTTGACATTCACTACTCGAACTTCACTTCCCAACGGTACTTATCAATTTGTGCGGCAAAACGTCATTTGTCATAGAGTCCGGAGACCTTTTGGAGCTGCACACATACAGTATACAGTATAGTACCTATACAAATAGTATATAACATATAGGAAGGGGAAGTGGAAATGGAGATGGAAATGGAAATGCAAAGGCAGCTTCATTAGAGTCGCCGGGAAGGGGCGACTAGCGAGCTGCAAGCCACGCAAGTAATGGTAATGGCCATAAAAAATAAAGAAATAACCAAACATTCTCACACGGCCTCCTGTGATGAGAATCCGGTGTGTATCTCGCATGCCCAGAGTTCTCTGTTCTCCACGCAGAGAAACTCTAGATCTTATTCAAGAGATTTACAATGTAGATTGTACATTTCAGATTAAATAATGGTTTAGAAAATTACAGCTTGTCCGTTTTATGAAAATCAACACAATTAATCTTTCTCATCAAGATAGAGATAAATTAAATACATTTTACTGAGTTGTATTAAATATTTGTTAAATTTCAAAACAAAACCTTCGCAAAAAATTAAGAAATAAATAATTTATAAAATACTACTTTTGATTGTTTTATTTTGTAATGAAGAATTATATTTAAATATTTTTATTGAACCTATGGTACTTAAACCTTAAAGAGTTAGTTTTGGTCCTAAAATACTACTCTTCTTCTTATAATCAGAATAATAACAAGTTAGTTATTTTACAATTCAAATTTTCATTACATTTAAACATAAAAGAGTACTACGTATGATAAGCTTTTTTTTAGTGTGTGAGTCGAGGATGATGATCAACGATGGTTAAGATGGGGATATGCCCAGAGACTGTGTTTTGGACTGGGGAATTCGGAGTTGGGGAGCACTTTCGAGGCAGACAGGTAGATATAAAGGTAGGTAGCAGAAGCAGCAGTTATCTGTATCTGTATTTGCACTCGATGGTATGTCCGTAGTTTGTGTGGCAAACATTCTGTTGAATTATGCATGGCGATGGGAGATGGGAGATGGGAACCCGTACTCGTATCCGTAACCAAAACCTGAACGCGTCGTAAATGCAACTGAACTTGAAGTGGCTGAAAAGCCATAAAAGGGGGCACCTCAACCCCCCTTTTTGTTTGCCACACACACACAAACACACACTATCATTATGTGCCTGATATCTGTAATTGTTACGTTTATGGCATCAAATTCCAAAAGATTTTCCAAACGTTGCCTGCATTTGCATGTGACACACTTTTCAACCCATTGTGTTGGGCCTACCCCATCTCTCTCTCCTTTTTTTTTTTGTATTTTTGTATTTTGCCCCCGGTTGCATATCGAATTACGCAAAGCTAAGAGCGGAAATCATCACCCACTTTGGCTACCACTTGGCTAAGGTTTCTGGGCTTTCTGTAGCTTCTGTCTGCCTTTGTTAGCCCTGTCAGATATTGTCGACCAAATTCGCACAACTACAGGCAAAATTGTTTAAATTGAACCACATTGAGTATTTTAATTTAAAAACGGTTAAGTTAACTTTTTATACATTTTGTCAAGCAACTTTTTAAATAGTATAAGTTTTAAACATAAATAAGAAAAATATGTGTTTAGTTTTATAAATTTACAGTATTAATATTTTAATCCATTGATAGGTGGGTAAAGAAAATTTTAAAAACCTTTGTTATTAAAATAACCTGCTAAGTTAAAGAGAATTTTCGTTTTATTTTACTTAGAATGCATAGTTTTTTAAAAAAAAAATAGGTTGTTGAAGATCATAATGAAAACTATTAACTATGTTTGTGAGATCTTTAAAAAGTGTTTAAAATTGTTTGATTGTGAAATTGTTAAACTAATTTTTAGGTAATTTTTTCCAAATAAAATGTCATTGCTAAAGCTCGGAATATCCGCTAGCTTAAGATTTTAAAAACTACTTTTTCAAAGAAAACCATCCTAAATAACTCTCATTAAAGGTTTCTCAATTTTGGTCTTGCTGTTAATGTTATAGGGGTTCCACCGTACTTCTTCTACTCACTTGAATCTGCCGGTCTAGGCCGAATGCGAAATATATCCCAGGCAAAACGCTCGTTTCATTGACACTTGTGCCCGCGGCGTGTCTTTTGTTATGAACACTGGCCGTTCGATGGCGTCGGCGTTGGACCGCCTATATACATATATGTACGATCTGTATGTTTATCTGAAGCTTCGGATGGGCAGGTAGTATCTGTATCTGTGGCATGGAAGAGGCACCAGTGCGTATCACTGGAGGCGACGACTGCCTGCGGTCACTGGCTCTTGCTTTTGGTTATTTGGCTGTTTTGGTTTTGTTTCGGTTATTAACAACGCAATTAAATTGGAATACGCAATATGTGCAGCTCCCACGCGCTTTTCAAACAACGGCTATTGCACAATTAACCAATTTACAATTGCCTTTATTGGCAGTGCTCTTCGAACCGATATTGCTGATGGAGTATGATATGGGCTTACGAATATAATTTATTAGTTCGCACAGTGCTCATAAACCGAACCGCACGCTTTGAGATCTTGTTTAATACTGGAGCCGAAATCGAAGTTGGAGCCCACAGCTCAAGTGGTAATGGAGTGGTATGATTTGGTACTGAAACATGACAGTGGAGCTACGTGTACAAAACGGTGCTACGTATTTTTGGGCTGATCACATACAGAATACATATCAGTGATAATAAGCCACTTAGCCCTCGTTTTGTTTGGTATATGTGCGAAAAAGGATCTTTTTTTTTTAAATGTTTGTTAGTGTTTTATGGACTTTTCATCCAATCTTTGATTGCACTTGCGCAAGGACCATTTTAAACGGATTTTAAAATCTACCTACCGGTTTCTAAAATTATGAAAATTATTATCTTATCTTAAAATTGTAGATATCATTGGATGAAAAATAAATAATAATCCAGCGGACTAAAACTCTTTAATACTTTAAGAAACCAAGCTAAAAACTTTAATATTATGATAAGCTTAAATTATATTATGCAAAAACAATAATATCTCACGTGTCAAACCCACTGTAATTGGTTGCTGTTGTTACCAATGTTTCGCTTTCCAAACGTTCCCATGAGCAACATCAGCAGCAACAGCAACAGCGCTTACACGAGCAACATCGACGGCAAGCAGTGGTAAGAATGTTGCTGGTGGGCCGAAAGAGTTGGGCTCGTGTGGGTCTGGGCCGCTTTTGTTAACGTTCTCAGAGTGTGTGGCACAGCCGTTAGACGATGCTGGCTGAAGGAAAGAAAGAAAGCCAGATCTGTTGGCTGAAGCGACGACAACAGCTACAGCCATAATATTTATGCACCCGGAATGTCGAGATGGGGATCACAATGCGGCTTTTGTTGCATCCGCGTGAGCGGGTTAACTGCGAGGCAATAATAACCGAGATTGAGTGGGCTTATTCAGCACTTTTTGAGAGGCGAAGAGGCATGGCCGTTATATATATATATATATATATATGTATATGAATGACTCATTCACCGGCCAAGCGGGTAAGCCAGTCTCAAGGTTAATCCACAAGTGCGGTTTTGCATGTGACTGGCTGGTTTTTCATGAAGTACTATCTGCAGCTGGCTGTTTCCAGATTGGCCTTCTAATGTTGGCTACGGACAAAATAGAAGTAGCAAAAAAAAAAAAAAAGGAAAGCCAATGTCCCGACGCAGGCGCATCTATCGGATCCATCGAGTGACAGGTTAAACCGCAACAACACATTTAGCCATGGCCAGCGGCATTTTGCAGTTATTTGGCTGTTGGCTGCGAAACAGGTTCACATTTATTTACCAGGCTTTATGCCGAGGCAGACAATTGATTTTTCCTAGCAATAAAGTTTTTCCCAACTTTTGGTTAGAGCCAGAAACGACTCCATCGATGTTGATGTCGTGCCGTTGCCGGTTGTTGTTGCTGTTGCTAGTTTTGCTGTTGCTGTTGATAGTGTTGCTGTTGCTGTTGTGACTGTTGCTGCTAGTTCGTTGCCATGACAAAAGAATGCGGCACTCGCCATCAAGTCTCCGACTCCGACTCCGGCCAAAGTCAAAATGTTATCTTAACTACGACCACGATTTGGCGAAAAAGCCAAGACCCAGACTGGAGCTCACATAGATAGAGACGGGAATGCCACACAGAGAAAAAATACCTAATGAAAGCATTCTTTCAAGAATAAGTCTTACCAAATATTGTATATTTTTTAACTATTAAAACAATTTTAAATTATTAAGAAAAACTTAAATATTGAAATATTTGGAAATTCTTATTGATATTCCCATCCTTTAAAAAATGTAAAATAAAGGCATTCTTAACAAATCAGTTTTACTATTTCCCCTAAATTTTAGGAATTTTTAAGCTTATGATTTCCACTTTGACTGTCAAGCACCTAAGTTCAAAGTTAGGAACTAAATTTGTTTATACACCTCTATATTACTATTTTTTTATAGTAAGCTGAAAAATATGTTTCCTCAGGATTAAGAAAGTCCCTTATTTTATTAGTAATATTTTTTCTTGTGCAATAAAAAAGAGAGATGGTGGTGGTGGGAGGCATAGACAATTGGAAATGCCAAGTGCCGTTGAAGTTGGCCGCGTCTTTGGCTTTGGCTTCGCCCAGAATGCACAAGGCCCACACAGAGTTGTTGTTGGCTGTAGCATTTTGGGCCATAAAAATGCCCCAATGGCTCTCCCCTTCTCTTTCTGGTAGCCGGCGCTAAAACACGGCAATTGGGACCGACAACGGGAACAGCAATGGGAATGCCGAATGTCGAATGGATGCAGACGGCCAATAGATTCGCCAATGGGTTCGCCAATGGAGTAACCTTTGGCAACAGCACAAACACACAAATCCGACACAACACACCCAAACAACCTGTCTCTATCCCTTTGCTGTCCCACTGATGTCTGTCTAATTTTGGGCTAATTTCAATTTCCATTTCCATTTACCCTTAAAATAAAAGTGGGCGGGGCATGACATGCCAAAGCTGTGAGCTGGCCAAAGTAAATTGCATTTGATTAACCCCAGAGCGCCCTTTTGGCAAACAGAAACAGAAACAAACAAGCAAACACGTGAGATTCACTGACTGTTTGTTTTGGTAGCTAAATCAATTGATGAATATTTCTGGATGCGCAAGGTAAATGCTATTAACACTACAATTTACAAGGGGACTTTGTTGGTAAGCTTTATTGATCGGGAAATAATTGGGACAAAATTACTATGGTCCCTCAATAAGGTTCCAATTAATTTAATAGTGTGATCTTTGTTATAAGTAATATAAATTAAATACATAATTAATGTAAATTTTAGCTCAAACTAGAAAATAATTTATTTGCACCATTTTTCAATGTAATTAAAAGACTTCTTACGTTTTTGGACATAACTCAATTTAAAACCTATTTATGTATCCTTTGTTGAAAGATTATTCCCAATTGAGCTCATTCTAGGCTTAAATTTTGCGTTACTTTGGCAGAACTCCAAATCGGCTCATAAATCGCCGCCTTTCTAGGGCTAAATTGAGTAATCTTATGCCGGCCGGCTGAAAAAAAATTGTCTAGAAGCCAAGGAGAGAGAGAAGTGCTGTTTTCCTACTGAAAAGGGGAAGAGGCTGCTGATTGATTTGCAGCACCTCAAGTGGAATTGGGTTGCAGGGGAGGCGGGTAACTCGCCCGGGGAAATGCACTTAATAATATTCCAACAGTCGCTGGCCGCCTGCCAAGTGCAGAGCTAATAAAACCAAATCAAAGGCGAACTCAAAAGCCACCGCAAACGTATTTCCGACCTGATGCAGCCAATTCAATTAGCTTTGTATAGGTAAGGAGAATTGAATTTTTCTCAAAAAAACAGAGATCACTTTTGAGAGATAAGTTTTCGGAATGGCAGGTTTTATTTAGGGGGCGTAAATCGTAATTTTTAGGTTGATTGGTAGTTGAGATGCCGAGTAATGTATTATGAACTTTTGACCTATTTACCCATTTATATGAGAATTGAGGATTGGTGAACTTTTAAAGGCTATTATATCCATGTACGGGTAGAAAACGTAGTAAATCCAAATAATTTATACGGAATATAAATATTTTGCGCTTTGATTTGCATCCATTGCGTTATTTTTAATATGAAAATATTAAAAATATTAAATGGAATGGCATTTAAATCAAACAGGAACTATTTTATATCTAGTATTTTCCTCAATATTAATATTAAATCCTGCAATTTAATACGCATTATAATTAAATAATTAATATAAAAATTAAATATACAATTTTGAATTCAATAGTCAGATATAAATTTTTACTATTCGATTTTATTATCAGTGTTCTTTTAAATATCGACATATAGTTTTCAATTCATATTATCCCAAAGAGTAATTTGTCTTAACATTTGTTTTAAGATTCTTTTTCTTGTTTTCTCTTCACCTTTTCATATTTTAGTTTTAAACACTACATTTTTTTAACCGAATTTCATAATGTTTGTAATAAAATATAAAATGGCTCTTGTAAACTCACCTAATTCTTTCCCTTGGACCGCCGCGCTGCTTCCTTCCTCGCAGCAGGGTATTGAGCTCCTTCATCACATCGCTGCCCTTGCGTTCCAGCTCCGATAGGAGTTCCGCCTCGGTCTCCGCCTGCATGGGATCGATGTCCTGGCCAATCCTGTGCAGATCCGAGCCACTGCGACTGCGTCCCGTGGCACTGGCCATGTGATCAATGGAGTCCACACTGCTGTTCATATCGAAGTCCATCATCAGGTCATCGGAGCAGATGGACTCGCAGGGCGACAGGGTGTCCAAGGATTCGGCCCGATCCATCACTGCCTTTCGCACCGCCGCCGGAGTCCTAAGGCTCAACTCAATGGCCTGCTGCAGAGCGGTACGAGCCTTCGACTGACTCTTCAGGGACCTCAGCGATCCTGTTTGGGTGTGGGTGAGCGTTTCCATCAAAGTGGGTGTATCGGTGGCCACCTCTTGGGCTTCACTGTTGCATAGCAAGGCCGGCTGATCGGCGATCTCATCGTCTATGAGATTTCCACAATCCGAGCCCAGGGAAAGGGAATGTGAGGCGTGTGTTGGGGTGCCCGGTGAAATGGGACTGTGGCTGCCCGGCGGATCCAAATCCAGTTCGAGAACGGGGGAGATGTCATCCAAATCAATGTCATCGATGTCCTTCTGCTGCCGTTCCTCGTTCAACTTGTGCTTCTGCAGCTTGCCGCCTGCCTCCTCGGAATCCTCGGTGCTGCTGACCAAACTGTCTGTGGGTGAGGTCTCATCATCCAACAGCAGACAACTACTGCTGGCCAAAGCCAGTTGGGCAAACTTGGATTCGTTGAGGGCATTGTTAAAGGAGCGGGGACGCGAGGTGCCTGCCTCACGATTGTCCACCAGATTGAGGTTGAGCAGCGGCTCCTGTCCCACTTTGGGTGCAGTATCCGTCATTGAAGCTGGAGGGGATTGTAAATAAGTAATTACTTTAAAAGTCAAAACAGCAACTAAGGGTCACACTTACAGATTGTGCTAAACTGCATGTCGGTGTTGATAAGACTAATCTCATCCAGGCCCAGGGACATGTCCTCCTCCTTGTCATTGTCCCGCGGATTCTCAGGTGCCTGGGTATCGCTACTGATGCTCATGCTCATGCTGCTGCAATCCTGGGCGGCCAGAGATTCGCCCGCCTGCAGGCGCCAAGTGGAGGCCACCGAGGAGTGGCTCTGGTGCTTGGCACTCTTCTCGGAGGTGGACGAGTCCAGATATAGCTTCTCCTCGTCCACACTCTCGCTCTCATCGGAGCCACTGGCCTTGGGTTTTTCCGCTTGCCGTTGATCCTGCTGATCCTGCGGATCCTGGGATCCTGGGGTCTCCGCCTGACGTCGTTCGTAACTCTCACGACTCAACACCGTATTGGATCGCACCAGGCCCAATAGTGGCAGCGGAATACTCTGACTCCCATCAGTGGGCAGCTTTGGAAGTGCCAATGGCTCCACAAACGAGTTGGACTCACTGGAGGGCGGATCGTCGGCATCGCGCACCTCGAAAGTGTGCCGTCCACTCATAACCATCTTGAGGTTCCTGGGCCGGCTGCGACTCCTCTTCGAACCCACCGAACTGCCCGAGCTGCTGTCCATGGCCATGTCCATGCTGGCTATCCCCGAATCCGCACTTATCTCCCTGCTGCCGGAGAATCCTCGACGCGTCGAGTTGTTTGTCAGCTGCTTCACGCTCTTCTGGTCAAGATGTCGTGTCTGTGGCTGCACATGCACCGAGGTCAACGGATGTTGCCGCGAACTGGTCGTGATCTCCTTGGCCCGGGCACCCGTCGAGTGGGCGTGGCCGTGGCCGTGGCCGTGGCCGTGGGCGTGAGCGTGAGCGGGCACCGGCGACTGGACACTGCTGCTGGGCGTGGTCGGTGTCGTGGCCGTCAGACTGATGGCCACCGGATACTCCGGCCGGGGCAAACTCACCGTCTGCAGGGTGAACTTGGCAAAGCTGGCTGGAGTGGGTCGCGGTGTGGGGCGAACTCTGTAAGCGTGTAAGCAAAAACAGTTTAATATTGATTGTTTTACCATTCTCAATAGCTGATCAAATATTGAAACTCAAAAGAAATTTAAAATTGCCTGACAGTGTCTAACTAACTTTTAGTCAATGCCAAATAATAGCCAAATTCTTCTTTAGAAATTGTATTCTTAAAGGTTTAAACTTAAAATGCGTTCTTCAGTACTTGGGCTAAAGTTTTTCTGATTTCCCTATAGAGACTTGTAAGACTGAGTCATATAAATAATGAACTCAATAGATTTTCAAACAAAATGGAACAAATTTTAATATTCAGAGAACTTAATATGGTTGGCAAAATGTATGATAAGATTCAAAAATATGATGAATGAAGAACATAACAAATAAATTCGCTTATCAAAACTGAAAAAACTTCAAAATTCGGTAATCAAAACTCATTTTCTTAAAGACTAAAGGTCATATTCTTAAATTTTTGACAACCGACTTTTCATATTCTTTTAATTTTGGTTACCGAATTTATTTTGTATGGTCTTCGTTAATCATGTTTTTGGAACAGATAGTTTTGATAGCCGAATTTATTTTTAATGTTCTTTATTTGAAACAGCCTTTTGTTCCAGTTTCTAATTTGGTTGTTTGTAAATATTCTTGTTTATTATAAAATTACTATTCAAGTGCAGAGTTACTCACATGACATTGGCATGCATGCTGGCCAGGTTGTTGTAGTTATAGCGCGGCTGCATTGCTCTCGATCCCGACCCAGATCCGGATCCCGATACCGATCCCGAACCCGACGTTTCGTCCGCTATCTCGCCGAAGAACTGCCGCCGCTGGTACTCGATGGTGGTGTTCTGGTTCAGGTTGAACGTCAGCGTCTTGGGCTGGGCTATTTTGGGCTCACCATCGCCGGATCGTCCGGCGTGTGCGCTCTTGGAGCGGCGTTTCACTGCGGAAAAGCGAAGGAAGTTACATGTGCTTGTGCTTCATCGGAGGCCGAAAATGGGGTAAGTTTTTGGTTTATTTGTGGCACTTACAATTGCTCACCAACACCGGACCGCTTCCCGCACCGCGAATGTTGTTATTGTTGTTGTTGTTCTGGGCATTGGCCGTCGATTCCGATTCGGATTCCTCGCTGGGCGCAGTTAGGCCCGCGGAAGCGGGGCGTGGCACCGCCCCACGATAGCCGAAACGCGCCCCGGCCGCACCTGCCACCAACAAAGTGCCGCTTTTCTGGGCAGCGGCGGCGCCTACTTTCTCAAAGTGAACGGGCGCAGCAGCTGTCGTGGGAAAGAAACGGACGAAAGGGACGATTCCAATGAAATGTTGGCATGTCAGCTCATTGTTAAATTGGCCAAATTGTCGCCAAATTAAAAAGCCATAACACTTGGTCAGCTATTGCCATTTTAGAAGGGATACTCGGGTTGACTACTTAAACACTATAAGCTGACTAAAAAGTTTTTGAATTAAAAAAATATATAAAAAAAAAAAAAAAAAAAACAAAAACATTAATATGCTAATTAGTTTTACTTTTTTTTAAAATGTATTTTCCTGTTTTGTTTAAAATTAAAATTTTGAAATTAAATTGTTGTTTGTAGTAATTTTTTTTTGGTATTAAGATGAGGCTAGTTAAAAAATCATTTCATTTCTCAAAATTTGTATTTATGCTTAAAAAACTATTAAAAAAAAATTTGTTTTTAAGAAAAATGTTAACCTAAAATCAGTTAGTTAAAATATAAGCCATAAAGTTAATATCAGCCGGTCTTGTATACCCTAAACTAATAAGTTTAGTTTATAATAATTGTTCATGAAATAAATGATAGTTCTGTCTCATGATATTTGCCTTGATATATAATATGTATCTATTTGTATAACTTCTCCATAAATTCCATTAATTGGACTCACCTGCGTTGCCATTGTCGTCCTTTGTGTCTGTGCAAGTTGCGCTTTTGTCGCCGCCTTCCAGGAGTTTCTTGAACTTCTTGGGCGTCCCATTGAGCTTTTTGCGGAAGCCAAAGGACATGGCGGTGCCTTTGGTGTGCACCGTCTGATCCAGCGCCTCCGAGGGATTGCCATTACTGTTTCCGTTGCCATTGTGGTGGCGGCGGCTTGACTTGCTGCCCTGCTTCTTGCTCTCGGCCTGGCCCTAAACGAAAAACAAAATGTGGTGGAGAAACGGGGTAAAAAGCGATTAGGATGAAAGCGAAACACATTTGCAAATCGGGTCAGCACAGATGAGAGGCGCACGGAAACAAAGAAGCCTCGAGGACTTCCCTAACAAGAGGCAATACACAATAGGATATATATATATATACATCATCTAACTATATGAGTCACTGCGTTCTACGAACAATAACTATTTGTGAGATACTTTTCATTGAATCACGATAAATATCAATAAGGAAGCGTATATACGCGAAACAAACCGATGATTCAACATGTCATTTAAAGTGTCCTTCACGTCTTTTCCGTTCTTTAGTTATGAGAAATTTAATTAAATTTATATGAATAAAAAGATATATTATTAAATCAATTGTGAATATAATCATTTAATAAATTGAACGTTATATTTTAAGGTTTTATATAGAAAATCTCTGGGATCCGCATTCTTTTAATGTTTTATAATATTTAAGACTTGGTTTAATCAATTTTTGAAAGAATGAAAATTAAATAAAAAAGTGCAGTACCCCTTTATGAAATATATTTATTGCAACCAGGCTACTTGTGAGATTCGAAAAGCTATCTAGCTATCTTTCTAAAACGTAAAATGATTATTTAACCAGAAAGCTATCTGTGAGATACATTTGATGCGTATAAAGTTTAAGAAGCGTCCAAAAATATCTACAACATTTCTTTTAACGGTTTTCCAGCAATGGAAACTCTTTCGCAAGTGAATATTTAATGTGGTACCATGATGACTGCCTCGACTTCCGCGTCGATTGCTGCGTCCTCCTCGACTGCTGATTCGTGAAGCTCCTGCTCTAGGAGCGTTTCCTTATCATCTATACCGTTGTTCGGCTCTTTGTGACTTATTTGGTGCTCCTGATCGGAATTTTCCGCGCTCGGCTCGGCAACCCCCTCGTTCTGCCGCAGCTGCTGCTGCGATGCGAATTTTCCTAGTGAGACAACGACGACGGGGTTGTCGCATTCATCCATGTTGCAGGTCGTCGGCAGAGGCACTCGCTTTCCCGGCGAGCCTCCGTCCGTTTGCCGTCTCCCCGGGGAGTCGTCTTGATCGTGGTGTCGAGAAAGTCCGCTTTAGGATGCAGTACGGCTATGTTCATGACACGGCCGCCACGGCGAACAAATTACGCCATTTATAATTGCACTCGAGCCGCACACACACACACACACAGTCGCACAGATACACAAATACGAGTGTACCTGCCAGTACACCCACACGGGGGTCCTTGAAAATCTAACGGCTTGCTGGAAAAATCTTTTGCAGATTGCTCGCACTTTTCACGCCTCAGGTTATGCAAACGTTTTTCGCACTGTTTTTCCACGATTCTATACCGTTTGGTCTTCCTGATTTTGTTCTTTGGATATTTGTTGTTGTATTTTTCTATAGTTTTGTCAAGTTTTTTCTGCTTTCACAGAGTGGCCATGATTTTTCACTTGTGAAAGCACGGCATACGGAAAATTGAATGGCGAGCTGAAAATTCTCACGAAGCAAATGGGTTTCCCTGCCTTCTTGTGGTGGGTCTAGTCGTTATACTCTCTATATTGCTTGACCGCAGGGGGAGAAAATTGAAAATAGACAGAGAGAGTTCGCAGTGTTCGCTCATGCGCAGAGCGAGGAAAACAAGTGGCTGTTCGCAGATAATGGTCTAAATTCGGGGGTGGCTTCAACCAGCGCCATCTAGCGGCTGGGTTTCCACTTAGCTGGGAAATGAACCGCACCATGTATGGATATGTATGTATTTTTTACATCACTACTACTATTTTAATATAAGCTACATTAGGCATCACATTTTCATATACAGCTCAAAATATTTTTAAAAATTTAAAACAAAACATGTATATTAAACATAGAATTTTCTGAGTTACAGCTTGACTTAAAAAGCTTCGGGTGAGTTTTTGAAATATTTTTTTTTATTTTTGCTCTTTTTAATCCCGGCGTTTAATCTCATCTAAACTTAAAATTAATCATTGTCGAACAAAAATAATATTTAACAGTGTTTAATTAAGTATTGATATACAATCTATTTATCAATGCAGTTTTTAGATTGAATATACCGAAGATGGAACAAATATTACGAAACTTATTTTAAAAATAAGATATACAAATAGTTCCTTCATAATAAAATACAATAAATATCAGAACATTTTAAAAGGCATTTTATAAATTAAATTCTTCAGCAAATGAAGAAGTTGCTGTGATGGCATGATTTTGCATCGTTCATACTCCGTGATTCATGTAAAATTCAGATGTAATAAGTCCTCTGAGACAACATTCCAGTAAAATTCAATTTGGTTAAGGTCAATTGCTGAGGGGAAGTGCGGGATAAAGTGCTTCGGCTAAGTATGAAAGATGATATGTGGGAGGCGGAGTGTTTTTAACAGCCTTTCCTTACCCACAAGAATGCTTATTATGTAAATTACCTTGTAAGAAGCCTTAGGAGAAAAGGAAAATGAATATGCAAGCCCAAACTTATCAGGCAAAACGTGTGTTATTTAGCCCTGCTTTCTATATTTCAACATGTAGAAAATATTTAATTCCTACTTTAAGCATGTTGCACTGTTAAGAAAATAAGTTAAAATGTATGCTTAAAAACTATTGTAAACAGAATGCCTTCCTGCCATTCTGCATGCATTTCTTAAAAATTTTTCTGCACCTCCTAAGAAATATTTTGGGAAAATCTTAAAGTGTCTTCCTAACATTCTTTATGCATATTTTTATATACCAAGAAATTTTATTTCACATTCTTCTTCTGCACACAATGAATTTTGAGGCTGACAATAGTCTGGCGAAAGAAAAGATTGTTGACCCACAATATCACTGACACCACATTTTCGCCAGACTCAACTTCGGCAGCCCAGAGTTCGCAGCTTATTGATAGTGCTTCGGCAGAAGCCTCAAGTGGGTTGTAAACATACATCAATATTACTCACCGCCAGCCAGCCGTTGTTCTCGACTGGTAATTGAGGTTCTGGCCTGATTTTGGCCTTGTTCAGAATGTGGTTGCTGGATGTGGATGTGGATGCGGATGCCTGCTCCTCGGCGGCGGTTTCGATGGCCTGCAGCAGCTCGTGCAGCAGGAATTCCTGGCAAGTGGAGTACTCCGGTTCGCTGGCCAAAGTCAGTGGCTCCGCTGGGGCATCATTGTAAAGGGATTCGATGTGCAACACGGCCTGCTCAGGTTGTTCCTTTCGCCGACTTATGGTGTAATAAAAGGGTTCGGGTTCGGGTTCGGTCTTGGGTTCCGGTTCCTCCTGGCTGGCTGCTGCTATATATTCATTACTCGTTGTCAACTGTTGCCAGATTTTGTGCGCCTTGGCCAAATCTTCGTGCGACAGTGCGATTGTCAATACAGATTGATGATGCTCCGCGGCTGGGGACTCGAGTTCGTGGAGCGGCGGCGACTGCCGGGAGACACACTTGCCCATGGCATCTTACGACAACCGGAGTTTTGTGGTAACTACCTCTTCCTTCTTATTTTCCTTTCCCCTCCTATCTAGACTGAAAAAAAAGAAACAAAATATTACCAAAAAAGTGTCGGTGCTCCCCAAATCTAAATAGCTTCTGTCATTGGCCTATCAAACTGAAGTTTGAATAATGATAAACAATATGTCTTATTTAAGTGGGCCAAAAGTATTATTTGTAACTCAATCGAACAGAATAAACTCTACAATCGAACGTAGAAGATTTTAATATTGTTACTCATTTATTAAAATTATTATGGTATTTTCCAATTTACTAAGAAATTTTAGATATTCTCAAGTATGCAGAGACTCAAATTTCTGTACTTACATTTAAATTCTAATTAAATTTTATAAATAATATCCTGAAAAAGTTTATCCCTATTTAATATTTATTTATTTATAATATATTATAGTATCACTGCCTTTTAAACATATGGAGCACTTAATTATTTTTTAAGTATTTTTGTATAGTTAGTTGTAAGTTATATTTTTTTTATAACTACAATAACATTGTTGCAATGATGTGGTCAAGTCTAGCTAATTTTATACAGACATTCTATTTAATTCAAATATTATTTTTATGATATTGAACTAAAAACCAAGTTACTAATTGAATTGCATTGTTTTTAAGTTAATTAAAAAAAACAGTATAATAAAAGGACAGAAATGGGGACAGAGGTATATAAAATTCTTTAGAGCAGTAAAGTAAAAGGCTTTGTGTTTTTTTCCATGTAGGAATGATTTCGCCAGAAGATTCAAATGAATAGGTTGGTCATAAGATCCTCCCCGCACGGCATATTGATATGCTGTGAGCTCGACTGACTGGCTTGTGGTTGGCGTGCAGGTAATGATACACCTGTCCCGCTAAACCACCAAGCAACCAGCCAACTGGCCCACCCCGCCGAAAACCCCATCCCCCTGGGGCGAGTCCATTGCCGTTGCATTATGCCGCGGTGCACGTTTTTTATTAAATTTTATTAGAGTGCCGCACATGCACAACACGGACGGATGCAAACGGACACAGCGCCCCGGATCCGGATCCAAATCCAAACTTCTTTCATACCTCCGAATGCACTGAGCGAAAGGGGGGAGAAAAACAGTGCTTTGGCTGGCAAGATAAGGCATATACAGTAGCTGTCAAAATAATAGTAGTGGGACAATGTTAATTGCTCAAAACCATACCGTTTTTTTACAACTTTTCTTTTAATTTATCATAATGCTTAGTTAACATGAAACAAAATAAGTTTAAAAGAACCTTTATAGTCTTTTGACTTTTTAAGGTAAATGAAAACTATTAATAATTCCTGGTGGAAGTAAAGTCCTTTAAATTTACTTTTTAATATAGTGGAGTAAATAATTTTAAGACAATTTAAAAAAATAACCATAAATCCTCTTTCATCTGCACTTTGTATTGTAGTTAACATGTTTTTGTTATCTAAAAAATGTTTTGTTAAGTAAAAATTGAAAAGAAAGCTTATTGATTAATCTATTTTAATAAAAACTTAAAAATATTATAGTTATTCATGCCTCCAAACTATTTTTGATTGCCATTTCCATAAGATACTACTACTACTACTATTTCGACCGCAACTGTATGCATCCACGCAAATGCAAGCAGCCTTTGGGAGAGATGAAGAACTGCATCCCAGCTTGGTTATGCTCATCCTCATCCTCATCCTCATCCCCGTGCTTATCCTGGCGCTCCTGCTCCGTAGCTTTATGGCGTATTTGCCGCATAACAAAATTTACACCCACCAGGAGCCGTCGACGCGTCGGTGCACTCAATGGGGGTGCCCTTTGTGCCCGGGGTCCTTTACTACGGATCGAGCCATATCCACTAGGTCGCCGGTTTCGCCGCCACTCGATAACAAAATTTGTTCAATAATGAATTTAAGCAGGAAATGCATTTCACCATCCAAAGCCATCATCTGAGTGACAGGGCTTATGCGGTAGGTAAATGTATTTCCAGTGCGGAATGGCATAAGTTTAAAGCTGTGCAAGTAGCTAGTAAAGGAGTTTACTCTTTTGAGTCTCCTTAGACATATATTTATATGTTAACAACACTTTTTATTGCATTACTGGCTTACTCATCGAAGTATGCAGGAAATAGTTTATTGCGAGTGTTTGTTTTTCGTTAGATTTGAGCTTGGTCGAATTAGATCAAAGAAAACAATGCAAATTGCGTACAACAAGAATCTGTCAAAAAAGTTGGTAGGACTATTTTACTCAGGGAAAGGGGGCATAATAAAAATAACAAAAATATTTGAAATAATTTAAAAAAAAGTTTTATAAAACTTGTGCCTTTCATGGAATTTAACAAAATACATTTTAATATTAAAGAAATGTCCAGAAAATAAAAATGATATGTTTTAAGCTTCACAGACTTTTTGTAAAGCTGATTATTTAAATTTATGCTATACGCATAATACCAATTTATTATTCAGCAACTTAAAGACAACTCCACATAGAGTATTCCATGTGCGGACATTTTCAGTTGATCCGGCTGTGTTTATGCCTGCTTATGTCCTTTGGCTTACTTACATTTGCCGCGGCTTTGTGCTGCATAAATTTTCAGTGGCACGACCCAATACAGTAACAGCAGCCAACCGCCCAACGCACACCGCCCACCACCCACCACCACCCCCTTAAAGCTACGTGGCTCTTTTGTGCTAACTGCCAACTTTCATTTGCTGCCTTTTCACATAATGAGGCAATTTTGCAGTTTGTTTTGTGCGAGTTTTCACTTGTTACTCTTGCATTTCATAAGCCAGAAGCGGCGGCCATGGCAAAAGCAGGTGCCGTAAGCTGGTAGTTGCCAGTTTCGGTCCTAATGCAACATTTTGTATGCGCGCAGGATAAATCCCGTGCAGATCCCCGATATTGGTCGCATATGCAAATGGCTAAAGGCTGCAGCGCAGGTAATTATGTGCATAAATAACTCCGATTGTTGGCCAAGAGACTGCCGCAGGAGGCCTCAAGTAATGCCCAAGATTGGTCAATGGGTGTGTGCCCGTTTATGGAGGGGTTTTGGCTGCCGCTGCGGATATCCTGCGGAAGCTCTATCGGTTTCCCCCCACCCCCGAACAGCGTGGCTCATGTATAGCCATTCCCCGCTTAGAATCGATGTGGCATGCAACAGCTGCTCGCTTACAACACTTCGAATTGCCATGGTCCATGCATTTTAATTGCGCGAATCCGCAAAAAAAAAATTGAGATCGAAATGTGTGCACCCAAAAAAAAGGGATATAAGACTCCTTGATTTGGATTAAACCACATAATGTATATTAAAAAGTTTATGAAAAATGTGTTTTGTAATGCACAAAACAAAATTTAAGAACATAGTATGATTTAAATGATCTCGGTAACAAAATAGTTTGGAAAATCCAACAAGCATATATACAAATCAAATCTTCTCCAATTTTTCCGTTTATATATGTTTGTTTGAAGTTTTAAAGAATTATATAAATTTTCAAGATTTTTAGCATTGAAAAAAAATGTATTTTCTTTTTTTTGCATTTAATTAGTTTAAATATATAAATATATGCCATGTTTTATTTACCCTCAAAGGCTTAAACTTTTGAGAAATAAAACCCCTTTAAATTTAAAGACAAAGAACGATAATTTTCGAAAGTGTGGAAATAAAAAATTCAACACTGTGTTGATCTTCAACGCGAGTGAGTACTTGAAATCGATTTGATTCCCTAAATGTTCTTTGTTTGTGGGCCTCTTAAATCCAGAGTGTGGAAAATGCTTGGAATTGTATGCCACCATATGCGTCGCAAATGGAGGCAAGGGGCAAAGGGACATGGAGGGATCTATCCAGCAAGTTGCTCTGTCGAGGCAAAGTTTTGTGCCATGATTAAAACGAAACCTCACCAAAGTTGCCACCGCTGACAATTTTAATGCAAACAAAAACTTCGTTTTTTGTTTTCTTTGCCACGCTGACAGCGGCAAACGACAAGAAGAAGGCCAACTTATTTTAGCATGCAGCATTTTCAGCAACTTCCGACTAGCCAACCAACCAACCAGCAACCCACCCACTCCCCATTTTCCACACCATTAATGCAAATTGACGGGGATACAAGTCGCTACAGGTGCCAGATCCGGTCAGGTAGGTAGTTTCGTTCGGGAAAACTACGTTTGGGAAAACTTCTGGCAATTCACGCGGACGTTTGCGGCTGTTCTGCCGCCGAAAGCAATTCCATTTTGGTAATTGAACAAGTCAACGCTTAATTACAACGCACTACAGTAAAACACCATAACTGTCTGCGGCATTGAGTGAAAAGCCAGCCGGCAATTTCCATTCAACGAAAGCGAAATAATTTCCATTTGAAATGCGCAAAAATGAGCAATTTCTTTTCGACCAGGATTTCGACCCTTTTTTTGTACCCCCCGCTGTTGTTTTCACTGTTTTTGTTTGAAACGTTTTAATTGACGTCTCATTTTGTCTTGCGGCTGATATTTTATTGGATTTCAGTGGCGTAGCTTCAAAAAATTCGGTAAAATTTAACTGTGGAATGGAAAATTCGTTGAATCCAATAATTCAAAATAAATAAAATTTTGTATGCTATATAAATAAACTTCTATCTTCACCAATATTAAATCCCTAAAGTTGGTTTCAAAAGATTGGTTAAAAAAATGTTTCAATTCTCGTTAGATTTAAATATAGGTAAAATTTCTTAATTTTTCCTTTTTTACATTTCTCATACATCAAAAAAGTTCTGACTGCACTCCTTTTGTTAGTCGAGCAATTCAGCAATTTATCGGTTAAAGCACGACGGGCAGGCAAAAAACGCAGTGAAAATGACTTAAAGCAATTCCCGGGGACGTTGGATTGTTAAAAACTGATCTATATGCTTGGTTATTGAGCAACTTTGGCTGTGGCTGTCGATGGCTCAAAGCCTTCAGCGGAAAAATGTATGGCCAAAACCAAACCAAACACAGCACAAGAGGTGGTAAGGGGATGGCTATGGCTATGGAAATGGCTATGGCTATGGGTATGGGTGAAGAGATAGCGGCAGTAGACACTTGATAGGTTTTTTGCGACCAACACCCCCTTTGAACCGCTCTCCACACACACTATTGGCCATAAATCAATTTTTCAAAAATGACACTGGGAAATGGAAAAAGTAAGCTCAAAGCTTGGCGAATATTGAAAGCGCCCGCTTGGCCCGATATAAACCGATACTCTCCCATGAATTGTCAAACGTAGAAAAATATATGCACGCATGCATACATCTATATAACTCATATCTATATATTAATAAAACATGTATGTTCGGTCCTAGCATTTTTTGGGCATCATCCTAGAAGCTCTGGTATTTTTTATGCTATCGCTTGTCGTTTTTTTCCCTATTTTTTTTTCTGGCTTTGCAAATCTTTGCAGCTGGCGTTGAAAGTTTGTCATCATAAATTTTAATATTATTTTCGTAGCGAATGCAACAGGAGTTGGAGCAAAAGGAAGCATTTTGCGATGCAAAACTTGCCAAAGAAGCAGAATCCATAGTTCGGCAAGTTTGGAAATGAGCACATTAATGGGAAAGGGCCACCAGCACTCTTTGCCCCTTTGGGGAATTTCAAAAACCCCGTGCTGCACACGCGGCGTATGCGCAATGCAGCAGGCTCTGATTTGAAAAATTGGAGAAAGGGCGCACGGCAACATCTGGGCGACTGCTGGCCGGAAGCCCATATTCCCCAGCATGTGTGAACCGAATGTTGATGAGTGCCATATAGTGAATGCATATGAATGAATTACAGGCCAACTTTTACCCCCCCAATCCCCCCTTTTTTAGCCTGGTTTTTGGGGCTTTCAAAGCGGCTGAATGAAGCCTTCTGGCTTTGGCGGCACGAATTGCATGCAAAAGATTGTTTTGCATAGATGAGTGAAATCACCGGGCGCATTTATTGAACTCCTGGTTGACAGCAGACGAAATTGACATTGATTGGTCCTCGGATCTCAGTACCGAAAGTCTAATGACAAAGAATCAAGAGGGTGCTCAATTATCCTAGTTTTCTCTGTGCGCTTGAAATTTTTGGACTGATGCATTCTGTTTTTTCCGTAGCTCGTTTGCTGTTCAAAGAACAATTAAGGTTTTTCAATTTGCAATTATTCTCCAGCACAAATATTAATTTCAACAACCTAAATCAAAAAATAATAGATTTTATGGTCCTTGGCTAACTAATTTTAAAAGTTATAAATATATAAATAAGTATAAATAAACTAGGTACAGTATGTATTAAATCAATATTAATATTTTGTTTCATTTTTATAGCGAAGAGTCTAAAACTGTAGTTTAACCCTTATTTTTAAAGCATATAAGATTTATTTTGATACCTTCGTGGTTTTAATACTCATCTTATTAAGAAATTCAAATTCATTTAATTTATATAACAATTGTTTGGACCTATATTAAACAGTGTTTTATTTCTACAATAAGATGGGAAGGTACAAAATTTATATTGATGTCAATAATACACTTTGAACAATACGATTTTTGCTAGAATTATAATGCAATCGACTCAATCAATATGGTCTATTTAAATCATTAAATATTGCAAAATGTTACTTAAGAGTGAACAGCTGAAAGGCCTCACTTTTAAATTAATCAAATTCTGTGCACATTCGAAAATTGCCTGCAAGTATGGTAATTATTAGATGGAGTAAAATATGCATATGATTTTATGCTCTTAGATTTCGGACTGATTACCGACATATGCTGACGACTAGTGGATTTGATTTAATATGCACCGGAAACTAGTCAAGCAAATTGGAAGCAGCCGCCTGCAGGTGAATAAAGTCTTAGTCGAATTCAGGTGATACGTGAACTGAATGAAAAGCCAAGGACTTAAGCCTTTAAGTAATGTGGCAAGGTCGTGGTATTGGTTGGTCTGTGGTGGGTGGGATTATGGAGTGTGAAGAAAGATAAGAGCGAACCGTACTTCTCCCTGGGCTTATTTGCATGCCGTGATTAAGTGACCAGGTCATAAATGCAGTCTGGCAGAGACTATTTCGACCATTTCGGCTCGCTGCCAAGGCAATCATAAAGCTTGCCACTTAATTATTACTTAGTCTTTATTAACATGGCTCACAGCTTTTGTTGGCCTCTCGCTCCCATTTAGTGCCATCAACGGAGCGTGCAGTTTGGATTTCGGGGACTGGCATGGTCTGTATTTCGAGGCCTGGTAATTGGAAATTGTTGCCATCGTCTTTGCCTGCGTTTGTTTGTCAATTTGCGTACTTAAAAAATTCTTTTATATAAACATACATACATGTACATATACCGACAACGACGACGCACATGCACAACTCGTCGTGAGTGTAACGAGCCATATGTGTTGTGTTGTGCACATAATAATTACGCAATTGGCAGGAGTCCCCTTTTCCCTCTCCATTTTGGCCTGGCTCTGTTCGTCTTTCGCTCGAGTCGAGTGTGTCATCAAATTAGTTTTAATTATATATTATATTCGTTTTGCACACATTTCGGCATTAGCAGGATGAACACGCAGTGGGGACTCCACTGCGTATGGGTGATATTTGCCATGGCAATCGATTTGTATGCCCGGCAGCACTCCGCCTGTTGTTCTTGTTTAAACAATTACCCCGCTCATTGACTTTGTGCCCAGGCCCCAGAGACAAAAACCAACGAATGTGGGATTGAAATTGCTCCAAACCTGTACTAGATATCTAATATGGATGGCATTCAGGGAAAGGAAAGTAGACGCGTCAAGTGAATAGTAACTGCACAGTAAAAAAAATGAAATAAAAATATAAAAAACGTTCCACAAACTGACCGAATTTGAGTCTGCTTTTAGAGTAACAAACTATCTTTAACATTGCAATGTTATCTACATATGTATGTAGATCTTTTATTTGTTTCAATATTTTGAAAACCTATTTCTAAAGCCTTTTTTTGATTTTAAATACACATTAAATTTAAAAAAACCCAACAATTTATTTATTATGTTGAAAACGTTAATGTTGTCTTATGGATTACATAGGTATATTTTCCGTAATTTTTTTTTAACTTGCAGGGTAGATTATGTAATTGTTTTCAACTAAAATATTAAAAAAGTAAAAAAAAATATAACAAAAATGGATATGTTGGAATTCCTACACAAAGGCAATAATTTATTGTCATTTACATTTTCCCTAACTGCACGACGACATCGACACCAATGCGGTTGTTGCTTTGGTTTCGCTTCGAGTTTTTGGGTTAGTTAGGGTTTCAGTTTCAGCCACAGATTTGTCTCGCCATGCAAATTCCCATTTTTCACCATCAGACCCACCTTTGGCTTATCTTATCGTTGTGCACATGTGTGTGTGCCCGTGTTGGGACGTAATTAAATAGAAATTCTCAAGTGCTCGTTGTATTTTTCGGGTTACTTGACTTGACACTTAAGCACTGCGAATTTTACTTCACTTCCACCTGTTGATTTTCTTTATTACTTCACTGCGCGACCTTGAATTATGCGATCAGTTTTTGTTACTATTTTTTTGCCATAACTACACTTCCAGTCAAGAGAGTCGCGTCATGTTTGCTGTTATTATTAATAGCCAAAAGCGTCAGAAGCAACTGACTGCGGACTACGCATGAGACTCGAGACTTGAGACCCGAGCACCCAAGAATCTACAAAGCTGCGATCGGAGCGTTAGGAAAGCTCGCTCTTTATAACATCTGGCTGGGCTTTTGGCTCTACGATTACTGGTAGTAAGAGAAACGAAGAGAATACCTAGTGATTCATAGCTGATAGCGGCTTTGTTTATGAGGGTCAATTGCGTGGAGTGTGTCCAACAATTTACAGTGCCAGCAAAAAGTTAAAGCACGCACAATGGCTTTATCACAGTGAAAGATATTTAAGTTACGTTTTGGGAGATACAAATTTGTATTAAAACATACATACATACAAAACATTATTTTTGATAGTCTGAGATATTAAAAATCAAGACTGTGCTCTGCTGGAACTTAAAAGTAATATTTAAAAATCATTTAGTATAGTATACCCTATGTGGTCTTTTTACGTAATGCTAAGAGTAGGCAATTGATTAAAATTCAAAGTTAAAATGTTTTTAAGTACGGTTTACAATTTTTAAATACATGTTTTCATTTATACATATACATATATATATGAGGCACAGCTATTTTTCAATCTAAAGTAAAAAGTTGTAGACAATGGGCTTTAGAATTTAGTCACCATTCAATATGCACAATCAAAATCAATCAAATCCGCCCTTTGACTTTCTTTTCCCCTTGTGTACAAATATCCGAGTGTAGGGCTATTAAAAAGCACTTTCTTATCAATGCAGGAAAAGGCAAACCGAATGAAACCCCATGCAGGCAAGGTGCAAAGGAAACCGAACAATGACGAAACACGTTGCCAGCCAGCAGCTCAGGACTCCAGAACCACCCAACCGACCAACCAACCAACCGCCCAACCACCCAACCATCCACTAAGCTGAAAAAGAGCCGTCGGACCACCCACCGAATGGCTTGGCTGAGCGTCAAGTGTCATAAAAAAATAGGAACAACACTTGCAAGCCAAAAACTAAAGTGCACGAGTTGCCCGGCCATGTGGTTCTTCACACACCACCCACCTCCACCGCCCACCCACTTTCTCCACACTACACCCTACACCCTACACCCTACACCCTGCACCCACACCCCGCCCATCACTGCCCCATTCACCGTTCACCGTTCACCACACTCTCCTATTACAACTACTAGATCCATTTTCGCTCATCTTTCAAAGGCGCCGTGTAACGTTTGTATTTGTGGTGACTGCATTGAGAGAAAATATTATATTATCAGGTTTCTTTATAAGATGAGTACTACCAAAATAGTATTGTGACGATTTAATATACTCCTACAAATCTTTAAGTGTACATGCTTTTTTCCACATTTACTTTTCGAAGTAAATCGAATTCAATATCAACTTGAGCAAATCAGTAAAATATTTGTATAAATTGGTACCAAAAATTATACAATAATATAAAGTAATAAGTATGGTAGGTATTTAGTTTTCTTTTTAAAAATAATAAATCTATATACTTATTTCTTTTTTTTCGTAAGACTTATAAATATTAATTTTTCATAATAAGAAATAGCTCTTAACCCATACTGTTAGCAACTGTTTTGATGGCTTTAATTATTTTTTTTTTAAATAATCGTAGTAACTTAGTACTTTGGTTAAGTAAAAAGGCTTATAAGCTTGGCATCTAATTTATTCCATACCAGTATTAAGTTAATAAAAGAAAATAAAAATCGAAAGACACTTAAGGCATTTGACAATTTGCATTTTTTAGGTATGTTTTTAGTTCTTTTAAATATTGATTAATGAATCGATTGGACAACTTCGATTTTCTCGCAGTGAGTGACAGCGGGCATATGGGAAGCTGCAAAGACATACAAAAGAAAACATTTACAAAACTTCCATTTCCGCTTTATGTGGGCAGTAGTCGAACTGAAGGCAGAGTCAGGAGCTGTGCGGGGCAATTGAAAAAAGATAGTTTCACATAAGCCCTTAGGCATTTGCCCACCACCCACTGGATCTCCTCATCCCCTAAAGCGAAGAGCAAACACAAAGGCTGAACTGCAGGTGAGCATTCCGCTATTTTGCTTTTGGGCGACGGAAGTGAACATTGTTAAAGTTTTGCTGGTAAATCAAATGATAAAGTGAAGATGTAGTTGAAAGTCCAGTACTGCAAAGGCAACAACAACAACAACAGCTGCTGATAGCAACAGTTTTGGGACAACTCAAAAGGTAGTGAGCTTTTCACCTCGACAGCGACGCCTGCGCATGAAAGTCACTCAACTTTGAGTGTTATCTCCTGTTTTATTTACCTTTTTCCGCTTGCATGGTTATAACGCGTGTTATCGTTCAATGTAGTCTACTTTCAGGCTCTCGCTTTCCTTCGCCATTTTTACAGTCTGCTTTTAGGCTTAGCTTAACCCTTAACAAAGCCTGCTGGACTCTCCTCGCCCATTCGTATGAATAACTATTTTCGCTTATCACTTAATGGACTTTTAATCGTGTGAATATTGGGTGAGGAACTTAACACTTAATTTATACGCCTTCTTTGACAAAGCCCTGCGGCTTGAACCATAAATATTCCTATCGCCACTCGATCAAAATAGCTGTCAAATAAGACCCATAATTAATTTATTAAAATGACAAAAATTTCGCACCACTTTTCGAATCAATTATCAAGTGCCTGTGAATTGTAACAATCAATACGATATTTGTGTTTTCACAACTAATGGAGCTTTGACGTAGGCAGCTATCGGAAAATGCCCCATTGGAAAGTCCTGGTCTCCACTGGAAAGCTGTCTGTTTGCGGTTATCAGAGTTACCTCACCCCAAAAACACACCCATATGCTGACTGCTTTTAATCATTATTTGGCGCAATTGTACGTCATAAATTTTCAAGTATAAACCCACAATCAAAATTATTTGACATGTAGACGCTGGTAAAAATTATGACCATTGAAAGAGCTCTCATCGAGTGTCGCATAGTTCTTAACCGATCAATTGAGTTGCCTCTTATTTCAAATGCAAATCAATCAATTAGAGCGTCGTGCCCGTTAATTTGCATTGCGTGAATTGCTGGGCAAATATTAGCATTTTCAGCAAGTACTGTTTATTTTTAGATAAAAAATCAAACGCAATGATATTAATAGATAAGACAACCATCCAGCGGGGGGTCGAAAAGTGTCCCTGCGAAGGGTTAAACGTAGGCTGCTAGAAAGAGAGGAAGGGAGGAAATGGATGAATGAGAGAGCAAGGGAAAGCTGAGAGAGGGTTGCCTTGCACAGTGGGAAAATCATGCATAAATTAATGTATTAACACATTTGAAGATGCCGTTTAAGGCAAACTATTTTGGCCCAATGATTAATACAATGCAATGATCAATAAAAATAATGTGAAATGTCCAACAAATTTTAAACCATTAACAAAAAAAAGTATTCGAAAACAAAGAAGGTATATATTTTAACTTCTCATGCGACACATAATGTTAGTTGACGCAACAGAACGTATAGTATAGTCTAACAAATTTCTTCTGAGCTGCTGTTAATAAGGCAATGTTTTAGGTAAAATATTACGTAGCCGACTATAAGATTTATGTAGACAAAACATCAAAGTGCTAATCAAGAATACATTTTTTAAATTCATTGTAAGGGCTTAGAATTAGGGGAAGTGTTTTCAGTTTCAGCATTTAGAAACTAAACAATTTTAAAATAACGTAGCCGACTGGTTAAACCTAACCGCATGCCAAATTTTTATTAGGTATTCTGTCAGTATCGTATTTATTGTACCTATTTATTTTAAAAAACGTTAAAATGTTAATATACTAAAATATATTAGTTAATAAGAATGTTTCCTTAATGTGAGTAAATCTTGTATATCCAGATTGGTAAAGGCTGATACCACTGTGCAGGAGAGAGCGATCGCTCTCTCTCTAAGCCAGCTGTTGCGGCATTCGCGTTTGCGTTTTCGATCGCTCCGGTTAAAAACGTGCTGCGGCAGGAACTGTAAATCATTACGCTCGGAAACGTGCTGTTGGTCGCACAGAAAAGCAGAAGACGAAATAAAGTACGGAAAAGAGTTCGCCGCCAAGTTCAAGAGTGCCCCGAAAGACGAAATGTCGTAAAACGTAAAAAAAATTTAAGAGTAAAAAGTATAAAATACAAAGGTTTCACCACCACCGCGTGCGCACGCAACAACCACAAACAGAAAACGCCGTTGTTATTGTTGCTCTTTCCTGCCAATTTTCGTGTGTGCCTTTGCCTTTCCCTTTATCGTCTGTTGTTTTTATCGACGCGTTCGCAATCGCGTTCTTTCTTTTTCCAGCCAGTGCGTGTGTGTGTGTTTTGCCCCCCTTATATTTCTCTCTCGCTCGCTCTCTGTGTGTTCGATTTGTTTGTTGTCACCCCCGCGCAAAGTACATACAAAAATATACATAAACGCCAGGAAACTGACCCCGTAAGATCAGTTTGACAAGAAAAAACCCTTTATGCTAATCAATGAGCTGTGTCTGAGGCACAGTGGAAAATTTTCGAATTTCGCCAAGCGGCGACGTCATCAGTGCTCGCTATTGTTGTTGTTGGCGCCCGTGGCCGAGTAAAAGGTAAAAAATAAAAGAATACTTCAAGTACGTGTCAATTATAAAAATTCATTTTGGTCTGCTGTGCCATGTTGTTGTTGTGTCTGTGGCTATTTTCGTGCGAAAGATCTTTAAATTGTGGATATTTTGACTTTGTGTCGCATTTTCCAAGCAGGAAAAATTTTTATTTAATTTGATATTTATATGAACAGAACGTTGAAATAAAAGTATTCAATTGTTTAACAAAATGTATTCGTTACTACTAACAATGTGTTGAAAGGGTTGAACTTGTATATTTTGTTCCAATTTAAAAAAAAGGACTGATTTTATTATTCTGGTAAAAGTAAAAGTGGGACCTTTGTAATAATTGCTTAACATAAATTTAAACATATTTTTATTTTCATTAAGCTTTTTGGGTCATTCTTACTGTGTTATAAATCCCTTTTTAAGGAATTGACTAAATAAGTAAATTCAATTG